CGCAAATAAATATCCACAAATCCAGCTTCCCGTGAGAGGGGACAGTGTCCGACTGGCCCTGGGATGAGTCTCGGGCAGCTGCCGGGGTGGTGGGCCCCACGCCTTCCTGTCTCAGGACCACCTTCCTGTCGGGAGTGGCTGACGCCTCCCTGTCTCAGGACGGACCCCGGCGGGCAGGAGGCTGGGCTCCTGCGTGCATTTCTGGTCTTTGGGAGTTTCGGGGTTCACAGCCTTTGACCAAGAGTTTCCGAGCGCCCAGTCCTGTGCCAGGTGCCGGCCATGGCAGGACACAATGGGGGACAGGAGAGACCCCAACCCCTGCAAGGTCTGTCCCCAAGGGCGCTGGCTCTGCCATGGAGCCTGTGTCCATGCATGGCGACTGTCTTTGGGCCCAGCCCTGCACCCCAAGTGGCTGGCCAGCCTCTACCCTTCCCTGGACTTTTGTCTGGTGCTGTGGGGTGCTGTGTCTGGAAGGACACTCTGGACACAGGCTTTCTGGTGGTGGGTGAGGGTCACTCATCCTGGGCTCGGGGGCCTCAGGACTCCTGGGTCCCTCACCAGCCCCACACAGTAGGTGTGGATTCCCTTCCCTTTGCAGATAAGAAAGCTGAGGCACCCTGGCCCCAGGAGTTCTAGCCTATCCCTCCCCTCTCACAGTGCCCACCCTGGATCTGGCAGCAGAGGCCTGCCCCTGGGGCTGGCAGAGTGGCCAGTGCTGCCCACCTTGTGGGGCCGCAGTACCTAGCTGCCACTGTCCCTAGCTGGGCCTCCAGAGGGTGCCAGGGGATTGGGCCGGGTGTCTGCCCAGGGGGACAGGGCTGGAGGTCTGCAAGGCTGAGATTGGACCTGCTTGGCAGAGAGGGGGCTCGCAGGCACCCCGTGCTGCTGTGTCCTCTGTGTCCCAGGGATAGGTTTGACCTCTCGGCTGCCCTGTGTCCTGCAAATGGACCAGGGGTCTGGAGTCCGGGCATCGGGGTCCCCTGGGCTGGGTGCCTGCATGGCCTGGGTGCTGAAGGAGGCTGCCGCTGGCTTCCCAGTTCCCACTGCTCCTTGGGTCGCGCCCAGGCCCCACATGCGTGTAGGCACATGTGGGCTGCCGCGGGCCGGGCATGCCCCAATCAGCCCGCTACCTTGGGAGTTCTTATGGAGAGCAAACAAACCAAAAAATGTCCTGGTCTCTCTGGGGTTCCTCTCCACTGCCAGAAGGGTCTCGCCATAGCTTTGGGGGGCTCAGCTCTGGGGTACCTCAGACTGCCCTGTGGGGCTGGGCAGGCATCCCTGCAAGACTGTCCTGCTTCAGCAGCTGAACGGGAATCGAGGAGGAGCACCCCCAGGGAGAGGGCCACAGCCGGCAGAGGACCTGGGGAATTTCCCAGGGCAGAGCCTGAACCCCGAGGCAGATGATGCAAAAAGCCACCCACACTTCTGGGCCACAAGAGCGCTGTGACCAGACCGGGCAACGGTGCAGGAGGGTCTGGGGGATGCAGGGACAGTGGGACCGCATCCACTAGGTGTGGGGACAGGCTCGCCCCGGCCCCGGCCGTGCCCCTGGGACGAGGGCTCTCCTGAGGCTGCAGAAGGGGTGGGGGCATTGGGAGCCTCAAGGTGCTGGCGCCCGCTGACGCTTCTGCTCACCTGAGCTCCCCGGTGTGGGCTCCGGGCTGTGCCCCTGCAGAGCTGCCCCCCCCAGACCCTATCAGCTCCCTCCCCTGGCACAGTGACTCACGCCTTGGCACCACCAAAGAATGTGGACAAGTTAAAAGATGAACCTCCTTGTCGTGCTCTGCACCCTGCTTCTCCAGAACCAGGGAGGCCCAAGCTCCCACCTCACTGCCCTGGGCCTGGCCCCAGTGCCCCATGTTTCCCCCACTGTGCCAGCCTCTCCGGGCCAGGCCATCCTTCTGTGGGGGCACTGGCAAAAGCAGGAGGGGGAAGCCCTGCAGCCCCCAGCCCGCCCAGGACCCCAGCAAGAGAGGAGACCCACGTCCTGCGCTCATTCCTGGGTGGCCCAACCAGGGACGCCATCCTGCTTCTTGTCCCAGATCTGGGCAGCCTTTGCCCATTTTAGGACATTTCTATCATTCACTCCTTCCTTCAGCCAGTTCGCTGGTTCTGCCCGCTCTGTATGAGTGCTGGCTGGGCCCAGGGCATTGTCATCCAGCAGAGCTGGGGTTGGCCTTAGGTCTGTGGCCTCCACATCCTTGGATTCTACCCACCACACTCAAAACAGCAAAACACCACTGTGTGGGTAGTGGGCCCTTTGTCCTAAGCAATAGGCATAACAACTGTTTGCATTGCGTCTGGCTATCGTGGATCTCCGCCTTGTTAGCTGGCTCACTGCACGGAGTGCATGTGCAGGCTCCAGGCAGATCCTCCCCATGTCGCTGAGGCACCTGAGCCCCTGTGGCTTTTGGTGTCCCCGGGGTCCCTGGCCTGGTTCCCTCTGGAGGACTGCTGTGGGGTGAGGGCTGACTGGTTGCCAGCACTGGAAAGCGCTGGCGGGAGGATGTAATTTGCTCATCCCCAGCCAGGGTGCTGTGTGACCGGCTCTGTGTCAGTCCCTGGAATGGGGGTGCACCACACACTCCCCACCCCGTCTTTGGTGTTGGGGCGATGACCTGCAGGATCATGGCCCACGCGGGTCACACAGGCAGGTCCTTCTAGGGGACCTGAAGACAGAGGGGTGCAGGCTGCAGGCGGGGGGGGGTGCTGCTGCTGGAGCTAGCTCCGGTGCCTCACTGCAGGGACCCAGGCAGGGACTGAATGACAGGGCAGAGGCTTTGGGACTGGGAGCAGAAGCGGGGCTGGGCCACCCTTGCTTTGGCCAGTGGCGTGGGATGGTCCCTTCCTGCAGGGGCCTGTGGCAGCGCTGTGGAGCTGGGCTTGGAGACGCATATTCTTGTAGGGGCAGCTGTCGTGTCCTGTAACCCCTCAGGCAGCCCAGGAGCCAGAGAGGGGAGGGCCGGGCCCCCCTGAGTCCCTGTGCAGTGTCACAGTGCACACACCACGCAGGTCACCCCTGAATGCTCGCGGTCCACCGGTTTAGTGGATGGATGGGTCTGTGTGGCATCTCCAGACTCCGTCTGCCTCCAGTCTCCGTCTCTGAGTCCACCTGCCTGTGCCTGCGGAGCCTGGTTCTCTCATGAGCGCCATGTTCCCACCCTTGTTGAGTGGCCGTGTCAGGGTCCCTGTCTCTTCTTGCTGTGGCTGGTGACACACCAGTTTGGGCGGTCACTGGGGTCCCTGAAGCACAGGAAAGGAGAGGCTGTGGGAGAGGTGCAGCCCCGCAGGGATCCTGTCCTACAGTGGATGGGTCCCCAGGGGTGTGGGCTGACACCCCCCACACATATGGTTCCATTCCATGGCAGCTTTGCCAGGGCCTCATGCTGCACCAGGGCCACTGGGGCAGGACATCCACTCCTCAGCCTCACTGGTACCTCACTGGCAGGTGGCTGTCTCAGGCTAGAGCATCCCAGGGAAGCCCTGCCTGGCCTTAGGACTCCAGAGTCCGGGAACAACAGTGCTGTAAGAAGCAGCAGCCTGTCACCTGTCCCCCACCACCACCCTGCCGTGGGTCCCAGCCTGGCGATGCGCCCTGGACTCCAGATTGGTGCACCGTCAGCAGGGCCCTGTCACGGACTCAGCAGTAGACTCGCGTCCCTGAGCTAACCCTGCCTGGATGGAGGAGGACCAAGGTGCAGGGAGGGGCTGGACCCCCAGGCTGGCCCGGCTGGGAGGCACCTGTGGGGAGCCCAGCTGTCCCCAGCACCGAGGGAGTGGGGAGCAGCTGCCATTGGGGACCGATGGCGCCCAGAAGTGTCTCCGTTCTCCAGCCTGGAGAGGGCTGGTGGGCAGGACAGGCACTGGCGGAGTCCTGGGACTCTCCAAGGAGGGGTTCAGGCGGAGGGCCCTCCACAGAGATCCCACAGCACTGTGTCACTGACCCTGGGCTGGATCTCAGGCTCAGAGCCCACAGACCCTAACCCCCGGTCTCCGCCTTGCTGCTGGGCACTTGCTGTATCACTGGGCAAGTCACTTCCCGAGTTACCTCCCGACTCCCTGCCGCAAAGGCGGGCCCACCTCGGTCGTGGGCAGAGCTAGCTCCAAGGAGAGTGGCTGAGCGCCGGCTGTGGTCAGGGACCCACCTGGCCAGCTCAGCTGTGTGCTGTGGCCCTCCAAGACCCGCCTCCCCCTGGAAGCCAGGATCAGAGCCGGTGTCTTCCTGGACTGCCCTGCCTCTGACCCCAGACTTGGAAGAGTGGGCTGGACGCCCTTAAGCTCCTGTCAGGGGCTGACCCATCCTGGGGTCCCCAGACCCCACCAAGGAGGACCCTGGGCTCGCACCACCTGGAGTTCCTGGGAGTGTGGGGGCTGGGCTGTCTGCATAACGGAAGGAACTGGCCCCCGGGCCTGGCATGCGCTGCCGCCCAGCCCTGAGGCGAGGAGGGGCCTTTGGGCTGGAGAGGAGCTGAGCAGCTTAGGGAGACCTTTGAAAGTGGCCACCTGGGCCTCCAGGAACGGAGAATCTGCCTCCATCGTACCACCTGGAGGGGAACCTCGGGCCACCGTTGGCCCCAGGGCCCACAGCCCAGCCCGGCTCACCGGCACTGGTCTCGCTCCTTTGAGCTGTGACTGGGACAGGGGACGCGGGGCTGGGGGCTTCCGGACAGCTCCCCAGGAGCTCTGGGCCCCTTTCCTCCCGGCAGGCAGGCAGGCGGCTGGGTGGATCCCAGAAGCGCCGGCAGCAGGGAAGGCGGCTGGAGAGGGGCGGGTGAGGTGAATATGTCAGTCTATCCCGACGCAAGTAGTGGCCTGTTGGGGTGGGGTGGGGGCCCGTGGAAATATTTGGGATGACTTGGAGCGGCTGGCCCTTTAAGGCTCCTGTAACCAGACACCTCTGACTCCAACACGGGATGGGACGGAGCGGGGGAGCGGGACTTGGGGCTGGGGCAGCGGCGTCCCCCCAGCCCGACGTGTCTCCCCTCCCCCCTCCCACCCAGGCCCAGTTCAATCTGCTCAGCAGCACCATGGACCAGATGAGCAGCCGCGCGGCCCCAGCCAGCCCCTACACCCCGGAGCACGCCGCCAGTGTGCCCACCCACTCCCCGTACGCCCAGCCCAGCTCCACCTTCGACGCGATGTCGCCCGCACCGGTCATCCCTTCCAACACCGACTACCCCGGCCCCCACCACTTCGAGGTCACATTCCAGCAGTCCAGCACAGCCAAGTCGGCCACCTGGACGGTGAGTGTCCCCCGCGCCCTGCGCCTTGGGGCAGGCGGCCGTGGGCTCCAGGATGGGGAGGGAGCGGCCCGAGCCAGGAGGGGCATGGGGCAGAAGGCGTGCAGCAGCCAGTCTGGGCGTGCCCACCCCTCGGACGCTGGCCAGGGTCAGCCGGCAGGCAGCCCTCGAGGTCCAGAGGGGTAGAGTCCCCACACAGGAGCAGCTGTCCACAGGGCGGCCTGGGTAGTGCTCTGGCCAGCAGGGGCTCTGGCTTGCTACCTCTCTGAGGCAGAGGCTCCTGGAGACACCTAGAGCTGCCGCTGCCTGCCAGGCACGGGTCCGGGCTTTGCCTTCACCATCTCTGGGGTGTCATCTCCACGCTGGCTTGGGACAGGGATGTTGAGGTGGCACTGCGTGCTGCTGAGGACTCAGGTCCTGCTGTGCACCTTTGGGGATAGCCCAGCCCGTGGTTGGGACTTGGCCAACTCCAGTGCCATCCCACGTGCAGACTCGGAGAGCCAGCCCTGTGCTGAGCGCACTGAGTTTAGTAAACTCCTGGACCGCCCAGCCTCCCAAGAGGGGCAGCTGTTATCGCCCCCATTTCACAGCCAAGGAAGCTGAGGCACAGGGAAGGAGGGCAGGTTGCCCAGCCTTGCAGATAGAAAGTGGGCATGGGGCTGGGGATTTAGCTCAGTGGTTCTGCTGCCTGCCTCGAAAGTGGGCATGCAGGGCCAGGAACCCGGGGACCCTGATGGCTGAGCCGCTGCACGGGTCCCCCACACGGGTTCTTCTGATGTGCAAAGCAGGTCCTGGGGCAGTGCCCATTGACCTCCCGGTGGTAGCTTCGGTTTTCCCACGCCCTGGGGTGAGGAGGAGGGGCAGGGTGGAGCCTAAGGCAGCCGAGGGCCAGCAGTCGGTCAGGCTTGGTGGTCACAGGGCTGAGTGACATCCTGTCTGTGTGGCCACAGCGCAGCTGGGCACATGGCCTTTGCTGCTGTGACAATGTGTGCGTTGGGGTGCCCTGAAGCCTGGTCCTCCGGCACAAGGTTGTACCCCAGGAGCCAGCTTAGAGGTCTGGATCAGGGAGGCGCAGAGCACCCATAAGCCTGGATACCGCTGGGAACAGGAGGTTCACCACCCCCCCTTTTCCTGTTCCTGAGTCCCTCCTGGACCCTTGGAGGGAGGAGGGTCCTGGTTCCTCCTACAGGACACTGTCGTCAGGGCCCCCTGGAGTCTTTCAGGCAGCTGTGGGGGGGGTTGCTCTGGGGGCTCAGAGCACCCTGATGGTCTGAGCCAGTTGGGGGGCAGGAGCTGCCTCTGCCAGCTGGCTCCACATCCCCCAGGTGAGTGGCATTGGGATGCATGCTTTGCTCCCAGCCACCTGGCCTCAGTGGCCCCTGGGTGAGCTGCTGGGGACAGAGTCAGCCCTGCTGTCAGCCACACAGCGGTCACACAGTGGCGGGGGGGGGGGTGCTGGACCTAAGCGCACAGGGGCCTGCTTGGGGCTGGGATGCTGCTGCCTGCTGTGGTCCCCTTCCCGGGCTGTCCACGCAGGGGGCGGAGGTGGGACCAACATTGATAATGAGAGTTTTGGCACCTTGGCCCTCAAGAGCAGACCCCCGAGGGCTGCCTCTCTTCCCAGGGAGGGGGAGGGCAGTGCCTGCTCTCAATTCTCAGGGGTCTGACTGCGCGGTCACTGCCCAGACTTGCTGCCCAGGCCCCAGTGCCACATATGCAGTGCTTGGCTCCTGCCATGCCACTGGCTGGTAACTGATAGATAATTCCTATTTTTCTCAAGTACAATTCCACATCGATTGCCACCTCTGCTCCTCTCCCAGAGCGGCACAAACACCTTCACAGCCCCCAGTGAGCACAGTGTGAATGGGCCCTTTGGCCTCTGCTTTGCCGGGCCCACCATGGGCTCTGCAGCCGCGGGCATCTGCAGCCTGGCTGGCTTCCCTGGACCTCAGGCTGTGCACCAGGTGCCTGAGCCCTCAGCTCACGGGCTCTTGTGCACATGCCTGTTTGCATGTGTTTGCACACACATTTGTGCATTGTGTACTCTCCGACATGGCATGTGGGCGCACGAGCAAACCCACAGGCACTGTGTGCAAATGAGGCCTCCCTGGCTGCTGCCCAGGGCTCTGCCCATCCTCACCCTGCAGGAAGCCCACAGGTGTCTGGGGCCAGGAAAGGGCTCTGGGCATGGTGGCAACACACATGATGTTGCAGGCAGGGTGGGGTGGAGCCTGGGACTGCGCTGCTGTTTCGCCTCTCTGCTCCTCAGTGTCTCCTCTGCTGTGAAGGGACAAATGAGCTGGCTCACGGGGCCACTCGTAGCACAGTTGCTGGTGCCTGGGGACCCAGCACCCATGGCGCTCACTGTTTGTGAGTTGTCCTGGCCAGGGCTGGTCCCTAACCCACTTGGGATCTGGGGGGACACAGAAAGGTCAGCGTTCTGAACAAGGGCCTGGTGCCCCATGGGCATCTCTGTGGGGTGGACAGGGGCCACTGGGGCTAGGCCACAGAGGAGGACATCACGGATGTCGTGGCCAGTTCTGCAGCCTCCGTGGAATACCATGTGTATCAGGACATGGGTAGTGCTCTTGCCTGGCCTCTGGGCCCTGATGTCCCCCCATCCCAGGACTGTTCCCCCAGCTGGCAGTGTTGTGACAGTTGGTCCCTCCTCAGGGGGATGGACAGAGGCCTGGGCCTCAGATTTGACACGTGCAGGGTGTAGGGCAGCTCCTCATGACATGAGAGCCCCCTCCCCAGGCCAGGCAGGCAGGAAGGACGAAGACCTGGCGAGGGATTCCTGGGGAGGATGAGCCTGAGTCAACACTAATGGATTCGCAGAAAACTTTCCAGCCCCTCGGAGGTTCAGGTTCGTAGGCAGGGAATAGCGGAGGTGTTCCAACATGACTGTGGTATCAGTTGCGTTATCCTAAAAGTTTATGGAATGCATAAGTGGAATTAATACCTTTTACTGGCACCAGGAGCAATTATGTGTATTTAAAGCCGAGGGAAGGGTTCTAACAATGTTTATTGTGGAGATGAAATGTGGATTATTAGGGGAAACAAGAGCACTTAGGGAGAAATTGCTGCAATTTCTCACATCGTGACGGCTCCGGAAGGCGAAGGAGCAAGCTGTTCCGGGCAGGCGGGCGGGCGGGTCTGTGCGGTCCGGTGGCCTGAGGTGGGGTCCTCTCTGCAGGTCACAGCTCTTGGCCTGGAGGCCCTGAGTCCCGGGAGCAGCCCCACCGAACATCCCTGGGGCTCCTGGAGGGGACCTGAGGCAGGACCCTTGGGGACAGGATTGCACCCAAGGGCTCAGGGCAGCGGATGAGCCAATCTATCTGCAAGGAAGAGCCACCATGTTCCAAGACTGATTTCCAGAATGGAGCAGGACGTGCGGCTCTGGGTTGGGTTGACCTGGCCCGCACCTGGGCTGGGCAGGTGCTCCTGCTGTCCTCCCGCATGGAGGAGGGACCAGAGGGCAGGCCAAAGGCAGGTCAGCGTCAGCAGACTGCAGACAGCTGGGCTCGCCCGGTGCCTGAGCCCTGACTGCTCTGGGAGAGGAAGGCAACCCTTTCCTTCTCCCTCCGGCCGCCCAGGGTTCCCAGCACCTCTGGTCTGGGGCCTATGGGAGCCCTGAGGTGCCGACCCCTCAGAGGTCCATCTGCTTGGGCTGGGGGAGACTCACAGGGGGAGCCCCACTGCAGCAAGCTCCCATTGCTGTGAGGGGGCCCCATCCCTCCTGCATGCACTTAGTGACCAGTGGCAGTTTCCTGCGGTTTCAGGATGAGGGTGCTGGGGTCCAACTCCAAGGGGAAGTGGCAGCCCAGGTGTCCCGAGTGCACCCCCTGTGCTGGGCCTCACCCTGCCCACTGCACCCCAACTCCAGAAGCCCACTGTGCAAGTCAGGGAGAGACCTGCAAGGGGGCATCCAGGCTCCCCTGTAACTGAGCTTCAGCTGGGATGGGTCCTGGATGACTGAGCCCTGGGCTGCATGTACGGGGTCGGGGTGAGGCAGGGATGAGTGGAGCAGCAGGCTATGTCCTGCCCCTCAGGCCAGGGCTTTGCTGTGGGACATCAGCCTGACATCTCAGATCCCTCCTGCAAGCCTGAGGTGCATGGACAGGGGACAGCCGAGTGCCCTGGCCTCTGAGGGGCCCAGCCCTGCCTCCATGCCACCTGTGGCCAGCAACCCAGCTCCTCGCCCTTCATGCTGTGTGGTGTGGGAGCAAATGTGCCTTGTGGACCTCGGGGAGGATGCGCTGCGGTGGGGCCTGGCTCTGGGCAGCCATCGCTCTCCCCCAGGGCCAGAGATCTAGACCAGGCCCCTCTGTGCCCCAGGCTATGCTGAATATTTATGAGTTCAGTGAAATGTAGAAGATTCCAGCCAACCCCGCCTTAGAAGCAGAAAGATGACCACCCCACCTGCCCCAGCCGTCCCTCAAAGCCACAGACCCCTCTGTGCCCACCTGTAGCAGGCCGGGCCACTGCCCAGAAGGGCCACCACTGGAGGCCCCCTTGTCCTTCCCCAAGCAGAAGGAGCCCGCTGATGCCAGGCCGAGCCGGCTGCAAGGGCTGCCACTGCCCACCCATCACAGCCACAGGTCAGGGTGGGGTGAGGATGGGAGCAGCCAGGAGTGGGCCTGCCAGACCACCTGTCCTCAGGGCATAGAGGCAGGGGAGTGGCCAGCCAGGAGCTGCTCACTGCAGGAGCCAGCTGTCCAGCTGTCCAAGTCAGAAACCTGAGCATGAGCATGGTGCTTTGGACACAGCGTCATTTGTGTCCCAGAGCTCGGCCCATCACCCTTCCATCCCGAGGTCCCACGATGGCGACCCAGGCCACAGAACAAGAGCAGAGTCCCTGTGCCGCCTGCAGTAGCATCAACCACACCAGCGCTGGGCAGAGCGGACAAGGCCAACTCCCAGCGTCCTGCTCACAAAGCAAGGCCAGCTCCCCTCTGCAGCTGTGGTCCTCAGTCCTCATTCCACTTGGGATGGGGCCCACCCAGGGCTGCGTTGCCCCTGATCCCAGGCTCTGCCCACCTGGCCGAGATCCCAGGAACCGGCGGGGTTTGAGGCCAGTGTCAGGCGATGGAGCAGAGGTCAGTGGCGGGGAGAGACCCAAACTCAACTCAGCCTCTCAGCAGCAACCCAGTCAGAGTGTCCTCTGACCACCGGCCGCACTCTCCTCGGGGTGATACCAGTTGTCCCCATGGGGCCAGGGCTCAGCTCCCACCCCCTCCAGACCACAGTCACGGCCACTTTGGTTTTCCCCAGGGCCCACTCTGTCCTCCGCAGCTCACGGGGTGCAGAGAAACGCTTGGGTTCGCTGGTTTGTTACAATGGATACAGAAGGTAGGGCCAAGAGGCAAGGAGCCCTCCAGGAGCCCCGCTGCACAGCCACCCAGAAAGGGTGCACATCTCATCCTCCTGCGGGCGTCACTGACCAGCCTCGGCCTGGCGATCAGCAGCACCCATGTCCTCGCCCTCTGCTCAGCTCACCGGGCCTGGCCGGAGGCAGGCTGCACGCCCCAGCGCCCTCATCCAGCCCGGATCTGCCCCGTGACTGGCCCCCAGCCGGGAGCCACCTGGGGGCGGACAGTCCTCAGCAGACTCATTAGCATAAAAAAGACGCCATCCCTTTGAAGATTCCTGGGATCTTAGGAGTTGTAGCTAGGAACCCGGGAGGAAGACCGAAGGCATATTGCACAAGGCCAGGCAGCCCTGGTGCGGGTGCCATCCTCTCTCTCCCTCTTAGCTGGCAGTTGGCGGAGGCAGCTTTAGTTGCTCATGTGGGTGTGGGGTGAGGTGGACGCAGGAGCCCTGTGGAGAAGGTGGGGCCCTGTCCCCAAGTCTGGACGGAAGGTGAGCAGCCCTGCAGGTGTCCCAGGCCCTCCCTGCAGAGACCAAGCCCTGGCCCTGCTCTGAAGTCACTGGAGGGTCCCCAGCGGGGCAGGGTGCAGCCTGTGACGGGGCAGGGCCCCTGGCTCCCCGAGCCTCCCGTGAAGGAGTGCACTCGCCTCTCCCAGCCCTCGAGCTCCCCGTGGGACCGGCAGGGCTCAAGGTCCTGGTGGCCCACCTTGCCCTGGGGCACTTTCCCATCTCCAGCCTCTGGGTCGGCCCCACCCCACCCCACCCCGTAGTCCTGGAAGACGCGCAGCAGCCTCTGTCTGGTCGCCCAGGGCTGTGACTGCAACGCGCACCGGAGGCCCGGCCCCGAGTTCCTAGAGCTCAGCCGAGGTTCAGTCTCCAACCTGAGCAGCCTGGGCAAAGGTGCCCTGAGACAGGCTGGGATCACACAGGGCACCCCATCCCCTCTCCGCCGACCTCCCACTCCTAGCAGCTCTCTGCCAAGTGCAGAAATGAGCAGGCTGGGAAGGTGCCGGCGAAGGCAGAGCCGGCCCTGGGACGATGTGGGGGGTGTGGGCCCACCGGGTCTCGGCCGGCCGTGCTCCGCAGTCACCCGGAAGGAAGCCGTTCTAGGGAATGGGAAGGCCAGAGGCAAAGGGGGCTGAGACCCAAGGGAGGAGAGACGTGGCTCTAAATGCACACGTGCACACACAGGCACAGAAGATGGGTGAAGGTGGGCTATGAAAATCACTTCAAAAAATAAAAGCCCCCACTGCGGGCCCCGTCTCCCAGGATCTGTTGTAACAGATTCACCCAAGCTGGTTAACGGTATTTGCGGTTTGCAAGATGCTACATGTCCCAGGAAAATGACAGACAAGTTATTATCACCTCTCCACTGTCCTCCTGCCCAAACCTGCCCATGCCGGGCACCCAGCTGCGGGGAGTGGGTGCGAGGAAATTAACAGCCGCGCGCTGTGCCCGCCCTCTCACCCGCCACCCGCCAGCCCCACCAGGCCCAGGGCTCCCGGCCAGGCCAGCCCCGTCTCGGGCCGGGTGGGGAGGGGTCGGGGACAGCCCTGGCGGGAGGGATGGGCCACACCACTGTTTGGGCAAAGCGTTTCCGAATACATGCATCCGAACAGGCAAGTCTAGACGGCTCTGTGTCAACAACCGAAGATAAATAAGATTTTATCGGCTGGGAATCTGTTGAAACACATCCATCTAGCGGTTCTAGGGGAGAAGGAGGCAGGAGGAGGCACAGGCAGAGGAAGCATCTCCTTTGACCTTCTGTAGGACACAGCACCCACCTGGCAGTGCTGTCCCTCGGCCTCCACTCCGGTGGATCCCCCAGCCTCGCTGGAGGAAGGTGGCAGGGACACTCAGGCCCAGGGCTCAAAACTCGAACACCCCATGCCCCCCGTCCTGTGGCCACTGTGCCCCCCCCTCCCGTTCCCAGGCACGCAGAAGCTACAGGCTACCTGCAGGCCAGGGTTTGGGCCGGGTGTCCAGCCCCTGCAGTGCCCACAAGCCCTGCGCTGGGCACCCCTGGAGGGAGAGGGCCTTACCCAGGCAGCGGCCCCTCACTCCCACCCTGAGACCTGCTGACGATGAGGCTGCTGCTTGTTCCGGCCCCAGCGGGCTCCGGAGGGGAAGGGCCGGCCACTCGGCCCGGTACCTGGGACAGCTCCCGGCGCGGTTTGGGCTCCTCCCCGGGGCGGGGCGTCTACCCAGCACCCCTGCCCGGGCCTCTAGCCAATGCCCCTCGCTTTCCAGGGATCGCCTCAGGCCCCACCAGAGCCGCAGAGGCTGCACCGCTTCGTGCATCTGGTCCAGCGTGGGGCTCCCAAGGGCCGGGGTGCTGCGCAGCCGCCTGTCACTGGGGGGGCGACGGGGGCAGGACCCCAGGAGAAAGGATCCGAGCCACCGCCGAGGGCGCTGTTGAGATGGCTGTCAGGGCCACGGGGACGCCCGCTGCTGCACTCCAAGCCCTGCCCCTCCCTTCCTCCCCGGAACGGGGCGCAGCGGCGGGGCCCTGTGACACCTGGGCCCCCCTTCCCAGCGGTCTTGGCCCCAAGGCCCCAGGACGGGGGCCCTGGGTGGTCAGCCCTGCAGAGGGGACTCAGGGAGCCTGGGCCTGCCTGTCCCTCGGGTCCCTGCCCACTGCAGGGACCCGGTAAGGGTGCAGACGCGGCTGACGCTCAGCAGCCAGCGCTGGTCGTCAAGAGCAGAGCCACAGGGGGGTGTCTAAGCCTAAGGCCACCTCAAAGCTCACCGGTGCTGCTGCTAGACCTGGCAAACAGCAGGTGCTCAGCCGCCGCTTTCGGGGTGATGGCTCTTCAGGTCCTCGCTTAGCCCTACCGCACTACGCACCATTCTGGGCTGGGTCCCCACCAGGAGTGCCCCCAGGTCGGGACACTGCCTGGCACCGGTGTGGCATGGGTTCTGAGGCGCTGGGGGTCCTCTGTGCATCAGGGAGGGGCGTCAGGGGTGACATCTGTGTGTCTCTCCCATCGACCTGCTCCAAGGGCTGGGGCACAGCCGCCTGCACGCTCCTCTGTGGCCCGCATTCCGGGTGTGCTCTGCACACCAGTGCTCCATGACGACCTTGGAGAGCAGCTCACCTTGCGGCTGCCTGCGGCCTCAGAGAAGCCTGGGGGCCTCTCCATCCCGCCAGCCCCGTGTCCCTCTTACCTGCCACACCCTGGCACCCCACCTCCCCCCCCCCAACCTGCATGGATGGAGACCGCACTGCGGGGTGCAGCTGGAGGCGGGGCCTTTGTCCCAGAAGCCAGGGCTCAGACACAGGCCTCTGGGAGGGAGTGGGCCCCCTGCACCTCCCTGGGCCCAAGGATCCGACCCCATCCCTGGGGGCTGGGCGACTCTCCTCCAGCAATCCCCAGAAGTGAGAGTGAGCCCACACCTGAAGGACCCGCTCCGCCCAAGCGAGGGCCACACCCAGGGTGTTGGGGGCTGCACTCCGCCAGGGTGCTCTGCTTCCCAGACAGCGCCTGCCCAGGGTGCAGGGCCCAGGGTGCCCGTGCTTCCTGCACAGCCAGTGGGGGAGCGTTCGTCTGTCGGAGTCAGGGGCCCCCCTTCCTTGGCAGAGGAAAAGCAGGCTCCCCCGTCTCCTCCCCGGTTCTGCCAGCAGCACTTGGTCTCTGGCCTCAGTTTCCTCAACTATACCGGGTGATGGAGCATTGTCCAGGGTACTTGTGACTGGTGTAATGCTTGAGTCCGAGGTGCTGGGGCTGCGGAGGGGCCGAGGGTGTGGGTGGGGTGGAAATTGGCTTCTGAACCCCAGCCGACATGGGAATGAGTGGGTGGCCTTGAGGTGGCCTCAGCAGGGCTGACCTGGGCCACAGGGCACAGGCTCTGGGGGTCCCACAGGCAGCTCCCCCAGGACAGGGGGGTCTGGCGGCCCCAGGGTGGGGTCCGAGGTGGCCTGGAGAGTCTTCTATTCTCTTTGGGTTTCGGAAAATGGTCTTCGTTCGCAGTTACTGCAGCCCTCGGGGCCCGGACCAAGCAGAGCGCGGCCGGCCGGGCTCCATGGCTCCAGCTGGAGGGAGCGGGCTTTGGGGTCTGTGGCAGCCGAGGCAGCATGCGAGGCCCTCCCTGGCTCAGGGAGCTCTCGCGAGGCTCCACAGGAAAGGGGCAGCCAGCCGGGCCTGTGTGCACCGCCAGAGAAGCCGGGTGCTGGGCTCTCAGATCCGGCCAGTCCCGGAGACCCATGGCTTCAGACCCTGCAGCCAGAGACCCAGGTAGAAATCGGCAGACGCTGTCCCGCCGGGAGGGGGCGCACGAGGCAGCCTCATCAGAGCCCGAAGGAAGGGTGCGGGCAGCAGAGGGTCTGCAGCTTGAACTCTACCCTCCCCCGCCCTCCGCCCAGTACTCGCCGCTGCTGAAGAAACTTTACTGCCAAATCGCCAAGACGTGCCCCATCCAGGTCAAGGTGTCCACGCCGCCGCCCCCGGGCACCGCCATCCGGGCCATGCCCGTCTACAAGAAGGCAGAGCACGTGACCGACGTCGTGAAGCGCTGCCCCAACCACGAGCTCGGGCGGGACTTCAACGAAGGTGAGGCCCTGGCAGCAGCCGCAGCACCACGGCCAGCGGCCTGGGCGCCCAGGGAGCGGAAGGAAGCGCTGGAGCCGGGAGTGGGGACCGGCGCTCAGGCGCCTCCCGGCCCGGGCTGGGCAAGCTCTCAGGGAGGAGTCTGGGGGCCTGCAGCCTGGCACCTGGGGCGCTGTGGGGCGCCTGCCAGCGTGCCTGGTGAGGCAGGAAGGTAGGGGCACAGAGCGGCAAGGTCAGGCTCGAGGCCTGAGTCCCCCCGGCCACTGCAGGGCCAGGCCTCGTGGGCCCAGCTCCGAGGCTGAGCGCAGCGCAGGGCTGTGCCCTCTCTGAAGCAGTGTCCCCTCCCGGCAGGACAGTCTGCCCCGGCCAGCCACCTCATCCGTGTGGAAGGCAACAACCTCTCACAGTACGTGGACGACCCTGTCACCGGCAGGCAGAGTGTTGTGGTGCCCTACGAGCCCCCACAGGTAGGCCTGGGCCAGGGGTGCACGGGGCAGGGTGGCAGGCTGAGACCTGTCTCACGTCGTCGGGTGCCATGAGGCTCCCTGCTGTGGGTCCAGCGCTGTTCAGGCTCTTGCCTCCTTGGAATCAGACACCCGTTCAAAACACTGTGTGCACCAATACTCTGGGCCTCAGGGTCCCCAGCGGTACCCTGGGGTGGGTGGACAGCCCCCAAGCCCTTAGCACTGCCCTTCCGGGAGACTCTTCTCCTGCCTGTCCAGCCAGGCTCCCAGACCCATGAGGAGCAGGCGGGAGTCCCCGGGGTTCCTGCACCCTGGGTTGGCGGAGGCAGAACCAGCCAGTGCACACTTGGGGGTGGTCTAGTCCATGCTGGGGCTGAGGTTGGGGAAGGGGCCACTAGGCCAGGCAGGCAGACCCACGCGGGCCAGAAGGCAGTGGGAGGGGTGAGGCCTGGACTCCAGACCGTGGAGGATTCTGGGTGACAAGGGACCTCTGTGGGGACATTCACGCGTGTGTGCAGGGCCTGCACAGGGTGCAGACTGTGGGTGGGGTGCAGGAGGCGGCCAAGCAGGAGAGGCTGGGCAGCCTGACCTTTGGCCTGGATGCAGCAGAAGATTCTGAGGTAGGGGCACTGCTCTGGTCTGACGAGGACCAAGTTGGAGTGAAAGGCTGGGGTTCTGGGACACTGTGGCCGACAGTGGGACAGGGTGTCAGGACCAAGCCTTTCCAGGGAGGGCTCATCCAGTACCTGGTTCTGAGGCCAGCTCCCATGCCCCCATCCCAGGGTCCCCCGACACCTTTCCACCGCTGGGATTGGGGCCTGGGTCTGCCTCCCTCCTCCTGTGTCCACCAGGCCTGCCAGGGAAGCGGGCTCTCCTGTCCCCTGGAGGCTGCCATGGGCAGGCCTTTCTGTGAAAGGCAGAGGTCTTGGCAAACCACTTGTGGCATAAGTCCTGACCCAGACACCAGGAAAACTGCCTGTGTTGTGTCTCCAGGACACCCATGAGTTCATGTCAGCTCTCCCCCAAACTCCCTGAGAAGGTGAGCTAGGGTGGGGGTCTTCCTGGGATGGCTCTGGTCCTTCCCAGCTCTTCATACCCTTCTGCCCAGAGAAGCCCACATCACAAAAGGCCTGCCCACACACCTGCTCATACCTTTCCAAAGGACCGTGCAACCCACTCGTGCAACACAACACACACGTGTGCCCCAAGGCCTGTGCACACACCCACTCTTCAGAGCCTTGGGGCTTGACCTCAGCCTGCGTCAGGGGAGATGGTGGGGACAAACTGACCATGGACTCTGCTTCCCTAAGGGTAGAGGCCAGGCCTGAGATCACTTAGAACCCAGAGCCAGCACAGTGGTTAGTGCTCAGTGGACTGGATGGATGGATGAATGGGCGAGTGAGCGGATGGATGAGTGAATGAATGGATGGATCATAGATAAATGGATGGGTGGATAGGCGGATGGGTGGCAAGATGACTAGATGGTGGGTGAGTGGGTGCTGGATGAAATGAGTGGATGGATGGATGGATGGGTGATTGGATGGATGACAATCACAGGGGATCCCTCACCCACTCCTGCCTAGAGCCAGGGGCAGGCTGGAGGCCTCCACGCCAGTGATGGGGCCCACGTGCTGATGCCAAGCCCTGTCTGCCTTCCGTGTCCAGGTGGGGACAGAGTTCACCACCATCCTGTACAACTTCATGTGTAACAGCAGCTGTGTGGGGGGCATGAACCGGCGGCCCATCCTCATCATCATCACCCTGGAGACCCGGGAGTGAGTCTGTGGGGACACGGAGGGGTGGGCAGGGCTGTGAGCCAGCTGTGGGAGGGTGGTGGCAGCGAGTGGTGCCCAGACTGGGAGGCCAGTGCACCGGGGAGTCCTGGGAGAGCTCTGCTGCCCTCACTGCGCAGCCAGGACAGGGCCTGCGGGGCGGGACGTGGGTCCTGGGGCCTCAAGGCTCTGGGTTTCCCCACCCACCAGTGGCCAGGTGCTGGGCCGCCGGTCATTCGAGGGCCGCATCTGTGCCTGTCCTGGGCGTGACCGCAAGGCCGATGAGGACCACTACCGTGAGCAGCAGGCCCTAAACGAGAACGCTACAAAGAATGGGGCCACCAGCAAGCGTGGTGAGCGGGCTCCAGCCAGGTCACGGGTGGGCCACGCGGCAGGGTGACCTGCAGGGCAGATGCAACTGGCATCTGGGGGATGGACCCAGGCCGGGCACAGCCCTCAGGCCATTAGCCTGACCCTGGCACCTCAGGTCCAGGGCGCACTCGGTACCTGGGGTCCTCTCCGTCCAGCATGGGTACTGTCACTGGGCCACACCACAGGAGGGGAGGGCACACGCCCTGGGCCGTGCCCGGCTCAGCCAGCCTTCCCCGTCCACCCTCCAGCGTTCAAGCAGAGTCCCCCTGCCATCCCTGCCCTGGGTGCCAACATGAAGAAGAGGCGCCACGGGGACGAGGACATGTACTACATGCACGTGAGTGGCACCTGGAGGGCAGGGGGCTGCAGAAGGCAAAGCAGCACCAGGCAGATCCGAGTGCAGCCTACACCAAGTCTCCGGGGAGGTGCAGCTTGGGGGACTTGAGGGGCTCCAACCCCCCAGCTCAGGAGGAGCCTGGTAGCCCTAGCAGCCAGCAGGTGGCGCCACTGCAGCCTGCGCACACAGGACCCAGTGTGCGGGCAGGCAGAGGCGGGTGAACTGGAGCCCACATGCTTTCACAGAATGGGTCTGCGATGGGAGCTTTGAATGCTTTGCATTTTCAGGGATGAGTGCCTGGTTTAACACCGTATCTGCGGGGCAGGAGGAGGGGACAGGTGGGAGTGGGGGTCATTCCCCATGGCCTGGGCCCACCCAGTGGGTCTGGCCTCTGGTCAGGCCTGAGCCTGGGGAAGAAGAAAGAAGGCTGGGAATCCTGAGCTTACGGGGTGCTGGGGAACCCCAAGGACAGACGCTCTGCTGCCAGCCAGGTCCTCCCAGAGCCGTGGCTGCCCCCCCAGGGCCGGGCTGGGTGGTGTCACGCGTCACCTGGCAGCATCCCCTGCACACAGGTGAGGGGCCGGGAGAACTTCGAGATCCTCATGAAGGTCAAGGAGAGCCTGGAGCTCATGGAGCTGGTGCCGCAGCCGCTTGTCGACTCCTACCGGCAGCAGCAGCAGCAGCAGTTCCTGCAGCGTCCGTGAGTGAGCCCGGCCCAACTGGGAGACCCTGGGGAGGCAGCATCCCTGCCTCCGGGAAGCCTTCCCAAACGGCACTGCCCTGGGACCCCGGGACCCTTCGCTTCCTCGCCCTTGAGGGGGCCTCGTTACATCTGTGGAGTGGGAAGACAGGGAGGGAAGGCCAGGTGACACTGTTGGGCGTCCCGTGTGAGACCAGGGCTCAGTGCTGACAGCCACAGTTGTGAGCAGGAGGCTGGTGGGACGAAGTCCCTCAGGCTTCTCCAAAGGGTTGGGTCTCCATCCTCGTGCACGGAGGCCATCCATGCAGGTGCCCGGTGGGGACAAGAGGCCCTGGCCACCCCTGAACTGAGCCTCTGCTCTCTGGGCAGGAGCCACCTACAGCCACCGTCCTACGGGCCCGTCCTCTCCCCCATGAGCAAAGCGCATGGCAGCGTCAACAAGCTGCCCTCGGTCAACCAGCTGGTGGGCCAGCCTCCTCCGCATGCCTCAGCTGCCGGCGCCAGCCTGGGACCCATGGGTGAGTCCCTCAGACAGTCAAGGCCCCAGGGTTGGGGAGACCGAGCCTGGATGGAGACTGTCAGTGCGCTCTGGACCTGCAGGGGCTCAGTGGCCGCCCTCCCAGCAGCTTTGGCCTGCTGTGAACACCCACCCCAGGGTCCGTGCTTCTCGGGGTCGTGGCGCGTGGGTGGGAGCATGGGCCTCACCCCTACTCCACTTCCTAGCAGCGGGGATGCTCGGAGAAGGGTCGTAACCTCACAGAGCTCAGTTTCCCTGTCAGCAAAGTGGCAGAAGCAACAGACTCACTGGTCTGGAGGGTGAGGGGCTCAGCACATGGACGGAGCTCCACGGAGTTCAGTGGGCTGCCCCAGGAGGTCCCGAGGTGGGCACGGCCCGGCCTGTCCGCTGAGCCCCTGGGCCATGGTGACTGCTCTTCACTCTCAGAACCTGAGCACCTGCACAGGCGCCGTGGTCCCGACTGGGCGCAGGGCAGAGGCCCCCGCCTTGGCCCGCAGGTGGAGATGCCAGGGGCCACGCTGCCAGGCTGACTCCTGCCTGGGGGGCCGTCGCCTGCTCCTAATGCCCACCTGCCCTCTTGCCAGGCCCCAGCATGCTCAGCAGCCACAGCCATGCCATGCCTGCCAACGGCGAGATGAACGGCAGCCACAGCTCCCAGACCGTGGTCTCGGGGTCCCACTGCACCCCACCACCCCCCTACCATGCTGACCCCAGCCTTGTCAGGTGTGTAAGCGGCCGCCCAGCCCCATCTTCTGTTCCAACCACAAGGCTGTCCCCAGCACAGGAGGGCAGGGGGGCGCCATGGTGGGTTACTCGATGGGTGCTCAGAGAGACCACCAGCCAGGGCCTCCCAAGGGAGGTGCGGCTTTGTCACTGCAGCCACCACGGGCAATGGGTGACCGGGAGCCACCCTCCGGCAGCTGTTCCACCCCCGCCAGGCCACTCAGGAGCTAACCCCGATTTCTCTGCAGTTTCCTAACAGGATTGGGCTGCCCAAACTGCATCGAGTATTTCACCTCCCAGGGGCTGCAGAACATCTACCACCTGCAGAACCTCACCATCGAGGTATGCCGGGAGGCGGCGGGGGCCCGGCCAGGGCAGCGCTCGACTTGCACAGCCTTTGCTTCGGCCGGAGCTCATGGGGAAGGGGCGGGTGGCCAGCCCGACCTCCCCGAGCTGTGCTCCAGGGCTCCTTGTCAGCATCTCCTGGTGCCCTGCTGTCCGGCTGCTTTTGACTTTAAGGGTTAGGCTGTTTCCAAGGCATAAAGAACAGAAGAAGTCAGGGGCCACAAGGAGATAGTCGAGTTTAGAGCCGTTCACAGAAGGCAGGTGGCTAACCCGGGCCACGCCCCAGGATGCCCCAGGCTCAGCACGTGTGGGCTGGAAGGACCCGGGCAACAGGGGGAAGCAGGCTGGGGTTAAATAAGAATCCTGCAGGACCAGCCCTGGCCAGGACTGCCTAGAGAAGCCCGTGCCACGCAGCAGTCAGCCTCGAGAGCTGGTGGGGGCCCCCGCTCTGTATCACCAGCTCGGCTGGGTCAGGGGCCAGCCCATTTGTCCCCAGGGCACCAGACGGGTCAGAGGGACCTGGGGTCAGCACTAACAAGCCACTCACAGTTGGCCATGCCTGCTGCCCACGAACCACCCCGAGGCAGCACGGTCTGTGGCTGCCCCTCCAGCCTCCCACTGCAGCCCTCCTCTCTCGCAGGACCTCGGGGCCCTGAAGATCCCTGACCAGTACCGCATGACCATCTGGAGGGGGCTGCAGGACCTAAAGCAGGGCCACGACTGTGGCCAGCAGCTGCTGCGCTCCAGCAGCAATGCTGCTACCATCTCCATCGGTGGGGCGGGTGAGCTGCAGCGGCAGCGGGTCATGGAGGCCGTGCACTTCCGCGTGCGCCACACCATCACCATCCCCAACCGTGGCGGCCCGGGCGGGGTGGCCGGCCCTGACGAGTGGGCCGACTTCGGCTTCGACCTGCCCGACTGCAAGTCCCGAAAGCAGCCCATCAAGGAGGAGTTCCCGGAGAGCGAGGGGCACTGAGGGCGGTGCCCTCACGCCTTCTTGGTGGCCAGAGACAGGACACGGGGCTGTGCTGAGAGACACGGCAAGGTCCTGCCCACGTCACTTCTGAGGGACATCTCCAGCCTCAGGAGCCCAGGCCTGGAGGCAACCTGCGGGCAGCCTGGCCGCCCTCCAGAGACTCCTGAGCTGCCTCCTGCGTGCCTTCAGGGGCCAGGTGGGTGGGGCACCAGGGCCGGGCCTCCCATGGTGGGTGGGGATTGTGCCTCCTGCTGACTGCCAACAAGTATTCCCACACCTGAGGACCTGGGCAGCAGCCGGGTGTGCAGATTGAAGTCTGCCGTCTCTGCCCAAGGCCGGGCTGTCGACTCCTCTGCGGGACACGAGGGTCGGCCCTGTCTCCAGCCCACGCATTCTGCAGGGACCACAGTAACTTTCCTGCTTTGCACAAAACCTGCATCTGCTGGAACTGCAGCAGGCTGTGGTTGCGAGGAAGCTCCGGTCCTGGGGACCCCGAGCAGATCGAGGGATGGCTGTAGCTCGGACTGCTGGAAATTGTCAATATTTGATAAAATGCTACGCTTTTCTACACTGTGGATCAGCTTTTTCTTTTTTAACTTTTATTCCTAATGTTCCCCATGCGTTCCACCCAGTGCCCTCCTGGCCTTTCCATGTGTTGTGCCAATACGCCAGGCTAAAGTGACAAGCCAGGGGTCAGAGGGCATCATTTGTCAGCAGCGTGGCTGGATGGGGCGCAAAGGGGGACGCCCTGCTTTGCTGCCTGCAGCTACAAGAGGCTGGGGCAGTGCGGGGCTCAGGGGCAGCTCTGTGCTGGAGGAGCCCCTGGTCCTCACAGGACAGCACTGAGGCAGGTGTAGCTGGGGACCAGCCCCTCTGGAAGCGGCCTGAGGAGTTAGGGAGCCTGGGCCCCTCAAACCGAAGGTCCATCCCACCTATGAGGACTCCCGGTAGCATCTGTGGCTGGAGCAGGAGACCCTGCGGGGACCTGCAGGATACACCCATGCCAGGCCCTATGCCTCACCTAGGGTGGCATGGCCCCAGCGCCAGCCCCATGCCTAGTCCGAGACGTTCCGACCTCCGAGCCTGGCTCCTCCTGACCCCCATGAGGCCTGGATCCTGGCTGTGCTTCTTCCCCAGAGCGGGTAGACATCACCCGTCTACTCAGCAAGTGCACCAGGTGCTGACGCAGTGTAGACGCCCCACTCCCCAGCACACTGCCTGAGGCCTGTGAGGTCCATGGAGGGTGGGGGCAGGAGGTGGGACCTCAGAGCCGCCCCTTCCCACCCAGGGCAGGCCTTGACTGGGGTTCCTTGGTCTCCCCAGAAACACAAACCCACATCCACCACAGCAGCGGCAGCAAGGGGGCTGGGGAGTGAGCATGCTTCTCTTCTTGACAGATAGGAAAACTGCGGCCAGCCGGGCCAGTCCCCTGCCTCAGGTGCCGGCCTTTGGGGAAACTCAGCTGGAGGCTGAGCCAAGGCTGAGGGGGGTGTTTCTCGGGCACATCCCCATGTGCCCCAAGTCTGGGAGGGGCTTCCTCAGGACTCCACCATGTACCCCTGGGCAGGCTTAGGAGCGGGGCCCCCTGGAGGTGGGTATCTGAAGAACCCCAGCCAGACATGGAGGAAAGATGGACACCCTAGACTGTGCTAGAAGAGCTGCCTCCACCAGAGCTCTAGGCCCTGCCGAGCCCTCTCATGAGCACTTATGAGCCCAGTCCGCCCACTCCAGAGGACACCTCGGGATGAGGAGGCCACAGGGTTGGCTCCAAAGAAGTTTCACTTCAGCAGAGGAAGTGGAACTACCAGGGAAAAGCCCTGCACGTCTATAAAACTCAAAAAGCAAGAAAAAACTAACCTCTAAGGCATAGGGCTTTCCCAGCAGCACTGAGGTGGAGGGCTGGAAGTCACCAGTGCAGTCTGGGCTCTCGTGTCCCTGTGTCCTTCTCCTCGGCAGCTTCCACCTGCACAGCGCCCCCAGGCCCAGGCTGTGGGGCGGGCACTGCGTTCAGCATCCGTTCTAGGGCCCCTGTGCAGGGACCCGCATGGAGAGAAACTGTCACTTAGACCCAGGAGCCTTTCAGGTGGGTAGGTTTCAGAAAATACGCTCTGTGTTTTACTTCTTCGAGCGGTATTAACGGATGTGTTCCAGCCATGTGAACTGCTTTTGGTGGGAAATTCTGCTTTGTAACAGAATACAGTGTGCACCCAGGGACTGGTTGTCATGGCTCCACCAAAGGCACAGATGGAGGTCCTCTTGTCCGGGTCACGTGATCACACACACACACAGGGCCACTGTGCAGGCTGGGTGCGTGCGTAGCCCCCATGCTGGCTGGACTCTCTCCTTGTTGTCACCTAGCCCATGGGCTCAGGGACGTCCCCCTGCCCCACTGCGGGTGTCCGTGGGAAGGTACCTGGCGCTGATCAGGCCTCCCCCACCCGGCCCACGACCCTCGTCTGCCCGGGAGGCAGGTCCCTGACGCTGCCCTCGGGCCCACAGGCAGCTCTCGGCTGGCAGGCAGCAGAACCAGAAACGGGGCCATGGGGCCCATGGTGGCGCTGGTCAGGCTCTGCGGCCAGGTGGGCTTCAGCCCAGTCCTCCCAGGGCCCAGTTGACTTCCCCACTTCAGAGCTGGAGACGCCTGGTGGGAGGCCTGTGTGTGGTAGAACCCGACTCGCACAAAGCAGAGCGTGACGCTGCGCTTGGCATCAGCAATACCTCGGTGTTCACACCTGCCCACCAGAGTCTTCCGTGCAAAGACCCTCGCCCTTTCCCCAGGCTCTGCCCCTGTGCTGGATGGCAAAGGTGCCAACATCACAGAGCCAGAAGCGAGCGAGCGCCCAGGATGTTCGGTAGAGACACTGCCACATTTACCTCAGGGATGGACTGAGACACCTCCCGGAAACAAGCGCAAATGCCAGCATTTTCAGCATGAGAAGAGGCTAATGTTTGCTTTGTAAAATAGTTTTTTTAAGTAGGGCATGAGAAACATAATTACAGTAAAACCTTGTTTTGCAAGCATAATTCAGGAAACATGCTGGTAATCCAAAGTACTTGTATATCAAAGTGAAATTCCCCATACAAAATGGAAACTCAGATGCTTAGTTCCATTGCTCAAAAATATTCATATAAAAGGATTACAGTACTGTAATATAATACAAAGTAATAAAGGAGAAACAAACTATGAAGGAAAATGAACCACCTGCCTTTGAAAACCTTCGCGGCTGGTGTGAGCGGACGAGAGGGGGCTATCATGCAGCACGACCTGCACCACTGACCAACCGGATCAGGGCTCTACCGGCGCAGTGGAGCTTTTCTTTCAGCGCAGCTTTAACAAGGGACCCGGCCAACGTCGCTTGTTCTCGTGGCCTTTGGAGACTTTGCAGACGTGTGGCACTGCACCGTCATTAGACAGAGTCATCACTCGCACTGCTACGGCCTTATTCGGGTGGTGATTTTCTAGGAGATGTTGCACGGTTTCCCACATTTTACATCTCCCTAATATCACTGAAACCAGGGATTCCTCCGTCTTCTCCTCCTCCTCCCCATAACCTCTTGCCACTGGGAGATGATCACCCCCAACCCCAAGAGGGAAGGAGAAGAGCCACGGCTGGTCGTGGTCCTGTGACGCTCGGCACCAGGTACGACTCGTACTGCAAGACACTGCTCGTTTATCAAGTGAGAATCTGTTAGAAATGTGCACTCATCTTGTGGAACACTCACGGGACAAGTCACTCGCAATCCGAGGCTTTACTGTACTTTCAAACACACAAAAACATCTCCGGGAGACGTGTGACTGGACAAACAGGAGCTGGACCCAAGGCAGGTGGTGCTGCCCGAGGCTCTGGCGGACAGGTGGCTTCGAGAGCCGAGGAGCAGACGGAGTAGCAGCGAGAACAGCCCCGGCCTGACAGAGAGAGCCTGTCCTTGGTCCAGGGGAGGAAACAGCGCACAGGACTTCATGCACAAAGACACCGCAAATTTCTCTGGAACTGTGCTGCACACTGGCGCTGTCCACAGCCATAGTTTCGAGAAAATTCTTCACCACTGGAATTGCCCCGCAAAGGCTCAGAGACCTCCACTACCCCCCAACTTAAAAAGTTTGACTGCAGGGGCCGGGGATTTAGCTCAGTGGTTCCGGCACCTGCCTCAAAAGTGCAAGGTCCCGAGTTTGATCCCTGGTACCAAAAAAAAAAAAAAGTTTGTACTGAGGACTGAACCCAGGGCCCTGTGCACACCAGGTGAGCTCTCTACATCCCAGCTCTTCTAAAATGAGTTTTATTTGGAGACAAGGTCTTAGTACCCTGCCCAGGCTGGCTCAAACTTGCAGTCCTGCCTCAGCCTCCTGCATAGCAGGGATTACGGGCGGGCGTGCACCACTGCACCCTCCCCAGCAGTCTTTCCCCTAGAAAAGGAGGTTAAATCTTTTTTTTTTTTTTTTTTGCAGTATGGGTACCAGGGCTCAAACTCAGGACTTTGTGCTTGTGGGGTAGGCATGGTGCCACTGCGCTAAATCCCCGGCCTAAGGAGGTTATTTCTTACGGGTGGGTAGAAGCCTTACCCGTCCAGGCGGAGTCAGTGTTTTGGGCCCCTTCTTGCCCCATAAGCACTTCCCGGGACCTCAGAGCCCCCTCAGCCCATCCTTTTCAGTGGTGCAAATCCCACCCCGCGGACGCCCGGCTGTGCACCCTGTCTGCCTTCACCTACGGGCCGGGCTCCGACGCATACCACCCGTCCTTCTGGTCACATCCTCAGCACTGGCGCCTGGGTTGGGACAGCCCAGGTCCTGGCGCACAGCCTAGGTCTCCATGTGAGCTGTCAGGTGCCTGCAGCACACAGGTCACAGGACACGCCCGGGCCACAATGCAACCCCCAGCCTGCAGACGCCACCTGGCCTGCAAAAGAACACACATGGAAGGGACAGGGGGAGGCGGCCGGTGTAACTGCCACAGTGAGAAAGGCATGGCCGAGCTTACACAGTGCCTGGTCCTAACAGGTGTGCGAGGGGCCTAGCTGTGCCTGCCGCGCCTCCACACATGGGGTTCGGGGCCTTGGGCGCCTTCCAGACACTGGGGGCACAGAGCTGGCTCGGCTCAGGGCAGGGCCTAGAGAGGGGACGCACGGACAGCGGGAAGGATGGAGAGGAGCAAGTGTGGACGGGACCAAGCCACAGCAGAGACAGGTTGCGAGGACAGAGCTGTGGAGGGAGACGCTGGGGCAGGGAGGTCTGGGAGAGGGGCTGGACAAGGGACAGAAGCCAAGCGTGTGAAGGGGCTCACGAGGGCTGAGTGGGGCCAGCACACCCACGTAGAGACCCGAGAAGCAGGCACGGATGCACGGAGGGCAGCCAGGGGACCAGGACAGCAGGGCAGGTGTCCTTGGTGGGAGAAGCTCGGGGAGTGCCAGAGTCAGGACGACTGGGTCCAGCCACGTGGGTGGCAGGTTCAGGAGAGGCCTCGCCTGGTGGCCCTGGCCTGTGGCCCTGCTGGTCCCACGCTGCCCCTCCCACCCTCACCCCTTTGTCTGCATCCACTCTCATCCCAAATGCCTGCTCCAGACCCATGACCCGTGGAGGTCACGCTGCTCCACAAGATCCGTGGAGGGCCACCTGCTCATCGCAGCTCACGGGTGCCCCCTGCAGGCAGTTCGCGTCCTGCCCGGCCCGCCACACGGCCCCGCCCAGCCGCCCCTCCTTGCTTCGGGTCCCCTCTTCCCGACAGTCCGCTCTCTCAGCCTGCGGAAGTGCCGGAAGTGCTGCTCCGCTGGGAGACCTGAGCCAGGGCCACCTGGTGCGGAGCAGCGGAGAGCACACGGGAACACCAGCCACCCAGAGCCTTGTTTCTGGTGACAAAAGGAGCCGAACAAACTGCTCTAGCAGGACACCACGAAGCCGGGAATAATACATTCATCTCGAAGTTTACTGGAGCAAGCCAGGTGCACACTTGGGATCGCAGCACTCTGGGAAACTGAGGCAGGAAGGTCATAAGTTGGGGAAATGAGCAAGATCCTGTCTTAAAATAAAATGCATTCGTTCACTCATTAAAAGGGCTGAGGATGTAACTTAGAGCAAAGGCCCTGGGTTCAATCCCCAGTACCTGCTCCCCCAGTATGCATACATATAAACACAGATGTAATAATCTCTAAGTCTTTCTCAAACTTGAACAATTTACAGATACTTTCTGAAGGGAAAATTTTTTTCAAGGAACTCTGGTGCTGACTTCAGTTATTCTGAACACAGTGCTAGATATGCCAGACACAGCCAGTGCTATGAAACCAAAGCTTGCAAACCAACACACAAGCACACAGCCATTTAAATCCACATGAACAATGCGGGACGCGTAGATCAGGCTCTGTTCACTAACGGCCTCTGCAGGGTGACTGTGACCTTGCCGGCCTTCACAAGGGTTTGGGGGAAACTGGTTCTGAGACAGAGGTCCCCACGGAGGACTCTGACGCCCCAGCAGTCTCCTCTGTCCACATGCATTCTCTGACCTCACAGGCCCCCCCACAAATAAAAGACCCAATCAAAAAATGCCCAATAAATATATGGAAAAAAGAAAACTTCAACATCGCTGGCCATTAGAGAAATGCAAATTAAAACCACACTGAGATTCCATCTCACCCAGAAAGAATGGTCATCATCAAGAAATCAAATAATAACAAATGCTGATGAGGCTGTGGGGAAGAGAAACCATCTACATTGTTTGTGGAAATGTAACTAATACAACCTCTATGGAAATCAGTATGGAGATTCTTCAAAAAGCTGAAATTAAAATCTTGTCAAAGCCAGTATTGTTGGTCTGTAGTTCTACTCATAGTATTGAACCCATCAGCAAAGCCACTTTGGGAAAAACGTGAACATAAAAAAAAAAAGAAAAACTAAAATTAGAAATTCCACTGGGCCCAGCTATTCCCTTTCTAGGTGTCTTCCTGAAAGAGTTAAAGACATCACACCCCAGTGATCCATGCACACCCATGCTCACAGGAGCACAGTTCCTAAAAGCTAAATCTTGGAAGTAGCCTGTATGTCCATCCTCACCTGAGTGGGTAAAGAAAATGTATTTATACACAATGGAGTGCTACTCTGCCATAAACAAGGATAAACCTGAATTATCTGTAGGAAAATGGATGTACCCTTAGACCATAATGCTAAGTGAAATAAATCAGATGCATAAGCTTAAATATTGCATGGTTTCTCTTATACGACAAATCCAAAATATAAATAAAGAGCAAAATAAAAGACAGCAGGAAAGAGGGAGATAGAACTTGTACAAAAGTGAAGGAAATCAAGAGATTTGGGGAGAGGAGGAAAAGGGGGTGAAGCAAAGACTGAAGATGTGTCAGGTGCATGCCCCAAGTTCCGTGAGGAATATAACCATTAGGTATGGCAAGCCTGTACTAAGAAAATTAAAGATTAAAAAAGAAAACATAGGGCCGGGGGTTTAGCTCAGTGGTTCCGGCACCTGCCTCACATGCGCAAGGTCCCAAGTTTGATCCCCAGTACCAAAAACAAACAAACAATGTAACTCTCAGGAGGGAACAGAAGGCAAAAGCTTCATGATGTTGGGTCCAGCAATGATTTCTTAGATACGACACCAGGCAACAAACTACAAACTGGACTCCATCCACACAGAAGCTTTCATCATCTGGGGCCCTGTTGCCCTCCAAGGGGGGACTTGCGTATCACACATGGCAAGGGATCAAAACTCCTAAACTCGGGACAGGGATTCAGCTCAGCGGTTCTGCTGCCTGCCTCGCAAGAGCAAGTTCCCGAGTTCGATTCTCGATACTAAAAAAACACACAAAACCACAAAAACCAAAAAAATTCCTACAGATAAAACTCCGAAATGCAACACAACCCCACCAAACTGAAAAAAAGGAAGAAATGGGCAGAACTCAAACAGATGTTTCTCCAACGCGTGTGTGGCAAGGTGGTCAAGGTCAGGGCCACCACAGACCCGTGGTTCGGGCCGCAGTGGGCACCGCCTCACCCACCAGGGCTCTTCCAGTGTGCACGGTGCTGGGATGGTGGGAACGAGGTGAAGGGCGCCGATGGCAAACGTTATGTTACACGCATTTTATCACGATCCCCGCAGAAAAATGACAAGCCTTTCTCCGGGGGAGCTCACCCCTGCACCCCATGTTTTTTGTAGTGGCAGGGACTGAACCCAGGACCTTGTACAGGCTAACCAAGCGCTCTGTCACTAAGCTACATCCCCAGCCCTCTTGTGAATTTTAATTTGAAACAAGGTCTTGTTAAGTTGCCCAAACTGGGCTGGAACTTGCAACCCTCCTGTCTCAGCCTCCTGTAGCTGAGATTACAGGCTCACACTACCACAGCCAGCTCCCAACTCTTTGTTAAAACAGGGGTGCAGGGCTGGGGGTGTGGCCTGGTGGTAGAGCACTAGTCTAGCGTGCATGAGTTCTGGGTCGGATCCCCAGGACACCCCCAAAAGGCAGGTGTTAAGAAATGCTTCTAAATTGACTAAAGATATTAACATTTTCCTAACAAACTCACTGAATGCAGTGTCAGATTTTAAATAAGGTGGAAAACTGGTGATGAAGACTTAAAAAGAAATCAGTAAATACACCGGGAAGAGGGGAGGATGGGTAGCCGGGCTCGGGCTGCACCTGCACTGGTGAGGTCCTGAGATTCGGTGGGAGGAGCCTCCAGGTTGCTCTGACCCTTTTCCTAGTTGCAGGAAACAGGTGGGGCGATGCCTGTCTCTATGGAGACTTCTGTGATGCCACACACTGCCCCAGGGTGCCCTGGCAGGAGTCTGGAAGCTCATCTCCTCCCACCTGGAGTACAAGGTCCAGTTCCCAGGCCAAAGGGTGGTGGGCTGCCTCGCCCTGGGGGACAGACCCGGTCCTGGGGCCCCCCTTCCTGATGTTCCTGAAGAAGACCAGCGTGCTGTCAGAGGGGCACAGCATGTCCCCCATCCCGATCACCCAGAGCCTGCGGATCCTGCGGAGTGTGGCCCGCAGGGAGGCCCCCTGCTCAGAACGAAGGCCACACCAGGCCCCACACAGCCTCAGCAAGTCAGCTCTGGCCACCTCCTGCTACTCGAGGAAGACGGTAGGGCCTCCTCCCGCCCTAGCGTGCCACAGACACTGGCCGGGGTCTGGGTGTCCAGGACCCCGCTACTCCTGGGGACAGGCCCTGCTGGCTTGGCCTTATTCCTGGAGGGCCTGGCCTCCCAGGCTGCCCTCACCCTCGGAATACCTTGGCTCCCACTTGCTCTACCTGGTCACACCCATGGCAGGACCTTGGCCCCAAGCCCAGCAGGGAAGAGACGCCCTCTGCTCCCAGACTTCCTTAGGCTGCAGGGTGACCACCCCTTCCACCTGGGGACGTAACCGGGGTGTCCCAGCCTGCGGGGAGGGCATGGGCTGCTGCGGAGGGCGTCCTGGGTCTCATCCCCCTGCCACCGCCCCATTCCTGCTTTCCAGAACGTGCCCAAGGCTGTCCCCAGCCTCAGCGGCTTTGCGCCCGAGATGGAGGCACTGAGGAAGGCATTCCTCATGCGGCCCGGCTGCCCCCAGTTCAGCACCAGGGCGACATCCATGTCTCATCTGGGTAAGACCTACTGCCTCAGCCTGCTGTGCTTCCGAAACCCACTCCCGGCACAGGAGGGGCAGAAGAGGACTGAATGCGTCTCCCATACTGTTTGTCTCCAGCGGCTGCCACTCTCCCTCCTCTTCCTCCTCCTCCTCTTCCTCTTCCCCCTTCTCCTCCTTCCCAGTACTGGGGCCAAACTCAGGGCCTTTGCTCCGAGACACATCCGTCTGCTTATTCATCTACTTACTATTTTTTCATTTCAAGATGAGGTCTCCCTAAGTTGCCCAGGGTGGTACTGAACTCAGGAGTCTCCTGCCTCAGCCTGGAACACAGGCATGCACCACCACACCCACCTGTCTCCCAGCCTTCTGGCTTTGTTACCATCTCCTCCTGCAGAGGTTCTGTGGGGTTGGTGGGCGCCTGGATGCAGGAAGGAGGCTCAAGCTCACCAGGAGCCTCCTGGCCCTCTTGTCTGAGGCCCCCAGGTGCCGATGCAGGACACGAGGCTCCAGGCCCCGGACACTGTCAGAGCCATGTCCTGTGCACAGTAGTGGGTGGTGACCTGGGCTCCTGCCCAGGGCCCTGTGGGCAGGGGCTGTGTAGCACTGGGAGGTGGGCTCTGTCTGCTGGGGACTCACCTCGGCGGCAGGGGACACGGCCCACACTCTCACTGCTCCCGCTGTCTGGCCCACGCGTCCTGGAGAAGTCCCCTTCGCCCTGCCGAGGTTCACAGACAAGTGATGCCCCGGGGAGGGGGCGCCTTGGTCACCTCTGGGCACCTTCCTCTCTGCAGGCTCGGGATCCTCCATCCACCCGCCCAGGGTGTTGGGCAGCCGCTCCAAGAGCCAGAGGGGGATGGAGGACTGGCTGCTGGACAGGCAGGACTCGGACCAGAGTTCAGAGGGTGAGGAGCCCCCAGGCCAGGCCCGAGGCTGCCTCTTCAGGCACCCTCGAGGGCTTCCACCAAGCGGGCTGCTGCCTGCATCCACACAGCAGCTGAGGACTTTGTCCCTCACCTGGGTGCCCATGACGTCCCCTCCTTGAGCCAGGAAGCCTGTGAAACGCATCTCTGCAGGCAAATGGGCTTCCCGTGCCTGCTGACCAGGACGTCCACCCTCAGATGCGTCCCTCTTCGCCTTCACTTGGGGTCACCTGGGGCTAGGAGTGACTGAGCCGCCGGGGCTCGGGAAGGTGGTGAATGCACCCCGTAGTCCAAAGAAGGGGCGACAAGGCGGGGAGGGACGGGCTGCAGGGTGCACAGGGCAGCACGGGGTCCGGCTGTTACTGCTTCGTCCCTTCCTGAACAGCGCTGGGCAGGGTGTGGCCACTGTAAAGCTGCCTCCTCCAAGCAGGCTCCTGCAAGCCACGCTGACTTCTTCAGCTTCAGGATGGTGGCAGATGTTGGAGGCAGGAAGAAACCACCAGGGCAGACGAGGCCTCTGAGGGGCTTCACTGGTGATGTCGAAGAACACGCCAGGGACCAACAGCTCTGTGTCTCCGACAGGGCGCCCCCTCCTGGGCAGCAAGAGCGACTGCCAGCTCAGCACGCAGAGGAAGAGCACCTCCCAGACCCTGAGTCCTGTGTGCAGCTGGGGGGGCACAGACCAGAGGCTGCCCTGGTACATCGCGGTCATCCAGGAGAAGGTACTGCCCTGTGCTCCTGGGTCCTCCCTGCAGCTGCTGGCAGCCCCCAGCGAGGGCCTGGAGTGGCACAGACAGCCCCCGGCTCCTGTCCGTCCTCCTGCCCCTGGGCAGCAGCTTTAGCTGGCCCCAAACTCGCCAAGATTTAAACCTCCAGCCTCACACATGGCTGAAATCCCAGAACTTGGAGGCCAAGGCAGGAGGACCGCCTCAAGTTCAAGGTCAGCCTGGGCTACATAGTGAGACCCTGGCCCTCCTTCCCAAAAAACAAAACCTCCAGCCTCACGTACTTCAGGGGAGCCCCACTCTGAGTAATGCAACTCGTGACCACTACGCTCAGTCCACTCGCTGTGACCGAACCTTCCAGAAGATGCGTGTCTGGCTTACACTTCGCGTGTTTTAGGGTTCTGTTGTCAGTCTTAGCGTCAAAGTCACTCTGGCCTCATTTTCTAAAAACCTGGCAGGTGCTTCCCCTTTTTCTTTTCCCGGTCTCTGAAAGGAATCTGACAAGCTTGCTGTCACCTCTCCCCTAAATTATGAAGAGTTTCCTCGCGAAGCTGTGCCTGGGGGTTTCTTACAGGAGAGGTTTATGATTGCAAATTTAACTCCTTTGTAAAACAGGCAGTTTGTTCTTTTCCCCCCTCCCCCGCCCCTTCCTTCCTTTCCAGACAGGGTCTTGCTATTTACTGGGGCTGGCCTTGAACTTACTACATGGCCCAAGCTAGCTAACTTGCAGTGAGCTTCCTGCCTCAGCCTCCGAGACCTGGGAATACAGGTATGCTCCACACACACAGCTCCTTTTCCCTCCTATTTCAGGTTGACAAGCTTCGTTTTTTAGAAACGTGTCTCTTTCGTGTAAATCTTCAGCTTCACCGGCCTCACACTGCAGGATCTGAGGATAACCTTGTCGCTCCGCCTGTCGGCTCGGCAGGCTGGCCCCGTTTTCCTCCCTGGTGTCGAGACTCTGGCCTCGCCCTAGCAGTCTTGCTGCAGAGTGATCCCTTCTAAGTCCCCTTCTCAGCACCTGCTGGAGGCGTTGCTGATTTTCTTATCACTTATTCTCGTTTTCAAGCTGGCGAAAGACACTCGATAGGTGTCGGGGTCTCCTGGGCGCGCTCACGAGCGTCCTCGGTGGCGCCAAGAACCGGAAGTGCCCGCGAGCTTTATTGCAAGGGCAGAGATTCACGCTCACCGGAAGCAGAGGCCGCTCAGGCTCCGCGTGGGCAGCGTGACGGCTGCGCGCTCACGTGACCCTGGGGCTCTGCGCATGCTCCTTCGCGATGCCTCTGTTTCTCTCAGCTCCGCGAGGCGCCATCCCTGGGCTTCACTGCGCCTACGCGCTCCGGGGACCTCTCCCGGGGCCGCGGTTTCCTAGTCCACAGGAACAGGTGTTCAGTGAGAGGCGAGGTCGGGGGCGTCTCCTGCCGCTGCTGGTTTCTTCCAGCCTCCGCTGCCCCCATCTGTCCCTGTGTTAGGTCCGTGATAGTTGACGTTTAGTCCTGAAACTCCGCGTGTGCTTGACTTAATAATTTCAAAATTGCGCCTCTTTCCCAAGCAGCTCCCCTTCTGAGGAGCGATTCCAGTCACACAGATCTCTGGAAAAGGACACTGCTGTCCGCGGAGGTTTCTCAGACCTTGTGCCTGCACCGCCCAGGGGAAGGGCTGCAGGCCTGGCTGTCTCCAGGCGCTGGAGCAGTATCGCTAGGGATTCTCTCTCTCCCAGCTCTCATAGACAGAGCCCTCCACCTGTGTTAACAAGCTGGCGGTGTGCAGACGCAGCAGTCAGCGCTGGCATCTTTGGGACCTGTGTATGCGTCCCAAATCACAGAGGAACAATAAAATGTGATTTCTGCAGTCTTCCTTTTTCCCTTTAACTTTTTATCAGACACAAAGAAAAACTGTGAAAACAGCACAAATAATGTCCGTATACCCTTTAGCCTTCCCAAATATTATACCGTTACACTGGATGTGGTGGTGCATGGCTATGATCCCAGCACTTGGGAGGCTGAGGCAGGAGGATCTCTGTGAGCTCAAAGCCAGGCTGAACTACATAGCGAGACCCTCAAAAAACAAGACGAAACAAACAAATAAATATTACACTACTACCTCATCTGGTTTGCTCTCTCCTCTCTCTCTTCCTCCCCATATAATTTTTTCTTACTAGCGCATGTTTGCAGTACGTAATGTTTACCCTTCTGGTGTGGGGTTGATGCATGCACAGAACACATTGTCATTTCTTTTCCCTCCCCTTTCCCTCCTTCCCTCTCCTTCCTCCATCCCCTTCCTCTTTAAGAAAGCACTAGCTCCCTACTTCCTATTACCCCTTTTGTATTTTGCTCTTTATTTATGATTTGGGTTTCTCATATAAGGGAAACCATGCAGTATTTAAGCTTGAGTGTCTGATTTATTGCACTTAACATGATGGTCTCAAGGTGTCTCCATTTCCTATAAATGCCTTGACTTTATCCTTCTTTGGGGCAGAGTAGTACTCCATTATGTGCAAACAGCACATTTGCTTTATCTAATCATCTGTCGATGGACGTACAGGCCGTTTCCAGGATTTCACTATGGTAAATGGTGTTGCTATAAACATGAGTGTGCATGGGGTAATAGGATGTCTTTAACTCTTTCAGGAAGATTAGATGCATCTTAAGGCTACATGTTTGGCTTTGATCACAGCCTTTGCTGCATCCCAAGGCTTGTTATGGCCAAACACTCGCTGTCATTCAGTCCTCAGCGTTTGCCAGCTTCCCTTATGATTTCTTCTGTGCCCCTGAGCTGCACTGAAGTCTTTCACTTCATTGGCCAACATTCAGAGGGGTTCGAGTTGTCTTCCCTTCCAGAGTAGCCTGCCCGCGGTCACTTTCCTTCCGCCTGGGAATTTCCTTTGTTATTCCTCCAAGCTCAGATGCGCTGATGAGGACTTCTTTTAGCTTCCCTTTTGGCCAGGTGCTTGCCAGGAGCCGAGCCCCAGAGCTTGTGGGAGCTGCCATGGGTCTCCCTGAACCGGGACTCAGATTCAGGGTCTACTCTTAGGAAGTGCAGGGCCCATGGGGACACGGCTGTGTCTGCAGTAGAGGGGACGGGGATGGGGGTACAGGCGGCTGGGCATGAGGAGAGAGGGTCTGTGAGGTGCCACGCCCAGGCTGCTGGTTTTCCCCAGGATCGCTCCCTGCTGGCGCTGGGAGAGGAGGTCCAGCGTTTCTCCAAGCTGGAGACGCAGGTCCAGAAGAAAGACCAGGAGATACAGATGCTGCAGAGGGAGATGGAGGCCCTGCAGAAGCAGCTGAAATGCATCATCCGTAACAAAGGCCTCAAGACACCTGAGCGCCCGTCCTGGAGGGTGAGCCAGCTCCTGACCAAAGACTCTCCCAAGGCGCCTGATCTGCTGGTGCCCCACAGGGCTCCTGGTGAATCCCAGACCCCTGGAGTATGGGCTGGGTCTTGGGGTCCTGTAGACAGGTCAGAGCTCAGGGGGCATTAGGCAGCGGCAGGAAATATATAGACACCGCTTGCTCCTGGAAGAGCCTGGTGCTTTCTAGCTCAGTCTCCACCCCTTACCTGTGGATTCCCAAGCCATGCTGTGGGTAGCACGGGCACCCTGACCCGGCGTGAACCCTTCTCCCTATGTCCACCTGAACATTCCAGCTATGCGGAGGGCCTGGGGCTGGTGAGCTCCTGATCTTCCTTCTACACCTGAGGGCATAGCCGTACCCGTGCTGGGCAGACACGAAGTAGGGGCCACCGACAAACACTGATGGCCCAGTGGACACTCAGGGTCCCTACCCCCTCTCCAGGGCCTTTGGGTGGTAGTATGGGCAAGACACCCCTCTGGGGCACGCCAAGTGTGCTTATCTGTGGCTGGCACCCTTCGTAGCCCCCACGAGCATGCCCACCCTGAGGCCAGTGGCAAAGACTGTTCCCTCCAGCAGTCCCCACCCCGCTCCTCCTCATCTGCTTCTGGGTCCCTGCCTGGACACAGAGAGGCCACCGCCCCTTCCGGGAGGAAGCTCCCAACCAAATCCAAATCCTGGGTGTCTTACAGGAGTCTCCCTTGGAGGCGGGGCCCATGCTGGGGAGGCCGAGCCTCCTGAAGACCACCCACACAGACCAGCAGGATGTGCTGCAGCCAGCACAGGTGTGACCCTGGGGAACAGCATGGGCAGCTTCAGCCCACAGCCATGCTGCCCTGGCCTCCTCTTTCGGCATTGCCTGCTATAGGCCTGACCTGGGCTGGCCCTGCCAAGTGTGGGTGTGGGCTGGGTCAGCTTGGCCCCCAGGGTGTCCTGCCAGGCCTGGCTCTTGCTCCACCTGGATGGGGGTCCCTTCGGCCGGGACTCCACAGCCAGAAGAAGATGCCCGCCATGTCCTCTGCCTGAGACACCCAGCTCCCTGCCCTGCCCTCCTTTCTTCCCTCTCCCAGATGCAAGGAGAGGACTCCCCGGCTGAGCTCGGCAGGGCACTATCCCTGGAGCTGGGGAGTGATGAGGAGGACCAGGGCCCAGGCCCAGAGCCCAAGGGGGCTGGGGACGGCGCCGCTGGTGGGACAGGGGCTGTGCAGCAGGAGGGTGCAGAAGAGGAGGAGGAAAAGGAATTGGAAGAGGAGGACGAGGAGGAGCTGCCCCAGGAAGGGGGCGGAAGCTGGGGACAGGCGTTCTCAGTGACCGAGTCACTCGAGGATGAGCTCTTGGCCCAGCTGGAGGAGTACGAGCGCACGCTGCTGGAGTTCCAGGACGAGCTGGAGGCCATCGGGATCAGATTCTGCCTCGCCACGGGTAGGACAGCGGGCGGAGCATGGGCGGGCAGCCGGCAGCACAGCCTAGCCCTTTCCTCCTGCTCCCCGCTCTGCAGGAACCATTGCGTCCTTGCAACGACAGCTGACATTCCAAGAGTCCCAGATGCAAAAGGTCAACATGGAGAACGAGGCACTGCAGAAGGAGCTCCGTGAGCGGAAGCAGCAGCTGCAGGCCATGTCCGACAAGGTGCCTGGCCCAGTGCCCCCGGGTCCCCATAACCCAAGGCCCCAGCCTACTGATGGGGACCCAGGCTCAGGGCAGCCAGGCAGCCGACAGGCCAAGCCTTGGTCCCCACCAGGTCTGGGGGAGGCCCTGGCTCACATGCCTCCGCTGGCCCCTCTTCCTGTCTCCCGGTCACAGTGCCCTTGGCCACTCCCAGCATGCCTGGGGCTGTGTGAGCTTATGTGAGCTGGGCTGTGGGCAGCAATGCCAGACTCCACGTGGCCCTCTGCTTCCCAGCTGCTAGGAGGTTCTGCGGCTCTGCCTCTACCAGAGCTCCACCGGAAAGGCTGAAGCTCTCATCCCGGCGGTGCAGGGCAGGGGACCAGGTGCAGTGGTCACTCCGTCCTCTCCGACCCTCTGCCTCCCCCAGTTCTCCAGGCTCCGGGAAGATAAGAAGCACCGGGAGGTAATGGGGCTCATCGAGAAGGACAACCTCAGTCTTCGCCAGGTGACAGCCGGGTGGTGCTGAAGGGTGGGCAGGTCACAGCCCCTGCTGCCGTCAGGACTCAGGGATGGGAGATAAAGTGTGGTCTTCGAAGCTGGGCGGGGGCCGCTTACTCTCTGGCCCGCTCAACCCATCTTGGGCCTGCAGCCCCTGCAAGGGGCCCCTGCCCAGGTCACAGCCGGGCTGGCTCCAGGGTGAACTGCTTCTCCATCTTTTGAGAAACGTGGTGGGGGCCACACAAGAGCAGCTGCAGCCAATCGGCCTCTGTGCCGTCCTCCCCAGTGTGTGTCAGACCTGGAGTGGCAGCTTGCCAAGCGGGACGGGGCCATCGCTGAGCTGATCGCCAAGGTCAGCTCGCTGCAGGCGCAGTTCGGCCTGGAGCAGGAGCATGTGCAGTGGTGGCGGCAGCTACAGGAGGACGTGCGGGGCAGGAATGAGTCCATGCAGCAGGCGGAGCTACAGGCCCGGGTGGCCCTGGAGAGCACCCAGGCCCGGGTACGCCATGTGCTGCTGGGGTCCAGCTAATCATTATCTCGGTCCTGGTGTCACAGTTCTGGAATCTTCGCGGCAGGTTCAGGACAACCAGGTGTAGGGACTTCCCTGGCACAGGTGGAAATGGCCCTCCCTGTCCTCAGTCCTGCAGGTGTGGGAGTCTGTCCGTTCGGGGCCAGCAAGCTTGATTGGCCAACTTCAAGCAGACACTCCCTAAATGACTGGCACTCTGTATGTAGAGCTCAGAGGAGAGTTGACCCAAGTTCTACAGCAACCAAGGGTACAAAACCAAAGTCACACTCGGTTCTGCTTTAGTCCCGGATCAGGTGTCTGAAGGCCCAAGTGAGGAGTTAAGAGTCCTAGCAACCACGGCTCTCCAGGCCCCAGCTATCACAGGAGAGAACTCAGATCATGTTTTAACAGCAGCGGGAAGCCGGGTTCTGCCTGCTTCCTGTCCCTGCAGTCACTGTCCCTGGACCAGCCGTGTGGGTCAAGCGCAGAGGAGTGGGTCCCACTCACCCCTTCGGTGATGTCTCCATTTGGTTTGTTTTGAGACCTGGAGGTTCTTCCCATACTCACGCAGGGTCTGTACCCGGCCTCCTCCACTCTCTTCGAGGGGGTCCCATCCTCTAGCTGGAGTTTGAAGCTCCCAGCTTTTGCCGATCTGTCTATAGCTAATGGTTCAGGAAGTGAAGACATCGGCTTTGCCTTTCTAGCAGCCCGCAGCCGTCGTCTCCAGCTGCTCAGGACTGCGCTGTTTCCGAGGGCCTCTGCCCACACTGCACGGGGAGTGCGACACCCTTGGCCACTGCCCACTTGGGTTGACGGTGCGGGAGTGGGCAGGGCCTTGGCTTGTTCTGTCTCAGTCTGGGCACCTGGGAGGGAGCTGATGCTGGAGAAGTGGGGGAGGAGGGAGGGAGGGAGGGTAACGGGAGGGCCCAGGGTGAGAGAGGACCTCGTGTGGGGAAGAAGAGATCTCGGCCTGGGCCATGAGGTTGCTCGGGACTTGACAGGGCAGCCAGGAAGGCGGGCAGGAGGGCAGGGATGACCAGTGCAACCCACTTCTGATTCCAGCCGAGGTCCCGGGCTCGCAGAGTGGCAGTCGCAGCCCAGAGTCGCAGCCCACTGTGAGGCAGGCGTCCTTGTCCTCCTCTCCCTGTGCAGGGAGGGTGGTGACCCAGCCCGTGTGCAGGCCATGGGGACTGAGCCCGGCCGCCTTCCCGCAGGCCCAGGGAGGGGGTGCCCTACTCCTGAGGGACCCAGGCCCAAGAGGGAGTCAACACATGACGTCCCTCCCGCCATCCACACACCCTGGATGCCACCTTCACTCCTCTGTCCTCCACCCTGTGCGGGCCAGCACTCTCCTGGCTGGCTTGGACAGCGTCACTGAGGCGCCCACACCTGGCTCTTTCTGCAGCTGACCGTGGTCCAGCTTGGTCCCACGGGAGGTGTGCACCTGGCCAAGGTCTGCGTTTCACCGCGTGCCACCGCATGCAAGGGAGAGCCAGGAATGCGGTGCTGGGGAAAGTCCCAAGGCTGAGGCTGGGGCCTGCGCGTTTAGTGCTGATGGGGGTTGTGGGCGCCCAGGCTGGACCCCCGGTGCCCTCCACCACTGGTGCAGAGACCAAGTCCCTCATTCCCTCAGCACTGCTAGCACTGAGCACGGTGCTTGGGACAGACTGAGCACCCAGCAAATCCTCGGCCTGTGTGGGACTCCTGGACATCTCTGCACTGTCGGAGCTCTGGACACAGAAGGGCCAGGAGCTGGTGCTGGGGGTGTGGCTGGGAGGGGACCCTGCCTGCAGGCTCCAGGGTTCACAGGACGTGTGACGAGCTTGCCCAGGTGAGGGTTGGCAATTCCCTCGTGGAGGGAAGTTCATGGCAGCGGAAGATGGGCAAACCTCAACAGTGCAGCCCCCGGGGCTCTGTGGGCCCTGCTGGGATCCAACGTGCTGCCCTGGGTTCCGAATCGAGGGAGTGCCAGGGGCCCGCGGGTGGGTCCTGCTGACTGATGTTAAATGACAGAATCCAGGGCCCACAGTGCTCCTGCTTCCTGGAGGATGCCCCGAGTCCCCGGTGGAGTATGCTGGTGGAGCTCCACTGGGCGGGGGACTGCAGCCTGGTCCTGTGCAGCTTCCATTGCTTGGTTTTTAAGACATGTGCATGCTGCATGTTTCCACGTGATTCTTCCTCCTGGACCCCATTTCCAGCTCTTAAGACCAGGATAGCGAGGCGGGGATGTTCCTTCCCAGCCCTCAGAGCCTGCACATGGTGGCAGATGTGGCACGTCTTCCTGGGTGACGGTCTCTCCTCTGTTCGCAGCTTGAGCGGCTGAGGAGCAAGATCATGCAGGCGGCCTTCAGCGTCACAGGGGTGGAGGCGTTGGCAGCAGAGATCTCTGACAATGACATTCTGGAGGCCCTGCAGGTAAATCCCACCCTCGCTGCCTCCCAACCCAGGGGCCTCAGGGCCCATGACCTGCAGCTGGGGGATGAGGGATGCCTGGGCTTGATTCGGGGGGCCCTGTTTACCCATGCACCGTGACCTCAGGGCCATCCCTAGGGGTGGCCAAGACTTGAAGCAGGCGAGAGTCTGGGCTGCTCTCAGCCTCGAGAGGGAGGGTACTAAGTGATCCTGACCCTAACCTATGGCTGAGCCGGGTTGGGCTGACTCCTCACTGGCAGCAGGGTGCTGGCCTGAGGGTCACCATCCACCAAGGTTGGGGGGGAAGTCTGGGGGGGTCTCCTGGAACCTCTGATGGGGTTCTTTGGTTTTTTGTTTGTTTGTTTGAGATGAGGTCTCGCTATATAGTTCAGGCTGGTCCTGAATTCACTGTGTAGCCCAGGCTGGCCTCAAACTCTCAGAGATCCCCTTACCCCAGCCTCCTGAGTGCTGGGAGTACAGGTGTGTGCCACCTGGATTGGCTTTGATCCAGGTTCTTTGTGTCACCAACGAGAATTAGACATGAGCTCTGGAGCTGGTTTGCAGAAGCAGACATTTAGTGAAAGCAAAGGCATGTGCAGAGAGGTGCAGCGTGCACAGCGTGATGGACCCACTCACACGACACTGGGGCTCTATGCATGCTCCTCCGCGATGCCTCAGTTTTAATCAGATCCACGAGATGCCATCCCTGGGCACCAGGGCTTCATTGCCCCTGGCATCTACCTGGGGTACTCTAGTGCCCCGTGCCCATGCCCCTCTGGGGACTTGTCCTCTCTGGGAATTGTGGGTTTGTCATCCCGCTCTTCAGCTGCAGGAGCAATGGCTTCTAACTGCAGAGCAGATGTTAAGGTTGGAGACCAGGCTGGTGGCTTCTCCTGCCATAGCTGGTTTTCTACCCATACCTGGAACACCTGCTATCTGACCCTGGCTCTTGGGGAGCCGGGAGGGCCACCAAGGGCGCTTTCTCGTGCAGAGGATCATTTTGGAGAGGAACGACTACTACCACCAGCTGAAGCAGACTGGGGCCAAGGTGCCCCCGCCGCAACAGGTGGAGATCCCGCCCAGCAAATCCAAGAAGACGCTGTCCAAGTAGGCCGGCGGTGGGATGTGGCTGCGTGGGACCACCCGGCTTCCCGTGTCTGCCTGAGGAGTAAACCCTGGTGTCTGCCCAGCCTCACCTTTTCCTGCCTCGTACCCAGGCCTGGGCCTGGGAGGGGGCCGCGAACCAGCCCAGGGTCCTTGCTCCTTCCTGGGGGGACCTACACTGATCTGGGTCGCTTCCAGCTCTCATCCCCGAGCTCACATCCGCCAGGTGGCCTCCTGCTATGGGCTTGCCTGGCCAGGCCACTCCCTTATTGGCAGGGCCCTTGGGATAGGGTGTATATGGGGCTCCTCCCATCTTCCCCTCCAGCAGCCCCACTGTTGATCTGAAAACGCGCTGCGGGACTCAGCACCCGCAACTGTGGCACCCCCTGCTCCCACAGCAAGGGGCTGCACGGGGCCAGGGCAGGCGCCGGGCTGGAGGAGGGCGGTCCGGGAGGAGGGCAGCAGAGTGTGCAAACAGTCCGGGCCTCCTGGGGCGTCCTGCCGCTCGAGCCGGGGCCTCGGGGCTGGGAAGGACGTGCGCTCAGGCCCCGCTGGCTGCCCTTCCCTCTCCGCCGCAGGGTCCGGGTCGCTCGACGCTCGTTGCTCGGCAGTTGCAATTCCAGGCCCCGCCCCTGCACGACCAGTCCCCGCCCACCAGCCCCAGACCCCGCCCCGTCTCGCAAGACCCCACCCGCAGCTCCGCCTCCACCCAACCAGGGCACGCCTTGGCCCTGGCCTGCCCCCATACACTCCGGCCCCGCCCCTCTCTGCCGGGCGGAGACGCGGCGGCGGCGCGCGCACCCGGGGTGGGAGGGGGGGGCAGGAGAAACGGAGACGTGCGGGGCGAGGCCCGGGGCAGGGGGTCCTGCTGCCGCTCTCAGCGCCCCGAGGCCGCGGCCTGAGCCCGAGAGACCCAGGTGGTGCGGGCCTCCTGGGCCGAGCTCCCCTTCCGCCGCGCCTCCTGCGCTGTTTTGTCCCCAGGCGCGAGGCGCCACCGCCGAGGACGCGAGCGCCGCAGGACCGCGTCTGTAAGTGGGTGTCTCCGAGGCGCAGGGGACCCCCTGCTGCAGGGCCTCTGTGCTCTCACCGCCCGAGCTGGGTGGCTGTTGAGTGGGGGACCCAAGAGCCCGGCCCAGGGACCTTGGTGGCATCTGGTGGCTCCGGTTCTACGTCAGCCAGCAGATAACAGGCTCCCCTGTCCCAGGCTGAACACGTCGGGCGGCTGCCCTCCCATCGGAAGCCCAGCTCAGGGGGCAGTTGTTAGTGTGGATCTCGAGTCAGCCCTCTCAGCGAGTTAGGGTTGCAGGGATGTCTCCGTTGCAGGGTGGCTGCTGCTACTCCAGCCATCATATCAAGGCCCGAAGGAGGTGGCTCCACATTCCCCCTGCTGCGCAAGGCACTTTTCCCACAGCTGGTGACGTGGCAAGGAAGGGACCAGGGGCATGAAGCTTTTCTCAGCCCAGTCATGGCTGCCTGAAACAAGGTTGAAATTTTGCCCTCCGGAAGCCGGGTCAGTCAGCTGGCAGGTCCTCTTGAAGATCCGGGGCCGGCTGTGCCCCAGGCGGCCCAGTGCAGGACCACAGCCCCACTGCTGGGGGCCCAGCCAAGGCTCAGCTGCCAGGAGTGGGGGCCCTGCCGCTGCCTGCTGGGGACCCCACAGCTGGGCGCTGGGCTGATGAGGTTGTAACCGAGGTCTGGGGTGAGCGGGATGCATAGCAAGTGCCCCACCCAGGCAGCTGCCTTCCTGCTCAGTGACCCCATCGCCCCGGGGCGTGCTAGGGCCCTGTGGATTGCTAGGCTGTAGTGATGTAGCTGCGCCCATCTGAGCCCAGCAGGGTCCCACCTCCTGCCCCTCTCTGCATGGCTTCCTGGAGCCCCTGGACCCCTTCTCAGTGGCAGTGGGCAGGGGAGGGGCTGAGAACACAGTTGTGGCACTGCCCAGGCCAGCCAGGTCATACCAGCCGCCACCTCTGTTCATCCCCAAGGAGCTGAGGACAGCCTGGGGCCTAATCTGCAGGCCCAGGGAGGAGGGTGGTTATCGGCTGGGCTCAGGGTGCTGACCCCAGGGTGAGGGCGGCACTGGTGGGTGCAGGTCTCCCGCCCTCCTGATAAAGGCAGCCCGCAGGAGGCCCCAGGTGTGGTTCTGGGTGGAAATGTGGCCCCTTGCTCTGCTGGGTCAGGCTGGCCTCCTGGGGCTGGACTTCCGGCTGTGGCCCTGTCTTCGGACACCACCTGGGCAAGTTACTGTGTAACCACTCTGGTGAGCCGAGTAAGCCAGCCCATCTGAGTGTCCCTCCCCGGCAGCCTGCCTCAGCCTCCCTTCCCCGGGCTGCCAGCATGGAGGCCCCGGAGAGCCGTGTCCACTACAGCAGGTGGGAAGACAACAGCCAGGACGAAGTCAGTGTGGCCGCCGTGTCAAGCACAGAGGCCTCCGGCTGCAAGGCGTGAGTAGAGGAAAAGCCCACCTGGCCCAGCGGGCTGGGCACCCCGATGGACGCCAGCTGTGTCCTCCCACCGCCCAGCTTGTGCAGGCCCACGGCTGTCCAGGGCCGGGCCCTTGGCCTTCCTGTGGGCTGTGCTCTGGGGGGCGGGTGTCCTCAGCTCCAAGAGGCACCCAGGCCTGCTCTGCCCAGGCCCTCTGACCCTGCTGGCCACCCCGCGCGGGCACCCACTTGCCCTGGACCCCACCCCTCTGTCCACTTGGGAGGGCCCCAGGCTCACCACCAGCGGTTCTTGCCCTAGGGTCTTCCGGAAGCTATGCACAGGCAAGCTGGGCATCGCTGTGAAGGTGCTGGGTGGGGTGGCCCTTTTCTGGGCCATCTTCATCCTGGGCTACGTCACTGGCTACTACGTGCACAAGTGCAAATGAAGGCTGCCCAGCTCACATGCCTGGGCGCAGAGACACCCAGGTGCCCAGACCCTCTCCAGGCCGCGGGCCCCAAGGCAGACCCGGCACGGGGCGGCGCTGGTGCCAGGCACAGGAAGATGCCAGAGTGCAGCTGTCACAGCAGCACCAAGAGCGTGCAGGCAGACGGACAGGTGCACGTGCCACGCTCCAGCTCTCGGGTCCTTCGCGGGACGAGACGCCTGTGTGGCACACACTGCTGGAGGCCCCGACCCATCCGGGCAGGAGCTGCAGGACCTCCCAGCTCAGGCCTTCGGCCACAGCTCTTCCACCCGGGTCCCGTGAGCCCTGGGCACGCTGGGTACTGTCCTCCCAGCCAAGAGCCCAGACCCTAGGCAGCCCCCCCCCGCAGGCCTTCCTGACTCCGGATCCTGCGAAGAGACCCCTATATGGGCAGCCCCGCCCAGCCTTTGCCAGGGGACTGAGACCCTGCCACACCACGTGCCTTCCTGGGCCACCCAACCTCCTGGGTGGCCCCTCCTGCCCCCCAACTGCCCCGTCCAGGCCAAATGCCCGCATAAAATAAACGTTAGAAGACAGCACGGTGACCTCCATGTGCCACCCTGGCTGTGCGGCCATGCGTGCCTGGCACCACCTGTGAAGGGCCTATCCAAGCGCAGTGGCCCTGCCTGGCTCTGGGCCATGGAATATGCCTTGGGGCCTTTGCAAGGACGCAGAAGGCCAGGATGCAGTGAGCTGTTTCCTCCTCACCTGACCCCAAGGACAAGGCTCAGCAGCCCTGAGGCTGCCTCAGGACTTTGGTTCTGGCTCCCATCCTGGCCTTCAGCTACTGCAAAGCCGTCTCAGCCCTGCAGGCCCTGCCAGCAACATCTGGTCAGGAGCGGTTCTCCCTGAGGACGGTGCAGTCCTTGAGTGTAGAGAAGTAAACAGGAAAGGCCTGGCCAGGCTGGGTGGGTGGGGATATGCCCTCCCCAGGGCTTGGTTAGGACCCAGGAGCAGTGTGCAGGTGAGGCCATCCAATCCTGCTGCAGGGCCTGCTGTGGGGCTGGGCAGCATTCCAGCTGGGCTGCTGCAGGGCCATTGTGAAGACGGTGCAGACATCCCCAAGCCATCATCGGGAGCCATCGCAGGATGGGCACCACCGTGGGGGCCTGGGCTCAGCTGTTCCAGAGGCCCTGGGCAGCCCTCAGGGTGGGCTGTGTGTGCAGACGGACCAGATGAGGCTGGGGCAGGGGAGGAGTTTGAGTCCGAGGGCCAGGAGCCAGGAGGGGAAGTGACTCAGGAGCTTCCGGCTGGCCCAGCACTCCGGGGCTCACACTGGGGTCTCCTGTCTAGCCAGCCATGCCCCAGGCCTACCCAGAACCCTGAGGGGCACCCACTAGGCTGGGCATCTGCTGCCTGCAAACCCCAGGCCCAGCCCCATCCACAACCCCAAGGACACCCCTGGGCTAGGTGGCCGTGGGTCCGGGCAGATTGGGGACAGCATGGATGGAGCCCTGCAGCAGCTGCTTGGTTCCCCTTGGCCTGCCCAGCCAGCCTGAGGCACTGGGCTGAGCAAGTCTCTGGTGGGGGCTGGATCTGGGTGGGGAGAGCAGAGGCAGCCCCAGGTCCTCTATTCCCCGTGCATGGGCAGCGCCAGACCTGAGTGGATTTCATGGAGCTCCAGCAACAGCCACTGGAAATGCTGGTGGGGAAGGATGACGGGCAGGGGCTGTTTTTTATCCAATGTTTATTAGAGAGTAGGATGGGCAAAGGCAAAGAAAGAACACCAAAGAGGCTTCTGCTGTAAGTTAAAACCACCCCAAAATCTCACACATACTCGGCAGACAGGAGGAGCAACGCGAGCCTGGGACTCAGTCGGAGCCAGTGCAGCGACGGCTCTGTGCAGCAGCCGCAGAACCCAGAGCGGAGCGGAGAGCAGGGGGTGCCTCTGCCAGCGCTGCCGAACGGACCACTTACATCCTGAGCCTAAGCAGGGCAGAGCCCTCAGCGGTGAGCCACATGACACGCAGGGCCGCAGCAGACAGCCGGTGGGTTGATGGGAACCACCCAGAAGGAAGTGCTGCTGCCTGCACCTGCTGCAGCTGGCTGGGCCTCTCTCCCAGTCCCCAGTGGGAAGGCCTGCCGGGGACCAGACGCCAGGCTGGGGGGAGCAGGGCAGCTCTGGAAGACCTGGCCAGCTGTCAGATGCCCCCTCGGGGGACTGCTGGCCCCTCCGGCCGGCTTTGTGACAAACCTGTGGGTTGGCGGGGCTCTTGCAAATGCACCAGAGAATCGTCCATCTTGTTACGGAAACACAAACTGTCCTTTTAGGCCGAAGACCCCCAAACAGAAGACCCTGTTGCTGAATTAAGAAGCCGACTACTCTGTTTCCTTCCAGAGCCAGATAGTAAGGCAGTAGGCCTCCAAGGCCTGCAGCAGCTGCCAGGGCCCACGGACCGAGCTCTCTGGCTCCAGGGAGGGTGTGCATGTAACAGGCACACACATGGACACACACAGACACGCAGTTCACACGGGGCACACCTACAGCATGAAGCGGAGAACCACTCATTGGCACGCGTACTTTGTGATTTCTGGCATCTTCCCAGCCACATCTGCTGCTCCTTCAGCGTTGACCACTGACAGCGGCCACTGTGCTCGGATGCCTGCTTGTGGAACCAAACCCGACCAAATGTAAGTCGTTTTTAAAAGCTTTTTTTTTTTTTAAATAAAAAGATGAAGATCACTGCAGGCTGGAAAACATGATGTTCTCCAGTGTTGCCACGAGACGACATTAAAAAGATGCCACGTCACAACAAGAGCCGCAGTTCAGCCAGTGTGTGTCAGAGTCCTGGCTTCTGCCTGCGCTTGCTCAGAGTGAGGGGGCGCCTTGCCCTTCTGGACACAGCTGCCTGCCGTGTGCCCATGCGATTCAGGACATCGCAACGCTTTTTCTGGTATTTGGATCAGTCTGGGAAGAGGAGAATCAACTTAAGTGTTGTAACGCTGACATGGCATCATTTATGACAGGATCACCCAGGAAACGGAACAAAGAACACGTGCACCTCACAGACCCCAGGAGCAACCCACAGTCACCACACAGAGCTCTGCAGGGCATCGACGGCTTACAGCCAGCCGGATGCCGGGGTTGGAGCCATCAGCGAACCACGGTCACATGTGGGGGGACAGCGGCTAGGTCGGCCTTGGAGGGGTACACGACCCTCAGGCCGCCCTCCGCGTCCACCACGCGGACCTGCTCCACCACCAGGGGGCACTGTACACCCTTCCCAGCACTTGGGATCCTGAGGGAGTCGGGAAGTTGTGCGGAAACAGCGTCAGCCTCTGTGTAGGAGAGTGACCCTTCCTCTTTGTTTTCTAGAGTGTGCTTGTTCATTTCTGCCATTTTCTGCAAATGAAAAATACTTTTTTGTTTTTTGGGGTTTTTTTTTTGGTACCGGGGATCGAACTCGGGTCCTTGCACTTGCAAGGCAGGCGGCAGAACCACTGAGCTAAATCCCTGGCCCGAAAAATACTTTTTTAACTGAGAGATGAGCAACGACCAGGAGAGACAGGCTGCTGGGCCCAGGCAGGAGGCCGGGGCAGCGCCCTCTTGGGGAAGGACAGATGCAGAGCCCCATGCTCACCAGGAGGAGGGTGTCCATGATGTCTTTACAGATCTTCAGGCTTGTGGCACTGGTAACTTCCAAGAACAAATCACACGTGCTTTTCTTAATCTTAAAAAAAGTGAGAGAGACTTCAGAGCAGAATAAAGCTGTCAGACGTAAACCTTGGTGACTGGAACATGTATCCTAAGCAAAATCTACACAAATGGAGTTGCCTAGACCAACACTCGCCGCTGCCCATGAGTGGGGCGGGCCTGGGGGTGGCACCCATGGTGCCGCACGGGCCTGAGTGCTGACACAGCTCCATGGAGCGTCTCACGCACTAGAGGGGACTTTACTCTCATGGGCTCTGCCCACCTTTGTCTTCTCACTGTTCGTTATTGGGGGGAAGGAAATCACATCTCCGGCTGCGTCCACGAGACAAGGGTAACTTTCCTTGCTGTCCAGCAGGTGCAGGTACCTGTGTGGGAGGAAACACAGATGGCAGGAAGCTGCTAACTGGCCCAGCAGCTGACTGGACAGCCAGGGTTCTCCAAGGGCCCCGAGAGCAGCACCAGGCACGGGGTTGACAGAAAACCACACCCAGCTGGTCACAGATGGCCCTGGTGCACAGCAGGCCCCCTGCACCTGCACCCCAGCACTCCGGCACCCTGACAAGCCACCTTCGTGTCCTGTCCCAGGACTGCTGGCCCCTCGGAACAGCTCCCAGGCAGGCTCAGGCCCAGCATCACCTAGATAGGCAGGTCTAGCGTTTCCTTCTGCAGGAGTCTGGGGTGGGGAAGCTGCCACACCCCGACAGCGACTAGCCGTGTGGTACCGGACCCACCTGTGCAGCCCAGAGACGCTCTGCCTCTTCTTCTGCTTTCTCTGCTCCTCGGCTTCCAGCTGCAGCTGCCGCACCAGCTCATTGGCCTTGGCCTCCTTCCGCCCCAAGGGCACAATCTGCAGAAACCAGTGACCACTCGACTCGCATCACAAGCCAAGCTCCTGTCTCCGTGCATCTGGGTGCCTCCCGCCTGCCTGCCTGTGTCTCTAGGGAGCCAGCTGGCAAGTGGACAGGGCAGAAAGCAGGGTGGCTGGGGACGGAGCCTGTGTGATCATATGTGAGAGGCTGCACACTGGCTGCATCTTCAGGGTCTCTCCGGGGACCGAGTACCGGCCCTTGAATGCTGAAGCCGAGCTTCCTCCCAAGCCCGGCCACAGCACCAGGGTCTGAAGTTGCTGGCCAGCTGAAGGCCAGCAGAGACAGGGCCGGGCTGGTCGGGTCCAACTTCTGTCTGCCCGAGGACAGAAACCAGCTGCTGGCAGAAATGCTGGGATCTACCCACACTGAGACATGAGCAGAGCACTGCCGGGCCGGCCAGCTGCCAGTGTGCGTGCCTTACGGAAAAACACTAATGGAAATCTTGGGGCGTGGACAGAGCGGGCAGGGCGGGTGCACCTTGAGGTCCTGGGGTGGCCGGGCTGTGTACAGCAGGGGCCCTCGCACAGCGCGGAGGTCGTGAGTGGCGATGGTGGCCGCCGTCCTCTTCTCGCAGAGCTCATCATGGAGCTTGGTCTGTGATGGGCAGCAGGGGTGGGTGTCGGCCTAGTGGTGGCTCTCCCGGCCCTCCCGCCACCCCTCGCCAACCAAGGATTCTGCCCGCGAGTCAGCACCCGCAGAACTATCTGATCTGCTCAGTGGCATGTTTCTTCTTCCTCTAATTCTAGAAGACGTCATTTGAGATTTTTTTGTTTGGTTGGTTGGTTTTTTTTGGTACTGCGGATGGAACTCAGGTCCTTGTGCTTGCACAGCAGGCGGCGAAACCACTGAGCTAAATCCCTGGCCCCATTTGAGATTTTTGAAGACCCCACCCTGAAGTAAAATTCAGGGAAGAAAAAAAATTGTGTCTTAAACAAAAACCACCAGGAGCTTTTCTTCCCCAATGCTGACCTGAGTCCTACCCAGGGCAGCCATCGGGAGGGCGGCACCTGCCGCTGCAGGGCTACCCGGGTGCTCTGCCCATGGACAGATAGGTGTTTTGTGCTTTACAAGTGGGCCAGGCATCCCTGAAAAGCGCATCACGAAGTTAGTCTGACCTGAACCCGAGCAGCTCACCACCTGCTGTAAAACTAAAGGTGCAGGGGCCGGGGATTTAGCTCAGTGGTTTCGGCACCTGCTGTGCAAGCGCAAGGACGCGAGTTTGATCCCTGGTACAAAACAAAAAAACAAAAAAACCAAAAAACCCTAAAGGTGCAGCTTCTGCCGAAACCAGAACACCCACCAAATAGCAGAAAACCCGAGGGACACCCATTGCAGCGGCGTTGTGGTGCTCCAGGATGGCTCTGTGGGCAGAGGCTAAGGCCCGATCCCCGCCCTGGGCCTCTGTGCTCCGGTAGCAAAGGGTGGAAACTGAGGTGCGCGGGTCACCCAGCCGGCCCCAAACTGCACCTGGCAACCCGGACTTCGCCCCTCCGTCTAACAGCCCGGGCCCCACCTGGGAGGCGAGGAAGCGCTTGAGTGTGTTCCCCGGCTGCAGGTCCATGCCTCGCACGACGGCCCCCACGATGTACGGCCGCACGTCCCTGACTTCGGGGTTCACTCTGATCGTCAGGGGCGCGGGGTTGTCAGAGACGTGCAAGACCCTGAGCAGCAGCTTGGCTGCATCCGCCACGTCGTCCTCTGCCTCGCCGCTCTCCCGCCTCTGCTTCCGCTCCCTCCTCTTCTTCCGGGCATCTTCCTTCTCCGGGCCATCGGCCCGGGCCCGGCCCCGGGAGCCCCGGCCCCCGGTGCGCAGGTACTCCAGGATGGACCGGGGCTGGCAGCCGCTGACCATCTTCTCCAGGCGCTTGTCCCGCAGCTTGTTGCCCCGGAAGTTGATCTCCTTGAGCTTGGGGCAGTCCGCCAGCTCGGCTGGGATCTCGCTCAGCTGGTTGTTGGAGAGGTCCAGGGTCTGGGAAGAGACAGTGAGGGAGGTCAGGGGCCCCGGCAGACGCCAGGCCCTGCCGGGGGCAGGCAGACCTCTCTGACAGCGCCTACTGACAGGCTTCGGGGAGCTGCAGCTCCAGCGCCAAGTCCATCCTCCAGCTGAGGTATCCCCCAGACCAGGACCGAAGCAGCCCTCCCACAGGGACATCGCCCAGCCCAGGGGCTTCTCTGGGGGACAGCGTCCTCTGTACCCCTTCCTCTGACTCGGAGGTGGGAGGGGAGAAGGGGCTGGTTACCAAATGTGCACCTGCTGTTGGGGTAAACCGCTACTTCTGCCCTTGAGAGACGGATTCCCCAGACAGGAGAATTTCAGAGATTAAATGAGCAAAAGAGCAAGAGTACAGCAAAGCCTCCCAACTGCTCTGTTCTTCCTCCTCCTGAAGCTGAGTCGCCGGCAACACAGTGACATGTTCTCGTGTTCCCTGTGGGGCGGAAGCTGCAGAAATGGCTGGAGGCGATGACTCCCGGCGCTGTAGGCCTCAGAAAAGGCGTTGGGGTCTCCGCGTCTGTGCCACAAAGGCCCTCAAGCAGCCCTGTGGCCGAGAGGAGGAGCCTTCCCTTGCCATTGCGGCTGGGGTCACTGAACCGATGCCCTCTTCATGGAGTGGGGCGGGGCTGCAGGGTCTTCCCAGGTCCCCCAGGTACCAGCGCCGGCACTCCTTTCTCACATCCCCCCAGGGCCAGCGGGGCGCCCTGCTCGCTGACACCGTGACCTGACCTGGGACAGCTGCCACGGTGCGAACCTGGCCTCTGCTCTTGGCGAGGAGGACGTGGCCCGTTGGCGGCTGAGTCCCGTGCTGTGGCGTGGAGGGGTCCCTTCGCGCCAGAGAGGGGAGGGGCTCTGCTACTCTGCCTGGTAGAGGACAGGTTCAGTGGCGCTTCTCAAAGTCTGAGGAATGAGAAAGGAATCAGCTAGAACTTCTGGCTCGAGCCATGAGGCTGGGGACACTGACAGGGCGGAGGTAACGCAGTGCGCAGACGCAGCTTCAGAGAGAGCAGAAACTCAGCAGGAAGGGGATGGCTGGGAGAGCCCAGAGGGAGACCAGAAGAGAACGTAGACGCTGCACGAGAGAGCTCAGGACCAAGGCCGGCTGGGGCACGAGGGGGCCTCTGGGGACCGGGCTGCAGTCAGAGCAGGTCAGTCCGTCCAGCTGCAGTGTCACCACAGGCAGCAGAGGCCTTGTCCTAAGCGCTTGGGGTCAGTGTCTCCGTCTGGCAGTTTCAGATTTTGTAATACACAGTGAACTCGGCATGGGGTGGGGCATGGCACCAACTGTGCCTGCTGTGGAAGCGGCTCCGGCCTCTAGCACGCCCAACAGTGCAGAGGCACCAAGTTCACACACTATCTGTGGGCATCAGTTTTGACTGTGACCCGGTGCGTGAGGCCAGGTGTGGAACTTTCTCCTGGGGCACTACATCAGCATTGAAACACGGGTAGGACTGTGCAATGTGCCAGATTCTGGAGTTTGGATTAGGGAGTTCAACTTCTGTCCTGTGCCTCTCACACCCTTCCCACTCTTGGGAGGGCGAGGCGGGGGTGGCCCTGCCTGCCTGCACATGCCGGCAGCCATCCCTGGAACCCGGCGCAGCTCTTCCAGTGCCTCCGGCAGGCGCACTACTCCTGCACCCACCTTTCCAGAGCTCAGCCCCACAACTGCTGCTGAGAAAACCTCGACTTTCCACACCAACTTGCTAAATGCAGTGCTGCTGCTCCCATGAGTGAAAAGCAGGTTACTCATGGCTTGAAAGCAGCAGGCCGAAAGGCAGGGCCACAGGGGAGGGTGAGCTGGTTCAGCAAACGCCTGCTGAGAGGGGATCCCCACAGAAGACAATCACCCTAGGACAAGAGCATGTCGCAGTGGACTGCAGCGGCCTGACTGGCAGCTCAGGGTCTGCCTGAAGCCCTGTGGAAACAGGGAGAGCAGCAGAGAAGCAGATCAGGGTGCCAGGGTGCAAAGCCCCTGACCTGGAGTTCTTGTTGGAAGCGCACAGCCCAGTGACTGGGTACAACAGCTCCCTTCCCCACAACTCCTCAGTCCAGCCTGGGGACCCAGGATGGCGCCCTTGTCTGGTGCATGAAAGATGAGCACCTCTGGGCGTCCTGGAGAGGGAGGGCAGTGTGAGGAGTCTGCAGCTGAGCAGGGCGCTGGGCCCCCACATCCCAGTGCTCAGGGTCGCTGAATGCACAGTGCTTGGGGCTCCCACACCCAGAGGAGGAGCAGACATACCGGTGCCCGGCCAGGGGACAGTGGCTCTCTGGGCTCTGACTGGCACCAGATGTCGCCTGCACATGGGACATGCTGCTAGGGAATGGACCCCACCTGTGTGGCCATGAGGGGTGGACACAAAACAGCCCCACAGGAGATGCAGAAGGGACTGCCCCGGGGAACAGTGGGCTGACACCCTGCCCAGCCCTAAGAATATCAGAGAACTGGGCAAGGGCTCATTGACCTCAGTGTCTTTTGGTGGGAGCCAGGGGGTTTTACAACAGAAGCTGAGTATCGCTATGTGCACGTACCAACTCTCCACAATGAATGTCACTGTTATATACTGCTGACACATACTAATAAAAGTTTCAAAAAATAAATTAAAAAAAAAGAGGGCCGGGGATTTAGCTCAGTGGTTCCGCCGCCTGCCTTGTAACCACAAGGTCTGGAGTTTGATCCCTGGTACCCGAAAAAAAAAGGAAGTTGAATTTCTCCGTGGAGCAGAACCACAGGAGCAGTCCCTATGTGAGCTACAGACAAGGGCCAGTCCTGGGGCCGAGGGGAAATCCCAGCAGAGAGCCTCTGCTAATGAAGGGGCTGCCCTGGCCACCTCGAAGTTCCAGCTGGACAGCAGCTTGAGCCTGCACATTGGCTATTTTGGGTGCAGGCAGAAGTGACACGATGCATTGTGCCCACAGTCAGAGAAGCCCAGGAAGAAGAGGACAAAGGCCAGCCAGGTGCTCTCAGGTCTCCTCCAGAGGGTAGCAAGACAAATGGATCTGAGCCCAGGGTGACAAAGCCAAGCTCACTGGCAGGGGAAGGCAGGTAAGCACCTCTGTTCCTTGTCCCCAGTGGGTACAGATCAAGGCTTCACCTTGCACAGTTCTAAGCTAAGCCTGGTGGCAGCCCCTGGAGAGTGGGCCCTAGGCCCTGGCACTGCATTTGCAGTCTCTCCCCTCTGGGAGGTGAGTGGACAGACAGAGGCCTCTGTGGTGTTACTCCGGTCCCTGAGCAAGCCGGCCTCCTGGTGTCCACAGCCTTGTCAGTGCCTCCTGTGAGCCTGCACTGGGCTTTCTCCGCTAGTTTAAGCAGCAGAATACGGTGAGGTGCAGGATGCTAGCTCCAGACCTTAAGGCCTGGCAGCTGCTGCTTCCATGCTGAGGAGCCCTGAGCCGCCAGGTGAGAGGAGGAAGCAAGATGAAAGGCAGACCTTAGCCAGCCGGCCCACTCAGCCCACAGCCAGCTGAACGCAGCCACCCAAGCGACCAGCGGCAAGAGCCGATCTGCCAGCTGGGTCAGCACGGGCATCTGAGTCAGTGAAAAGCATGTAACTGTCACATGCACCACGTGTGCCACTGTGTTAAGGTGCACACCTGACCCATCAAAGTTCTGGAAAACCAAAAAAGTCTACCAGATGGGATAGCAGAGCAGACAGTGTCTATGTCACTTGTCACACGAAAGCCCCAGAAGGCCAAGGTACCCATGGAGTCACACTCCACAGCCTCTTCCAGGAAACCGCGGTAGGTGTGTCATTCTGCAGTGCCTGGTCTTGCTTCTCCCAACTACAAACACAAACTCTTATACAAACAGATAAATCTTTCTATATAAACATTTGCACAAAGTCAGATGCTGCATCTCATGAATAACTTGTGCAGCAAATGCAATTGCTTAGCTGCGTACTTTATTAGTAAATGTCCACACGGAGTGAGCAGAGCTGCCCTGCTCAGACGATCCAGAGTGAACAGAGTCAGGATGCAGCTCCTCCCATCCTTCACCCAACAGATTTAACGGGCGCCTGCTGGCCACGCGGCGAGCTGTGACCTGGGGATCTCCAGGATGCAGCCCAGGGGGAAACCCAAAGTGCGGATTGAAACACGAACAGCAATCTCAGCCGCGGAAGGTAGTGAAACACTGAACAAGAGCCTATCACACGGCACCACGCAAACGCTACTGCTTTGGTCTCCTTCACTCAGTTCACAGATATTAAAAACGAGATAAGACATTGGTCGTTCCTACTCTAACCAAGGTGGAAGCCAAGTTTTCCAACAGGTACAGGGACCCCTGGGTGCGCTGGGCACAGACGCGCCAGGGCCGAGCCCATAGGAGCCCGGTGGGCTCCCCATCCCGCCCCGGGCCGGCCCCAGCTGACCTTGAGCGAGGCCAGGTGAGCGATGTTGGGGCTGAGCTCCCGCAGGCGGTTGTCGGCGGCCGCCAGCTCACTGAGCAGCGGAAGAGCGCCGGGGCGGAAGAGCTCTGCGGGGAAGGCGTCCAGGAGGTTGCCGGTGAGGTTCAGGCTTTGCAGGCGCGGGGCGCAGAGCGCCAGGTCGGCGGGCAGCTCGCGCAGCCGGTTGCCGCTGAGGTTGAGGCTCTGCAGCTGCGGGAGGCCGGGCGGCTCGGCGGGGCCCAGGCCCTGGCCCGGGGGCAGCGCTTCCAGCTCATTGCCGGACAGATCGAGCACGCGCAGCGCCAGCAGCGGCCCCAGCTCGGGGCTCAGGCCGGGCCCCAGAGCGTTGCCGCGCAGTACCAGGCTATGCAGCTGTGGCAGCCCCTGCGCCAAGCCGGGCCCCGGCGCGCGGAGGCTGCCGCAGCCGCTCACCTCCAGGTAGTGCAGCAGCGGCAGCGTGAAGAGCCGCGGCGGCAGGCGCCCGCCCGCCGCCCGCACCCGCTCCTCCAGTCTGGGACCCGTCAGCAGCAGCTCGCGCCGCCGCTCGCGCTCCGCCAGCTCGAGCTCGGGCCAGGCCTCGGACACCGCTGCCGCCGCCATTGTGTCACCGCCGCCCGCGCCGGACTTCCGGAGCCCTGCGCGTCGCTTCCGGCCTGGGCCGGAAGAGGCCATAGAGAGCGGGCTCTGCCACTAGAGAGTCGCGTGCGTGACATCGAGGAGGCCGCGGCGAGCGTCGGCCCGCTGGGGACTGTGGGTCGTGGGCCGTGGGCGGCCTGGCCCGGCCTGACTGCGCGGGTCTGGGGCTGGAGCCGGCCTCCCGCGTGCTGGGCCGTCTGTCCGCCGGCCTGACGCGTCCGGACCCACGGGGCTGACTCCCGAGCACGTAGAAAGTGAATGCTAAGGCTTTGCCCTCGACACGTTCCTGCGATGGACGCAGGCTCGGGTCCAAGAGGGGCCCAGGGACACCCCAGAATCCGTCCTTCGCACAAACCGCGCGGCCCCCGCGGAAGGGCGCTGGCGGGCCACCTCGGGCTCAGACCCTGTCCACAGTGTCTGCTGCCATGCGTCCTCCCTCCACTACTGCACAAGCCGTTTTGCCCGGACGTGATGGCGCGCGCCTGTCCTCCCAGCACTCGGGAGCCCGAGGCAGGAAAATCTCCGTCAGTTCGAGGCCGCCCTGGCCTACGTAGTGGGCTCAAAGCCGGCTTGGACTACAAAGCGAGAGAGACTGTCTCAAAAAAACAGAAACAAAACACTGTAACTCAGAAGGAACCCATTGGTACATTGTTTTTGAGATTGAACTTGAAAGACAAAATACTGTTTCATGTTGAAGAACTTATGAGTAATTACATTTCCATCTGGATATTTAGTTTTCCTTTTTTGCTGTTTTTTTTGCAGTGGTGGGGAGGAACGCAGGCCTAGGCAAGCGCTCTGACACAGAACCATGTCCTGAGCTCTATTTCTATACATTTTATCGGTTGATTATTTATACTGGAAAAATTTGCTAAACTTAATCTGTACCTTTTATTAATTTAGGGTTTGATGTTTTATTTTATTTATTTATTTGTTTATTTTGGTACCGGGGATCAAACTCGGGTCCTTGCGCTTGCGCAACAGGCGGCGAAACCACTGAGCTAAATCCCTGGCCCTGATGTTTTATTTTTGTAAATTTTAAATGCGTTGGGTATTAAGTTCCCTTGATATTTTTACATGAATTGTGAAATATTTTCAGTAAAAATAGTGTTTATGAATAAGTAGTGGAATTGCAGTGTTTTTATTTTTCTGTAGTATTGCCATCACTAACTAGTCCCTTTTTTCCTGTATATCTTACAGTCGGTAGAGACATCTTTGTACTGTGATGCCCACACGAAGCCTGTCCTGACTGGGTGGCTATGCGGGCAGAATAATGGCGCCCCCAGGCTGTCTGCTTCCTAATTCCCAGAACCTGTGAATGTGTTCAATTACATGGGAAAGGGGCAGTAAGGTTTCAAGTGGAATTAAGACTAATGTGGTGCCAGGCGAGTGCTTGTGATCCCAGTGCCTGGGAGGCTGAGGCAGGAGGATTGCTGAGTTCGAGGCCAGCCTCAACCGCATGATGAGACCCTGTCTCAAAAAAAAAAAAAAAAAAAAGAAAAAGCAAAAGACTGATGTGGCCATGAAAGATTTTTCTGGATCGGGTTCAGAGTGGCCATGGTCATGTCAGGCTGAGCCTGTGCACTCCCAGGGCCCTGAAAGGGGAAGGAGAAGGCAGCAAAGAGGGAACCAGGTGGCCGAGCGAAGAGCCCAGCTGTAGGTGTTGGCTTTGAAGGTGGAGGAAGGGGCCACGACCACGTGATGCAGGTGGGGAAATGGGTCCCCAGAACCGACCCCAAAGACAGTTTGACCTCAGCCCATGGAACTCATGTCAGGCTTCAGATGGACAGAGCTATGGGCAGTGAGTGTGTTTTGTGTTTTTAAGTCGCTAAGCTGGTGAAAGTTAATCACAGCAGCATTTGAAAATCCCGCCCGCCATGCCATACTCTCAAATTATTTCCCTACTTTTCATACCTCTTAGACAAGGCTATAGAGGCGCTTATCCCCTTGTTATGTAAGAATTCTCTCTCTCAGACACTAAATCTTTGTTGTATGTAGTGCGTGTCCCAGTTTTTCATTCTTTAAGTTATCTTATGATGCTTAGAAGTTCTTAACTTGCCAGGGATGTAACTCAGTGGCACCATGCCTGCCTGGCAAGTGCAAGGTCCTGAGTTTGATCCCCGGCACCAAAAAAAAGAAGTTCTTAACTTTAAGAGCGTTAAATCATTATTTTTCTTTCATAGTTGTCTTTTTGCATGTCTTAATAAAGCTTTAATTTAAGAACGGAGAAAACCACATATTTTCCCCATGGAAAGTTTTATGGTTCCTCTGTCAGCACTGACCTCTATAATCTACTTGGAGTTAGTGTTTTGTGTTTAATGTGAGATAGGAATCCTGTCAGACTTTCCATGTGGACATTCATTTCTTGTTTGAGACAGGTCTCACTATGGAGCCCAGGCTGGCCTTGAACTCACAGTGATCCTCCTGCCTCATCCTCCCAAGTGCTGAGACTACAGGCCTGTGCCACCATGCCCGGCTCCACTCATTTTTCTCTTATTTTTCTGGTGGTGCTGGGGATGGACCCTGGAGCCTTGCACTGGGACTGCACCTGCCGAGGGTCACCTGGGTGCCCTGGGCACAGCTGTCCTCTCTCCTTCAGGGCCTCCACTCCCCTGCCCAAAGCTCTGGGTGGTGCCGGCCTCCTCCAGTCTGTTCCCGCTGGTGGCCTGAGCCTCATTCTGTTGCCGCATCGGGGGCCCGGGGAGCCCTGGGGCTTGTCCGGGTGGCAGTGCAGGCCGCCTGCCTCCGGTGTCCCTATTCCAAAGTGCTCGGCCCAGGGCTGCTGGGCCAGCTAGGGGGTCCTGGGGGAGGGGGTCCTCCCAGGGCGCAGAGGCCCCCAGGTGGATACCCCGTGGTGTTGAACCAGGAGGGGGCCGGACGTGCCCGAAGCGCTCACGTCCCATTGTCTCCGTCCACAGCGGGCTCCAGGGGTGAGCCTGTCCTGGCACGCACCCCTAGCAGTGGCCTCATTCGGGGACAGCCTCACTGGGCAGGACCAGAGCCAGCCTTAGCAGTTTCAGCCCACACCACCCTCCTGCGGAGCCTGTCCTGGTGACGCCCTTTGCCCATCCACGACTCCTGTCACGGGGCCAGGGACCCTGAAGGTGGCCGGCTGCAGAATGACAGTGGGCGATGCACAAGAGCTGCCCGCCCAGAGCAGCAGGGAGGCCACAGACACTCAGAGCCACACTTGGCCAGGTCATGGCTTCTACACAAACCGAGCTCCGACTCTGCAACATCCTGGGAGCCAGCACTGGAACCTCCCTTCGGGCTCTGAAGGAGGGCGGGCGACTGAGCCGTCATCGGCAGGCTCAGGAACAGCTATCCAGCCCTGCTGCCACGTCACTGGCGTCTAGGAGCTCCCTCGGCACAGCTGGACTTCCGTAACATTCTGCATTGAGTGTGCGGGAGGACGCTGGTGGTGCCTGCCGTCACCCACCCAAGTGTACTTTAAAATCTTGCAGCGTTGTCAGCAGAAAACCCATTTGACCACTTACGCTGGGCCCAGCGCGCTCTGGGCAGCTTAACGCTCTCCTCAGAAACTGCCACCTACTTTCTAAACACTCAGTGCAGACACACTTGGGATTATAGCATCAAGAATTACAAACTGCTTTTTAATTATAATTGTGAAAGAAATGACAAAATATTTAGCGATCCTTTTATTATATTAATATACTCAAAGTGAATTAACCCATATGCCCTAAAATGATAACAGTAAAAATATATTATTTTATAATCTGGTACCTGAAATAAAGGCAAATAGAAAACTATGTTAAAACATTAGAAAGTTGCACATTGTCATTAAAGGTATTTACATTTGTATTCTAATGCAAATTTATCGATACAACTCTTGGAGATTACTTAGGATCTTAAGATATGAAAGTAATATAAATAAAATTATTAAATACCCACAACATAATCATAAATGAAAGTTCATTCATTTATTAGCGTACCCAGTTTCGGTATTAAATTCCGAGTGGCCCAGGGACCGCACGGCCCTTGATCTCCCGCTTCACTCCTGGGCTCAGGGCCCATGGACTGCGTGACGCCTTCGGCAGGGACTAACCACGGCCAGAATCGCCACCACAGACCCTCGGCTCTGTGACCAGCCCGGGAATAAGGTGGGAGACCAATTTTATTTGTTAATCACTAAAAATGAATTTTTTACTTTTTGAGATAGGGTCTTGCTATGTAGTTCAGGCTGGCCTTGAACTCACAGTGATCCTCCTGCCTCAGCCTCCCAAGTGCTGGGATTATAGGTGTGGACCACCATGCCTGGGTAATCATGAATTCTTTTTACAAATACTTTAAAACTGATAGGAGACACTACATACATCTATTTAGTTTGGATTGCAGAGAAAAGAATAATTCCTTGGTTAACCTTTCTCATTACTGTTTTATTTAAAGAAGTGCTTTCTCTGTTCTTAAAAGATGCATTAGAAGACAATGGCCAAAATCTTTGGAAACAGATGGTACCGCCATTCAGACTCCTTGGCACCTGAGCTTTGCGCTGTCTAATGAAGTTTCGTTATCTCTCTCCCCACACAGACTTTTTATCATCTTGGTAGGCCTGGTTCTTACACAACCATACGTGAGGCATTAGTTTGCCAAAAACAAGTTAATTAATCCAAATCCTTGGTTACTAGCGGATCTGGGGAGCTCGCTGTTCATGTACCTATTAGTTTCTTTCGAGACAGGGTCTCGCTATGTAGCCCAGGCTGGCCTCGAACCCTTGGAGATCCTCCTGCCTCAAGTACCTATTAGTTTTGCTCAATATTTTGTTTCACATGGTTGGGGATTAACGCATTTGCACACTAATTGCAGGGCCCCTCTGAGTGCATTCTGAAAGCCTTGCATACAAGCTCAGATGCAGCAGCGCCTGGCCATGGTGGGCGGTGACCTGTGCCTCAGTCCACGGCTGCCTGGCACACGGAGCAGAGACAGTGACGGAGACAGGACAGGATGGGCGCCTCCAAGTGGGTGGGAAGCTCGTCTCCCTGGCAGGAGGAAGCCCTGGGACCTGCTGGCCCATGAGGAGGCGTTCTCCTGAGGCCGGGGTCTTAATATCCTGTGAACTGTCTGAAAGAGCGGACTTCCGTTTGCTTACAACTTGCGGAGAGAGGACAGCGAGACAGGCCTGAGCTGGCCCGGGGTTGCCGGAAGCGTTTGGTGCCAGGATCAAAACCGAGCCTAGAGACGGGGCTGTGAGGTTGGGCAGGCTCACCCTACAATGCTCGTCTGGGCTCGGCCAGTGAGAGAATCAGGCCCTGGGCACAGGCTGGGTCTTGGGATGGTGTGGGCAGAAGGCTGGGAGCAGGGTGTGCGCTGGGGCTGGCTGGGGCTGGCTGGGGCTGGCTCCTGGCAGCTGCTGTCTTTTCCTCCCCCGTTCCCCTGGAGTCCTTTGTTCTGGCTGGCCTGCTCCCTGTGCTCCGGGGCTGGAGGCCTGGGACCCGAGGGCCCGTGCAGTTCGGGGGCTCAGCTCCTGGGTTCTTTGGTCAGAGCCGGGCACATAGTTCAGAGAGCAGACCATGTGCTGGCACGGGGCTGCCGTGTCCAGCTTTCTGGAGAAAGGCTTCGAGCCACAACACGGCCTGGTCCCTGATGGAGACAGTGTCGCCGTGTCACCGCTTGGTGTACGTTCTGCTGGAGCTCTTGTGCAGGCCTCCCTTCGGGGTGGGGATTTTGCTCCCGGCCTTCGGTCCTGAGGTTCCTGACTTGGCCACAGTGGGGCCTTTACCTGTGATGTGGACACAGACACAAGTTGGACCGCATTAGAGCGGGGCTTGTGGCCCCAGTGACCGTGGGAGCCCTGGGCTGGACCACAGGGAGTGGCCATCGCCCGGCTGGTGGCAGCGGTCACAGGCTGCAGGTGACCAGTGTGGGGAGCTGTGGGGCAGCACGAGGGAGGCCTGCCCTGGAGCAGAGCACAGGCGGTGAGGACAGGCTCCGCCCATGTGGCTGAGGGCTGCTGTCAGGACAAAGATAATGTTGGCGGAAGGACACGGGCCATGCTGACTGAGTCCCACTGGTCACCAGTCTGTCCTACAGGTGCTACCCTACCATGACCTGGAGCCACCTTCTGTGTCTTCTTACAGGACACTCTAAACCTGAGATTGGCCCGCACTCTCTCTATGGCTCTGTGTAACTCCGCCCTGCAGAAGGCACGGAGGGCCAGTGTAAGGCCCTCAGGGTGCCTGGTGGGGACACCTACAAGAGCAGCTGAAGGTGGAGCCAGGCCGTGGGGCACAGGGACACTGGGGAGCGCGGGCAGAGCTCACCCTGCTGTGGCGCCAGGGCCTTGGGCTGTGTCCTGCGCAGGTTCATGGTGCAGCCCGAGGGGCCCATCAGGTGCACCTTCCACGCCTGTGGGCAGAGGAGGTAGCGTGGTCAGCATGGCGGTCTGGCACCCGAGCTGTGGGAGGGGCCCCCATCGGTGCCCCCACAGACCCCTCGGGGCCACCATGGTGAGCATAGTCCCCCAGCCCGGCATCTGAGCTGCACAGCCCAGCAGGTGTCACGAGCCAGCAGGCCTGCCTCGGCTGCCGTGGCTGTGCTGCTCTGGAATCACCTCCCCCTGCAGACGCGGGTGGGCGCCCGGCCACTCGGACAGGACCAGTGGGGACCCCTGCTACTGTGTGCTGTGGCCGTGGCCAGGAGCTGCGTCTCTGCCGTCCCCCAGGGCATGTGTCACTTGCAGGCTGCTCCCCTCTGGGTCAGGCCCTCACCTCTTCTCCAGGAGGAAAATTCTCATGGCACAGGGGACACCGGTTTGCCAGCTTCTCGGATCTGGCAGCTGGAATGAGGTGAAAAGGGCAGGTTACCAACCACATGAGCACGAGGGAGGGACACGGGCATGCGGGGCGGGGCCGGCACTAACGGTTGCACGCCTTTGCTTTTATGTGTCGGGGCAGCTCCTCCTTTGGCACGGCCTCGCTGCAGCGGTAGCACTTCCCGAAGGCCTCCTTGCTGTCGCACTCCGTCAGCAGGTGCTCCGTCAGGCTGGCGATCTCCACCACCTGGGCCCGAGACACAGCAGGGAGGCGCTGAGCACACGCGGCATCCCTTCCCTGCCCGGCAGGCCACGTGGCCGCGTGTCCTCAGTCCCCTCCCGGTGCGTGTCTGTGGTCACTCCCTGCACTCAACACCATGACCAGTCACACCAAGAGCAGAGATGGGCGGAGCGGCAGGGGATGCGGATGTGGCTGGTGCATTAGGGGCTACGAGTGGCTGGGGGTCAGCTGTGTGGCCTCGGGTTCAAATTCAGGCTCCCCAGTGTGTCCAGGAGTGGCACAAGAAGAGGGTCCCGCCCTGTCCCATCTCCAGCAGGGGTGACTTATGGTGTGGTGCCGCCAGGCCAGGTGGAGGAGGGGCGCCTGCTGGCCGGGGGGCTGTGCCCGCTCGGGTGCCTCCCTGCGACCTGGAGGAGCCCTTCCCCCACCAGCTTTCCCTTTCCCAAAGCGGGGGGTCACAGTGCGAAGAGGGGAAACTCTGGGAATCGGGACAGAGCGTGAGCCCCGAGAGACTGTGGTTAGAAACCCTGCTCCTCAGAAGACCCGGGAGGCCCTGCACAGGGGACAGGTGGGACACAAGGCGGTGCTGTCCGCTAACTGCACAGGGCTCCTGGCCCGCTGTGCAGGGTGATGCAGATTGGGGACACAGACTGCACTGGGCAAGAGCACAGGGGCTTCACAGACTGGACAGGAGGGACAGGTGCCACCTCACGGCCACCATGGCCAGCAGGGCTCGGCGGAGGCCATGAGGATGCTGTGCCTCTCCTACCCGGGCTGCCAGCTGGCTCCGTCACACGACAGTGCCCCTTCAGCCCCAGCTTGGCAGCCAGACGATGGCACAGACAGCGAGCCCAGGCGACGTGTGCTCAGGTGCTCGGCAAAGTGTGGTCCCTCAAACCATGGCTCAGATGGGCAGAAACCCACGGACACCAAGGGAGCAGGGACCGCGCACAGCACGCGGCTACTCATACACAGCAGTGTGCGGTGCCAGAGTCAGGAGAGGGACGGCTTCAGGGAGACTGTGCCTGGGCCAGTGCTACACTGAGTGACCTGCGACTTCTCCCAACGCCTCCTCTGCAGCCTCGAAGCCCTGAGTCTCTGCGCCGAGGCTATGTCCTGACCTGCCTGCAGTGGCTGCAGCGCGTCAGCATGAGGCAGTGCTTCCAGTAGTGCAGGTCCAGCCCCTCCTCTGTGAAGGCCTCGCTGCGCTCCCCGCAGAAGATGCAGAGGCTGCGGGAGAATGGGCGGCGGTGATTGGACCCTGGCCCCGTGGCCCCTTGCTCTCCCTCCAGTCTGAAGCACTGAGTGGGCTTGGCCTGGAGGGCGGCAGGGTCCTGGGGCCGGCACAGCCTGCGAAGGTCCTCAGCTGGCAGTGATGGAGGACGGGCTCAGCCCTCCACATGCAGACTCTGCCAGGGCCACCAAGTGCACAGCACAGTTTAGACACCAGGGAAGACGGGGCCATTTTTCTTATACTCCTGCGGGTGAGCCTTGGCCCAGAGAGGAGCAGCCTGACACATGGGGACCCGCTGAGGGGCAAAGGCGGGGACCATCGGCCTGGGCGCTGTGGAAGGGGCTGTTCCTCACTGGTCATCGTGAATCGGGGCCCCACCCCTGCCCAGCATCCCCTCGTGCAGTGCACAGCCTGACTCACTTGTCTAGGTAGTGGCTGTCTGGGACTTCTGGGGCGTCCGGTGGGGCTGCCTTCCTGGCCGGGCTGTCTGGAGAGACGGAGAGAGAGCAGTTCCAGTAACTGCCCCAGAAACGCTGCCATTCTTGGTGAGGGTCTGTCAAGCGCTGTACACTGGCAGGGGGTGGTGTCTGGCATGTGGCGGGTGCCCGGGGCTCAGGGGACCTACCCTGGTTCCTCGGCTTCTCAGCGTCGCTCTCTTTTTCCTAAGACAGAAACAGGCAGGTCAGGGACAGCGCTGCAGGCCAGTGCGCCTGGTCCTAAACGCGTTTCTAGCTTTCCCTCCAGGTTTCCGTTCAGAGCAGTGGGATGCTCGGCATGGTCGTGGGCGCTCGCTGCTCTGTTCTCTCCTAAGCCCCTTCCCAGGGCTCAGACCCCCGCTGCCCAGAAGCCGGCCACAGCCCACCACCCGGGCCTGCTAGCACAGGGCCTGGGCACTGGCCTGGCGACAGCAGCTGGTGTCCCCGCAGCGGGATCTGTGTGGGGGGTCAGTGACCTGTGTGGCCCCACTAGGTCGCCACCCTCGTGTTCTCCTTTGTGAACCATCGGGACCAGACTGTGCTGCGGCCCTCGTGGCTCTCGTGGGCTGCCGTGGGCAGCTGGGCGGGGGAGCAGGCGGCCCAGCCTCCTCGCCGTGTCCTGCTTTTCTCCTGGGGACGCTGCTGCAGCCTTAGCTCCTCACCCCTGCATCCCCTGCCACTCCCGCTCTGCCCACAGAGGCAGCACAGCGCAGAGGGCCACAGGACCGAGGGCACGCGTGCCTCCTCCCATGGCGGAACTCTGCAACCTGAACATCGACCTCCTGGTTCCTCTGCCTGTTCCTGGTGCAAGGGATTTCCTTTCACCTTCAGGAACTTTATCACAGAGCAAGTGCCTGAGCGAGCAAACTCAACCCCAGACGCAGGGCAGAAGGGGATCTGCGGTGACGAGCCCGAGAGCCCGTGGCAGAGCGTGCTCCTACCGTCCCCGGGACACACTGCCCGCCCGCCAGTCCTCCAAGGAGGTGAGGGACACGAGGGGAGCGGCTGGCCCATCCCCACCGCAGCAGAGGGGCTGGGTGCTGACGGCCGGTTCTCCTGGCCAGTGAGGTCTTCTGCTCGGCCCCAGACTACTTTAAAGGCGAGCAAGGTTAGGATGGCATTGCATGGCCCCAGGGAGGCGGTGCCCGTGCATGCGTGTAATGAAGGCAGCTGCAGGGACAGCGCCGGTAAAGGATCCACTGGGCTCCCCCACCTCAGCCTCCGCCTGGATTTCCTTCAGAGCTGCCAGCTGCCCTTGTAGAACTTTGATTTCTTCTTTCTTTCGTTTTTCTGCTTCTTCTGTAGCTGCTTTTTTTTGTGCCTGGTGAAAAACAAAGTCATTTTCCCATCAGAATAGCTTTTTGGGGTACAAATTATCACATGCAAATAAAATTTCTTTCTTCCACACAATACTATTCACTGAGCTGAATATAACTAGGACTAAAAGTACATTTTTTCGGGTAAATTTAATAAATGTTTACTGATAGGAGGAAATCCAATCGCTGCTATCACAGCCCGGGAATGAAGGTCCCCCGGGCTGGAAGTGGCAGGGCGAGTCTGACCCAGGATCTAGGAGCTGGGGCTTCCTGGACAGGGCCCCTGTGTGCTTGCTGCTTGCTGTGTGCCAAGACGTCTTAAGCCAGGCCTGTCCCTGCTTCACGAGGCTGCCTTACCCTGGTCTCGGCACCGGTGGGCCTGCCGTCTATCCGGGCGAACCCCTCGAAGATGGTCTTATAGAGGAGGTTCCTGCGTGTGCTGCTGTCGTCTGGAGGGAGGAACTCGAGGACCAGGGCCTGGTGCTGTGCGTACATGTCCAGGATGACCCTGACCGCCGTCTCCCGGACCTCGTACACCCTGTGTTCCAGGGCGCTCACCGCAAACTGGGGAGAGTCCGGAGGGCGTCTTGTTGTCACCAGGTCAGCAAACTTTTCCCCACAGAGCACGCACAGGTGCATCACAAACATTTCAGAATAAGAGAAAACCAGAGTCCCCGGCTGCAGGCGCAGAGGCTCCTCCAGCCTCTGCCAGCCGCGTTCATGGTTTACTGTCGGCTTGCTCGCAGCGGCTGCACTGCTGTGTGTCCCTGGGGCGGGAGCGGGGGTGGGAGGGACTTGGCGGATGGGCCCCCCACACCCTCAGTGGCCTCTGAGAGGCACTGACTCGAAGGACAGAGCCCAGGTGGTGCGCGGGGCGAACTGCCCCGGCCCCGGCCCACAAACAGCTGTCCCTCTGCGCTCGCGGCCACTGAGGCTGGCACCAGACGCAAAGTGGGGCCCGCTCGGGGATGGGGACCCGGGTCCTGCCGCCCGTGGAGATGGCGATGCCACGGCACCCTGGCAACGTGGGTGCCTGGCAACTGCGACTCCTGGGCCTCCGGGGGCGGAGCCAGGAGACACAAGGGGTCTCCAGCAGGGATCAGGCAGGGGCGGGGCGCTGCGTCTGGGGCCTGAGGGCCTGCGGAGTGCACAGGTCACACACTGCGGGCGGAGGGAGACCCGAGATGGTGCCCTCACCTGAGCCGGCAGGGCGGCTCCCGGACCCACAGACGTGCCCTGCACTCGGGCGCCGCCTGTGTCGCAGCGGCCCCTTACCCTCATCACACTGTCCACGGAGAAGCCTGTGCCCTCAGTGCCCAGGTCTCGCAGCAGCCGCGCCAGGAGGTCCATCTGACTCATGGCCAGGCGGGCAGAGCAGCTGGGCTTCAGCGGCTGCACCAAGTAGGTCGGGACCATCTGCAGCGCCCGGACCTCCTCACACAGCGCCAGCTCCTGCGCAAGGCAACACGGCCGTCAGTCTCCCGCAATACGCTGAGGGTCATTGGCTCCGCTCAGCGGGCTCGGAGCAAACACGGAAGGGAAACAGGGAATAAATGACGACAGCTACTGATTGCAGTAGTGATCGATACCTAAAAACACTGTTTTCCCCCTCCTGGCCTTTGAACTCTGGACCTTGTGCTTGCCACCAGGCAGGCGCGGTGCCACTGAGCTACATCCCCAGCGCTTTTCCTGGTTTTTTTGAGACAGGATCTCCCTAGGTAGTTCTGGCTGGTCTTGAACTCAAGGCAATCCTCCTGCCTCAGCCTCCCAAGTGCTGGGATTATAAGCGTGTGCTACCATGCTGGCTCATATTTTCATGTGAAGACTAATGACAATTAGAAAAACTTGAACTGTAAGATATAAATGCATGGTTATGTGGCGATTAATGAAAGCTTTATAGAAAACATAATTGAGCTTGAAGGTTTGTTCCCAGTGTCCCTCAATCTCAAGGGAAAGGTTTTCTGATTTCTAAAATTCAAAAAGAAGGGCCGGGGATTTAGCTCAATGGTTCCGGCACCTGTCTCGAAAGTGCAAGGTCCCGAGTTCGATCCCTGGTACCAAAAAAACAAAACAAAGAGAAATTAGTTTTGCAACTGAAAATTCATTTGCATTGCCTTAGTTTTTAATGTCAGCTCAGAGTAACTGGCAGGGCGTGGCAGCACAGGCCCGTACCCTCCTGGGATACAGGAGCAAGACCTGACTCCCCCCAAAAGAGCTGGGTATGGAGCACAGAGCTGCTGGGATTCAACCCCAGTAAGGCATGCACACTCTCTCACTAAGTGTAACAAGTGTAGCTCTTGAGTTCGTATGATCACTAGTAGGTTAAGATGGAAAAAATGTTAAGTATCAAATCTTTAAGCTGTAATGTAGGGAGAACTCTTTTTAACAGGTCTATGGGCCACATCATCGGTGGTGATCTCTTACTTGCTTATATAGTGAGCTGCATCAGGCCCACGAGCAGCTGTGCAAATACAATGACAGCAGCAGAACCAGCATCCCGAGGAGTACGGGCAGCAGACGCCGTCAGTGACACAGATGCCCAAGTTCATGCCCACACCCGTCTGCTGCCTGGCTGCGGCACATAAGGCTTTTACCCTGCAGCACACAGCTCACACGGGCCTCAGGCGGCTTGGCCAGAGCACTCGGGAATGTGCAAGGCTCACAGTCAAACGAGTCACAGCGATGGCGCACGGCTGCAGCCTCCTGGGGAAGTGAAGGCAGCAGTTCACTGAGCCCGAGGGCTGCAGCCCAGCCTGAGCAAAGAGCAAGACCCGTCTTGCAAGGCAAAAACTCACTCACAACCAACCCCAAACTAGGCCAGGCACGCCCTTGCTCCTGCACGCGTTCTGGAAGGTGATGTTCTCCCAGACGCCAAGCTGTTCTACCAAGGGAAGACGGCAACTCACGGGGGCAGCTTGTTTTACTTTCTTACTGATATTACTTATTTTTCCTTGTTCATTTATCCAGGAAATGTAAGTTTCTTAAAGAAAACTAGACTGGGGGTTCTTCTGGGTTTGTAAGACCCAACCCTCTGAGAAACAATGAGAGTGTGGGATTCCTTCAGAGACATACATGCACATTCAAAAGATTTTGCAAGAAACTTTAAGGTGGTTATGGAATTTGTGGAAGCCAAAATGTGGAGCCTTAAGAGCTACTGAACCTAGCTGGGGTACAGCAGCCATGCCTGTTGCTCCAGCTATTGGGAAGGCTGAGGCAGGAGGATTATAATTTTGAGGTCAGCCTGGGAAATACAGCAAGAGCCTGTCTCAAAATAAAATAAAAAGGGCCGGGGATTTAGCTCAGTGGTTCCACTGCCTGCCTTGCTACTGCAAGGTCCTGAGTTTGATCCCCAGTACAAACAAACAACCCCCCCCCCCCCGCCAACCCCAACCAACCAACCAACCAAACAAAAAAATAAAAAGGGCTAGGGATGTAGCTCAGTGGCAGAGCACTTGCCTGCTATCAGCAAGGCCCTGGGTTCAATCCCCAGCCTCACAAAAGAAACAAAACAAAGACTCCTAAACTACATGAATTCATTAGCTAATTTAACGAGAACAAAATACATTTTCATGCTACTGTGTGCAAAAAAGCTTACATCCATTCACACCTTGCTCAGTTTTCCCAGCCTACACTAGGCATGTCTGGTGGAAGAATGAAAATATTTACACTAGGGGAGTTACACGTTTTTTCTCTACCCTAAGCTTTCTCTTCTGATACAGTTTCTCACATAATTTTACTTAAGAGCATATGCTGGATGCGAGGAGCAACGGGAGAACCAAGTGCAACGCAGCCAGAGTTTCTGTGCGGGACAGAATCTTGGCGGCAGCTGCGGGGTGGTGAGCGGGCCGGACGGCAGCCCCCAGAGGAGCAGGGCACCGGAGGCTGCAGGCACAGACCTGAATGAAGTTGGAGGCCGCGATGCGGAGGCGGGTGCAGGAGTCCCCAGTCCTGGCGAGCAGGCCGGGGACGGTCCTCTCCACGCAGTGCGCGGTTTCCAGTTTGCCCAGCTTGTGCTTGGGTATGTACTGGGTGACGAGCATTTTCAACAGCTTCAAAGAAACCTGAAAGACCTAAGAAAAGGAGATAAAACAGATGAGCTACAAATATGAAATTCACTGCAGGCAATGAATGTGAACATTCTGTTGAAAATGACAGGGCCGGGATGTAGCTCCATGGCACAGTGCCTGCCTGGCAAGCGCAAGGTCCGGAGTTTGATCCCCAGTACAAAAAAAGACAATTTGGGCCGGGGATTTAGCTCAGTGGTGCCACCACCTGCCTCACAAGCGCAAGGTCCTGAGTTCGATCCCTGGTACTGCAAAAGAAAAAAAAAACAAAACTTGTTGGATGGGCTTAAAACAAGCTGAGAACGGTGACCTAAGCACAGTGCCTTGCCGCTAGGGGACCTGTGAAGGAAGGAAGCGCTCAATGTGGTCCCAGGCTGATGCCACTGCCTCCACCCCAGCAGGCCCTGAGCTGGTGTAGGTGAAGCCAAGGTTGAATCAGAAAGCTGCAGCCGAGACGCCAGGCTCCTCAGATCCATGGGGAGCAAAACCTGCACTGAGCAGGGTGTGTGGTGGTGACAAGCTCTGCTCACCGCGCTGGGCGGGGACAGTGGTGACAGAGGGTGGACAGCACAGGTGGCTCCCACCCCTCACTTCCGTCAGGGGCAGCGCTTCGAGGAGCCCCTCAGGGCATCCCTCAGCGGCTCTGGGTGCCTGTGGGCTGGCAGGTGCCTGGGCCGGCAGGCTGGGGACTCACCGAGGTCACGACATCCTTGATGGCTCTGTGGATGAGGAAGACAGCCGCCCTGAGCGTGTTCTTTGCATCCTCCTTCGGGGTTCCGGCGGGCATCTCTGTTAACTTTTTGTAGAGTGCGAGCAGCGCGTCCTCACGGAAGGACCAGGTCTTGGAATAGGCCCCTGCGACCTGCCCGGAGCAGGAGGTGGCTTTGGTCAGGGAGGCAGCATGGCCCACCCAGGCTGTGCAACTTGGGGGTGGTTTCTTTTTTTGAGACAGGGTCTCGTTATGTAGTTCCAGCTGGCCTTGAATTGACTATGTAGCCCAGGCTGGTCTCAAACTCACAGCGATCCTCCTGTCTCAGCCTCCCAAGGGCAGGGATTAGAGGTGTGAGCCACCGTGACAGGCAGTTTTATACTTTAGAACAAAGAAAACCCTTTTTTAGTAAGGGGGCCTCTGCAGGATAAGTGTGCATTCTTAGAGAAACAATTTCTCTGAGGCAAAACGTCAGGCCGTGATAAATGTGGGAAAGGACTAAACGCTCTGCAGAGGGGACACTGAGGCTGAGGCAGGGGGGCCTTGTTCATCCCTAGCTTCGGCGTCACTCCTCCTGGAACCAGCTGGTTCTCCCGCAGGCAGGGGCCTCAGCATGTGCTCCGGGAAAACCAGACAGAGACGCCCGGCCTCTAATGGGTGTGTGTTCAGGAAACCCGAGACTCGGCTGTTCCCCCCGTTTAGGTAACTAATGGTTAACCCAGGCCTCCCGAGCATGCGTGCGTGTGTGCGTGTGTGCGTGTGTGAGCGCGTCTGGGTTCCTTCTCACCAAGGTCTCTCCCAACGCGTCGATGGTGGCGCCGGCCTCTCGCAGCGCCTTCTCCGTCAGGGGCTCGGGCTCCCCGGCCAGGCCTCCTCCCCGGGCATCGCTGGCATCAGCCTCGCTTGCTTCTGGCTCCGCTGACACCCCTGGCTGCTTGCGGGTGGCAGGAAGAGGCCGCTCGTCGTAGGGCAGGGCCTCCACCTGAGGGCGGGAGGGAGCGCTGCGGGGCGGAGTGGGCATCCTCACCTCCTCCCTGTGCCACCCTTGGCCTGGCTGTCGGCTCTTCTGGGGGCACAGACTGTCTGAGGGGGGCTGTTCCGCCAAATCCCGGCATCACCAAGTTGGAGTGATTGATACGAATGGCACAGAAGAGGGAAACCAGGCAAGGCCTTTTTCTACCCCTTTCCACACTCCTCCAGACCCAACAGGAGAGCACGTGGGCCCGGCTGTTGTTTACCAGGGAGCAACTTCCATCGAGTGCCCCAGGGATTATGAAAGCGAGGGCGGTTACGTCTTCCCTGTGCCTGGGTCACCGGTGACTTCTTAGTCTACTGCTCTGACATAAGAACCAAACCTGACGGTAGTGAGCAGGTCCACTATCCAGGGCCTCTGACTGAAAGCAGGGGCTGCAGTAAACCCCTTCCCGCAGTGCCCACCCGCCCGCCAAGCCCTGGCCGGGAGCTGAGACTCGCAGGCAAAGCCGCCAGCTCAGTATGTGGTGGGACTCCTGGAGCTGGGGAAGAAACAGGGCTGTAGGGATTTGTTTCCACCCTGGTTTCTTTTCTGAAGGAGCCCACGGTGGCCGCCCCTGCTCAGTGCGGCCCGAGCTGCAGGTGAGTGTCTGCTGCGTGCACTAGCAAGTTTTCCACATTCTACAACTCACTTGGGTTTGAAACACTGAGAGACTGGGAAGGGACCAAGCACAGCGCGTCAGCGTGACGGCGGGGCACGCAGACAGACACTGGACAGCACCACTCTACGGGGGACACAGCGGGAGGGCACCAGGCAGGCCGAGTCCAGCGGTCCCTCCACCCTCGCCTTCCCGTGCAGTGCCCTGGAGCTGGGAAAGCCTGCGTCTGGCGCCACTGTCCCTCCTCCATCCCAGCTGCTGCCTCAGAGGCCCGGGGTGCACGTGACCAAGGCTGAGTGAGCTGGGGGAAGCTTGGGGACTCTGGCCTACCATGGGACCTGCTCCCTTCCTCAGACATCACGACAGTCACCAACCCCAGGGTGCCAGGGGCCCAGAGAAACAGTCGATGCAGGGGAGAGCCCAGGTTTCTGATGACACCACTGAGCCGCTGATCTAATGGACCCTGAACCCAGCCAACTCTTATGGGCCCAGGGACAGAGCCAATGAGTCCCGAGGGCATCAGCTTCTTATACACGTGACACAGGAAGTGCTGGTGGGCACCCAGATGCTCTGATTGCTTGAAACAAGGCATCAAGCAGATGTTTGTGCATTTTATGGAGGAAAACAGCGGCTCAGCTGGGGGAGGATGGGGAGGCCTACCCCCCAGGGCAGGGCATGGGTGACAGGGCCCCAGGTGCCTCATATTTGTGTTGTTGCTCTGGCCGGAGTTCGCCTCTCTCTCCTGGAAGCGGGCAGGAGGGTCTGGCCAGCGGGACTCGGGCATCCCACATTCTGACTTGGTACCTGGCACAGCACAGGCCCCCAACAAGTACTGCCGCACATGCTGACACAGGGTTACCTACAGGGCTCCGTGGGCTGGGGCCCGTGGCAGGCGGTGGCTGGTCTGCTGCCGAGCGCCGTGGAGAAGGAGTCAGGACATGTGATGCAGGCTGCTCCTGGAGGAGAGGGTCCGTGGGCCGGTTTTCTGGATCCATCTCTCCTGGACGTGGGAGTGAGGGCACAGGCTGTCGGCAGTGAGGACTGCTGGCCCGGGCAAGGGGCTGGAGGGGCAGACTGGGAGGCTTCTGCACCTGCAGGAGGGAATGGACAGTGCATCTAGGGCCCAGGGCCACCCAGGCACCACCTCAACCCACACGAGGGAGTGGAGGCACAGGTTCCAGTGACACTGCGCACGCTCAGCGTGGCCATGGTTACACTGCAGCACGCCCACGTATCTGTGCACACAGCCGTCCTCAGGGAGTGCCTGGGAGGCCAGTGGTGAGGGGCCCTGGATGGATCCCGGCAGGTCCGCGGCCAGCAGTGGCACTGTTCCTCGCGTCTGTGGCCAAGTGATCCTCACCGCCCTAATGGGCGGAACCTCCGGTGGGCACTGAGCCCTGGTGCGGTGCCTGGGCCCAGGGGGGCTTTCCTGGGGCCCGGGAACGGGCGCCTGCCTGTCCATGGCAGTCTGAGACCAGCGGCCGGGGTGCTGGGGCTGGTTTCCACCGAGGAGGCCGCTCCTCCTGGACCACGAGTCCCGAGCCATCCTGGCACAGCAGAGGCACAGCCCACCTGCCGCCCCAGGCTCGGAGCCTGGCCCACATCCCAGCAGCCGACACCCCTGCGCCTGGCGCTGACCTCCGGTTCGCCCTGCAGGAGGCCGTGCAGGGCCAGCTGCTCGTACACCTGGGCCCGGTAGCACGCCATCTGCTGCTTCTTCTCCTTGGCCAGGTCGTAGTCCTCCTTCTCCACCGCGCAGCGCTTCTCCACCTCGTAGCGCCCTAGGCGCTCACCGACCTGCAGCACAGAGCATGGAGTATGGCCTGTGGCCGGTCTGCGCCGACTCTCCAGGGGCAGAGGTGACGTGGCCACGTGCGCGCCCGCCCTGCGCAGATGGAGCCCTGGGCACAGCCACGCTCCTCGCCACGGTCACGCTGTTGCTTCCCAGCACCTGGGAAAGCCAGGACCCCTCGCAGGCTGAGGCAGCCTGTCCTCCCACAGTGGCGATAGCAGAGCTCAGGCTTTTTCCTCAATTCTACATTGCGACCTGTGACGCCGGGCTGAACCCTGAGTCCCCAGCCCTCATCCCTGCAGACCAGCGTCAGGAGCGTACCTTGTGCAGGTCGGCAATGGCTTGCTTCAGTTTCTTGGCATGATCGTACCGCTCCCTCTGGACAGCCTCCCGCTTCCTCTCGTCCAGCCTGCGGATGATCTGGGCCACCTCGGGGTCTTGGTACATGTCAAAGGCCAGGTCATCCAGGGGCGAGATGTAGTCGGATCGCCTAGGGGAGGGATGACTGCAGGGTGAGTTTCCATCCTGGAGAGACACACAAGGCTCAGCGCTGAACCTGGAGAAAACAACCCCGTGGCGCTCACGGGTGACTCTGGAACGAGGATGTGGAAGCTCAGAGAAGTCGGCATGGCCTGGGCAGCACAGCTCCCAAGCGGCAAGCCTGTCAGCCAGGCTGTGCCTTGGGGCACCGGTCCACCTAGTGAGTGCGCTCGAGCTCCCAGGCAGGCCGGGCAGTCAGGCTACGGGAGGTGCAGAGTGGGTGGAAATGAAAGAACGATGCGATGGCCAGGCCTCAGCCCCTCAGTCCCGGCATGGAGAGCAGGCTCCCAGGTTTAGGACGGCACAGCAGTTGTGATCTGTGCCTGCTGTTGTTGGTGTTGGGCTCCCTCTAGCAGCCCAATTTCAGCCGGGGGTAACGGGACACCTACAACAGTGACACCAGCCTGCCGGGGCACAGAAGCATTAACAGAGGAGAGGCTTGGCCACCAGCTGGCTCAGACAACCATGCGGAGTGAGCCTGGTGCCCGCTGGGCCCTGGGTACCCTTGCGTGTGGATGAGTTTCATCATGGAAAGTTCAGTTGGCAAACTTGTATAACAGTGAACTCAAATGAGACTCCAGCATACACCACCTTTAAAAATCCCCAACTCTCTCTTGGTGGCACATACTAAGGACTAACCCTAGGGCCTTGTGCACGCTAGGCAAGGGTTCTACCACACAGTCTCACTAAGTCGCCCAGGCTGGCTTTGAACTTGCAATCATCCTGCCTCAGCCGCCCGACTGGCCGGGACTACAGCGAGTACCGCCACACTCAGTCCCAAGTCTCCTAGGACGTCCTCACTTCCTGCATTCAGGGCACTCTGCTGACGGCCACAGCGCCAGGCAGGCCCACGGCAGGGCCGGCACGAGCCATTCGTCTCAGCAGTGACACACAGTGACACACTATGCTTCCCCGGGCACTCGCTGGTGTGTTTAGCTCATCACATACCACACCCAGGGTCTAAGCTCAGGGGCTGCGAGGCCCTCAAAATGTGAACTCGTCACGGGCCAGCCATCAGAGCCCCACCAGAGTCGTGCTTCCTGGGGCTCATGGCTAGGGAGGCCCGCGGCTGGCTGCAGCAGGCTTCCCACAATCTCGCCACGGCCTCCCCAGTCCCCGGGGCCAAGGCTGCGCCTCAGCAGGGAGAAGCCAGGTGCGGGCACTGTGATGACGCTGACGCCACAGCCAGCCATCTGCTCCGTGCCTCCTGCTTCACGCTGCACCCAACTGGGAGACCCTGCTGCTCCAGGCCTCTGCAGTGGACGGAGCCGCGTGCGTCAGCTGAACACTGCTCATGGTTTCCGCACGATTCTGAGAGGTCCCATGTGCTCAGTGCTCCACACCCACCCCGGACAGCATGGTCCTTGGAAGCTCTGTACCATGCTGGTCCCATGGCTGATGCCCTCTGTGGAGCAGGCCCGGCGGAGGAAGCGGACTGTCTGCAGGCAGCACAGCATCCGGCAGTGCAGAGGATCCACTGTGCTGCCTGCACACAGCTCAGCTGTTTCCTCAAAGCTGATATGACACATGCTTATCATGGCTGCGCACCCAGGGCCCAAGTGACCGGCCCTGAATTTGCCCATGGGTCTGCACAACTCCAGGTGCGTCTGGGCGGGCGGGAGAGCACTGAGGCCCCCCAGGGCACCGGAGTGTGGTGCCAAGGAAGCAGCCTCGACGCTGCTTGAAGTCGCCCACTGTCAATGGAGCCAGGGCCCCGACCCAGGCTCCTCCCCCAGGCTCCTCTGCACCTGACCCGCACTGCGGCCCCTCTGCTCTTACCCCACATAAGTTCCCTCCAGCGCCGGGTCCTCGGGGCTGTGCCCCAGGTAATGGTCCATCAGCTTCTCCCTAGAGGTCTGTGGGAGCAAACAGACAGCCAAACCTCAGCAGACGGGCGTGAGACCTTAGCTTCCCCATCCAGTCCGGGCTTCGGGAGGGACAGTTACATTTTTTTTCTGTACTAGGGATCAAACTCAGGACCTTGCACGTGCGAGGCAGGTGGCAGCACCACTGAGCTACATCCCCCGCCCAACAGTTACAGTTCTTGAGAGAAAATGTTTAAGAGACTGCAGCTGCTGGCCAGGCAGGGTGGCACAGAGCTGCAATCCCAGCACTTGTGAGGCTGCAGCAGGAACAGCATCATGAGTTCAATGCCAGCCTGAACTACACAGCAAGACTCTGTCTACACCAAAAAACAAAGAAACAAAAACAGAAAACCCAGAGAAAAAGACTATAGCTGGTAAATCATGTGAAATTTTCATTAGTCTCACAAAGATTTTCAAAGTCATATTTCTTGTTTTTTGTTTCATTGTTTTGTTTTTTTGAGACAGGGTCTCATTATGTAGTCCAGGCTGGTCTTGAATGCACAGCGATCCTCCTGCCTCAGCCTCCCAAGTGCTGGGCTTACAGGTATGCGTCACCATGCCCAGGAAAATGATAGTTCTTGTTATGAAAATAAATGATTCCTCCCATTTGAAATCCATTAGGAACCCATTTTCCTTAAGCGTTAAATCTCCCAAACTTACAAGGTTGCTTTCATTGCTGAAATCTGCAGGGTCTCCAATGATATTTATTGCAACCAAAGCAACCTAAGAAAGAGTCAAATCAACAAGAATTAAGCAGAAGCTGTGTGAGACACCCCAAGTCCTTTATGATACATTCACACTGCATTGCTATCAAACAGGATGACGCACGTCAAACTGCATTAGTTGTAAAGTGTCACACTAACATTGAAGCGTCTATCAATTCTTACATAAGTTGTGTAAGATAGGGGCTCTCCAACCACTTAAGGCAAAGAAAAAATAGCTAAAAGCCCCAAATTGGGGCCTGGTAAGGGGCCCTCCACTCGAGGATGAATATAGAAGTCACATCCAGGTGGCGCTGGGGAAACAGGAAACCAGACGATGAAAACAAAAGCCCACATCAGCCGCTCAGGGGACTGCAGCCACCGAGCCCCAGGCGCACGGTGACGGGGTGGACATAGCAAGAGGCTCACGGAGCGAGCTCCCTTCAAACGCACCGGCTCGGTAGGATGCTGATTTGTGGGGTGTCATTTCCTCCTGAGGGGGTGGGGGGCCATGAACACTGCTAAGTGGCCAGAGCTGGGGTGCTTGGGTGCCAGCCGGCCTGCAGGGGTCCTGGGTCCCACACAGCAGACACCAGCCACACAGTCACGCTAGGTCCTCTGCAGCAGCATTAAAATGCTGGAAAGGGGGCCAGGGATTTAGCTCAGTGGTTCCGGTGTCTGCCTCCCAAGCGCAAGGACCTGAGTTCGATCCCCGGTACCAAAAAAAAAAAAAATGCTGGAAAGACAGGTGGAAGAGAGTCCACCAAAAGATGACTGAGCCGTCAACCGGAACTGATGCAGACGCTCCCACGGGCTCCTTCACATCAGTCTCCGAGGTCCTGTGTCTTGGTGACACTGCCACGCACCCAGTACTGCCGTATGTACAGCAGAGCCTGGCGCCGGGAGCAATGGCCATGCATGCACAAAAGGCCCCTCTGACAAGGGAGTCTCAACCAAGCAGGGTGGCGCATGCCTTGTAATCCCAGCACTCTGGGAGGCTGAGGCAGGAGGATTGAAAGTTTGAGCCCAGCCTGGGCAGCTCAGTGATTTAGCAAGTCTTTGTCTCAAAAAAAAAAAAAAAAGATAAATAAGTAAAATAAAGTAAATAAAGGGCCAGGGCTGTAACTCAGCGTGAAGGCCCTGAGTCCAATCCCCACCAGGAAAACAGCCTTGAACACACACATAAGAGAAGATACCTGCACTCCTCAGCCCTGGGGGCGGGGGCAGTCCCAGGTGCAGGTGTGCTTCTCTTACCTGGTTATAGATGTTGTACTTGTTCAGGTGGTTTTGGTGAAAAATCAGCTTAAGAAACTGCCCTACCGCATCCACATACACTGATTTTAGTTCCCGGGCTTTGCAACCTGTCTTCTCATTGTCACACAGGGAGACGTAGCTGCAAGTAAAAACAGAGCTGAAGATGGTGTGGGCGGTGTGGATGCAAGAGAAAGAGGCCCCTGCTCCTACTGAGCTCAATGGTTTGAAATACGCAGAAGCTACGCCTTGAATGAACAGCCTGGCAAAACCCGACTGGAATCAGCATTCCTGGGAAGGGGCTGGACCGCCTCAGAAGCACACCAGCACTGGGCAGGTGCGAGGGAGAGCTCTGGCCTGGACCCGGAGAGGCATGAAAGGCCATCCTCACCCCAGTCTGCGAAAGCGCTCTGCTTGGTAAGGTACGAAGTAGTCTGGCAAACTTTCACTGATGTAAAACTCGATTTTACTTGAAATCATATACTGGTGAGCAAGGAGCTGCAGTTTCCTTATTCGACATCTCTCCACCATCTGCAGGACAATTTCTTGTGGAAACTGGCAGAATCTGAAAGCAAAGACACGACTGGTTTTCTGGGCATGAGGACCAGCTTCCCAGATGCCAGGCGTCCAGAGGGGCTGTGAGAAGCGGGGTGCCCCTGCCTGGGGAGGGGCCCACGAGGCGCCTGGCGAGCCTGAGTGGCTGCCCAGGGGTCAGTGTCAAGCACCTTGAGGATGCTGCCTGCTGCAGCACCAGCACTCCGAGGACATGCTGCTCAGCCCTCTTCCTGGTTCCCTTAGAGCTCAGGCAGGGAGAGCCAGCCTGGCTTGCTGGGCTTCCCCAAAACTCTAATCTTAATTTTAAATCAATTTTCAGCTGAACGGAGGTGCCCTGCGCATCCCCGGTTCGTGAGCAGTGTGACAGGAACCCCGAGCTGGGTCTGGACAGAGCAGGAGCAGGTGGCCCGCTCAGCCTGGAGCTCTGCATGAAAAACGGAGGCTACAGCTGTTTTTTTTTTTTTTTTTTTTGAGACAGGGTCTCACTATGTAGTCCTGGCTGGCCTTGAATTCACGGTGACCCTTCTGTCTCAGTCTGATGAGTGCTGGGATTACGGGCATCTACCACCATGCCTACCACAGAGACTTCTTAAAGTTTCAGAAAAAGAATAAAAGTAACACTCAAATAATGAATGTTTTTTTATAAACGTTCAAGAGAAATTGGAAAGAGACTTTTCTGTTGAAGCCTGGTATCACACAAAAGCAGTCAGATGCAAAATCTTTCACCAGCAGGTGCCCAATCACAAAGCCAAAAAGTCTGCAGATACAATGTGAGCGCACAAGCCAACTCATGGTCAGGCTGGGCGGTGGTACAGTCTTTTCCATTTTTGCACCTTTTCTCAAACGAGTGTGGGCTCACATGACGGAGAAGGAGCAGAAAAATTTCTTTAAAAATGGAAACAAAAAGGAAAAAAACGCTATCGTAGAACAAGATGTCACACGTGGGAACACAACCTGAAAAGCTTATGGTTCCTATTGTCTGAGTCATAAAACGAGAGCTCAGAATAAGAGGAACCCAAGGGGGCCTGGTGCTGGCTCCCAGCCAGCCTCACCTCGGTGACCGCCACCCACTCACTGTGGGCGCGTGGATCATCAACTCCCGGGCGCTGAAGCCGTCTTCGTGTCCAGAAGAGCTGACCACTACGAACCCGACCTTGTGGGGCATTCTGCACACCTGGGCTGTTCCTAAGAGCAGGGAGAGTACCTTTAAAAGACGTCACTAACACAATATTAAAAATGTTAGTTAATGCCTTCTAATGTACGACGTCATCTACAAAGTACTCAGAATTTTCCATCTATTTCAAAGTTTAGCTTTTTTGTTAAATGCTTTTTATAGACACTTCTAGCTCTACGCAGAGTACCATTTATCTGGACTTTGCAAATTTTTGTTCAAAAGTTTGACCTGTGTCATGAACAGAATTGTGTCTCCCAAAGATATGTTCAAGTCCTTCCTTTGCTACCTGTGAACATGCACTCATTTAAAAAGAGTCTTTGCAGAGGTGATCTGGTTAAGATGAAGCCGTGGCTAGGCGTGGCGGTAATTACAGCATGTGGGGAGGCTAAGCCAGGAGGACTGCTAGTCTGAGGCCAGCCTGGGCAAGTCAGTGAGACCCTGTCTCAAAAATCAAATAAAAATGAAAGGACAGACAGTCACGGGTATAGCTCAGAACAGTTTCTGCTTTGACCCCCGCAACTGACCCAATCATAAGGGTAGGCTCAATCTAGCCATGCCAGGGTGACTGGTGTTCTTTTAAAAAGCGGAAAAGGGGCTGAGGGTGTAGCTCAGTGGCACAGCACTGTGACGGCTATGTCTAGAAGCCCCCCAAAGCCTCATGGGGCCATAAGTGGGATTTTGCAGAGGAGGCTGCATCTAGAGCGTGTGATGCTGGAATTGATTCATGGTGCAGTGCTAGGCCCACAGGCGCTAGGATCAAGGGAGCAAGTGCTGCCCGCCCTAAGCAGCCTGGATAAGATAAAGGAGGTAGAAAGACGCTGTTAAATTCTCCTGCTTGCTTGCTTTTGCTGTCTTCCGCCGCCATGAACTGTTGCCCCTCTGCCATGTGCCACCCTGTCTTGGAGACAGCCGATTATGGACTGAAACTTCTTCAAACTGTGAGCTACATCAAACTTTCCCCCTTTAACTTTGGGCGTCAGGCAAGGAGAAAAGTAACTAAGACAAGCACTTTGCCTAGCATGCACACAAGGGCCTGGGTTTGATACTTAGGACTGCAACAAACAAAGAAAAACACAGGAGAGAAGAGACAAGACACACAGGGCGAACACCGCATGATGACAGAGGCAGGGACAGCAGCAGGTCCCTGCAAGCCTCGGAGTGGCCAGGATGCCTGGAGACCCACAGGCCAGGACTGACAGGCAGGGTCCTGGCCTGGTCCCTCAAGGCAGCATGCATGGCCCTGCACCTTGTTTCAGACCTGGAGCTCCAGAACACATTTCTGTGTTTCCAGTTCCCCAGTTGGTGATACCGTGTCACTGCAAAAAGGAGATACAAATGTAAAGCTTTTTGTAACTGTTAAGAAACTAACACAGCCAGTTGGTTAGCTCCTAACAAGGAGGGGGAAAGGCAATTTAATCACCGGCATGATAATTACTATGTGAAAATGTACCAGGAGGAAGCAGGAACCACAGATACTACATTAAGTGCAGAAATGTGCACAGTCTGCACTGTGATTCTCTTGAGGATATATGTATATTTTTTTGGTACCAGGGATCAAACTCTGGACCTTGCGCTTACAAGGCAGGCAGCGGAACCCACTGAGCTAAATCTCCGGTCCCAAGGGCCCGTTTTGAGGATATTTAAACACACTGGCTCAGTCACTTTTTAATGTCTCGATTTCTCAGTGAATCTAACCCTGATGCTAGCTCAGTGGCATCACCTGGAGGGTGGACACTGCAATGCCTACTTTGGCTGCTTGGCATCTGGCTCTCCTGCTTGGAACCGACTGTCCTCTGGTGACGCTGCCCTCTCTTCCTAGTCCTGGTGCTAGTGGGCTTCCCACTTGGGTAACCCTACCCACCTGCACTGGACGCCTTCCCTGGCCCAGCCAGCCCTCCCCAGTAAGGGGCTCCAGGACAGGACCCAAGTAGGTGGCCCAGAGTGGATGGGGAGGCGCAATCCCAGGACTGCGTCGGGACGACGGGGAAGGAGCTTTCTTCCCACAGCACTGCTGGGCCCAGGATAGCTCTGCCCAGGCTGTGAGGGCCACAGGGGGGCAGACCCACACAAGTCAGGTGAACAGAGTGCACCTGGGTGCAAGCCCCTGGTGAGCCCTCAGGCGTGGCTACCTTGAAGGCCAAACGCTCCTGGGGTCTCCGTTATTGTTCCGCTACCAAGCCAATCAAATTCCTGCTAAGCAAGCCAATGGGCTAGCTAAATCATTTGCAAAAACCAAAACCAAATAGGAAAGCCCCCCAGAACTCCCCCTCACTGACATAGAGGACAAGGAAGAATGCAACAGAAATTTCTCTGGGGTAAAATCCATATACTGTTCATTGGAATGCTCTTTGGGAGGTGCCATGTAAATGTCCCACATGAACTCCGGCTCATTTTAAACGTGCTCGGTGTGTGACCTTTCTGTCACCGAGGGCCTGAGGAGGTCCTTTCAATAGTAAATGACCAGCTGGTGTTGCTAATGTTTCTCAGAATGTACGAATGAAAGCATTCAAAACAGGATGATAACCATTATCGACCCTAAGTGTATTTTTACACAAAGTTCGCTGCAGAAGATCACAGTGTATCACAGGGAAACTAACCCAGAGAATAATGAAGAGCAAGGACAGAAAGTGGCTGAGCATGATTTAATCCAGCGTCTGCCACCAGTCCATGTGCATCCCCCCCTAGAACAGCACAAGCTGTGGCCTCTCCCCGACCCGGGGACCTACCGCTCCCAGTCACTCGGACTCTAGCCCGGGGGCGCTTCCCCTGCTACCTGAGCCTGATGGCATGCCAAGTTTTACTGAACGCGCCCTTCTTGCCGGCCCAGTCTTTTCCACAGGTTTGGCAGCTGCTGCCGGCCCTCCTGGACAGCCTCTCTGCCTGTCCTGTGCTCCTGCAGACAGACACCCTCCAGTGGCTCTGGCCATCACCACCCCTATCCTGGCCCATTTTGCTTTCCTGACCCTCACTTTTTGTCTGGAGTTCTAATGTCCAGCCATGCTTAACTAAAGCTCAGAGGTGCCATCCTTCTGCCCTGACTTCCTGATCCTTTGGTCCTCTGTAAGAGCGGGGTCTGTAAGTCCTTGTCCACCTCGATACCCTGAGGTGACACTAGGATTTAGAGAACCTTTAACCTCAAATACCAGGGGTCTCCACTGTGCTGTGCTGCCCTAATCAATCCCAAAGCGCTGGCGCTGAAGAACCATGCAGGAGGAATGCACGGGCATGTGGAGGTGACTTATGACTTCAGTGTGGGGATCTGAAAAACACTGCTTTTTAGACAACCTTCTCCCAAAGACCTTCCACCTTGCACTCTCTGGTCCCTTCTGTGTGAACAAGAGATGCTTCGGGCTCTCTAAAAATCACTACTTAGAAGAACCATGCCGTGAGTCAGGTATCCTAGTGCACACCTGTAATCTTAGCTACTTGGGAGGCTGAGAAAGGAGGATCTCCAGCCTGGGCAACTCAGTGAGACCTTGTTTAAAAATAAAAAGGGCTGGGGTGTAATTCAGTGGCAGAGCACTTGGGCGGGTCTGGGTTCACGATATGGGGGTGGGGGAGCCAAGATCAGCAGCAGCAGCGACTCTGTTTTGCGCTGGTCACCAGCTGGTCTTCACCAAAGGGAGCCGGGATCCAGCCACGCCGGGGACAGCCATCTGCATCCCTGCCACAGCTGGATGGACCGCACCCCCCGCAGGCGCAGTCCTGGGTGCCGCTCCCTCGCGCTGCTGTAAACCACACCGGGCAGCCTGCTCTCCGAGAGACTTACACGGCACACGGTGATCTTGCCAAGGAATCCCAAGGGCGGCAGGGGCTGCACAGAAATCGGAAACTCGCAGCAGCGGCGGCGGCTTCTCCTTAACCTCCCCCGGCCCCTGGTGACGCGGGACCGTGGGCTCGGGCTGGGCTGGGACGGGCAGAACCACCCAGGGCTGCCCGGGTCTGGTCGACGGGGAAAGGAGCCCCCGGCCGCGATCGCCCTCGCCCTGCGTACCTGCTCACACGCTGGTCCCGAGGCCGCCGCGTCTTCGGGGGGAGCTCAGGGGGCGCCTCCGCCGCCCACCCCAGCCGCGGCACCCGCAGGCCACAAGGCAGCGGCTGCCGAGGCCCAGCCACCCCCGCCCTCTGCCTGGCCGCGACCGCGCTCTCATGACAACCTCGCGGGCCGCCGCCCTGCGCCTGCGCTGTCTCCCGCGCCTGCGCAGGAGCCGGGCCTCCGCCCCGGGCCGCGCCTGCGCACGAGGAGAGCAGCGCAGGCTCCGGTCGGGCCTGCGCACGAGCCCAGCGCGTTCCGGTCTAGCCCACTCCGTCCCCTCCGCAGCGCGTGGCCCGGGCGAGCATGTGCGCGGCGCCCCGCCAGCCCAAGAGCGTCCGGCTGCGCGCCCTGCACAGCGCACGGAAGTTCGGCGTGGCGGGCCGCACCTGCCTGGAACTGCTGCGCAAGGGCTGCCTGCGCTTCCAGGTGCACGGGGCCTTCCCGCCGCTTCACTACCCCGGGAATCCCGGCCCGCGGTGCTCGGCTCGGGGCGTCCCGGCCTCGCTGACACCAGTACCCCCCCCCCCCCCCCGCCCCCCCCCCCCCCAGGTTCCCGAGCACGGCTCCCGGCTGTGCCTGTATGAGGACGGCACGGAGGTGACCGAGGACTACTTCCCTCGCGTCCCCGAAGACGCGGAGCTCGTGCTGCTCACCGCCGGCCAGACCTGGGGGGGTTGTGAGTGCGGGGCCCCGGGGGCCGGAAGGGGGCCTGAGGGGCCCCTGAGGGTCACAGCTGGCCCGCGGCGCCCGTCTGCAAAGCCCGCGGCCTCCTGGCCAGGAACGCAGTTGTTCAGGGTTGTTCTGCGATACTGGAGATTGAACCCAGGACCTTCACTCCGCGCTACATCCCCTCCCTCCCCCTCCCGCCCGCCTTCCCTTAGTCCCTGAGTTGCCCAGCTTGGGCCTGAACTTTCGGTCCTCCTGCTTCAGCCTTCCAGGGTGCTGAGATTACAGACCGGTGCCAGCAGCCCGTCTTTGTCTATTTTAAAAAATTTTTCAACTCCATTTTGGGGCAGGGCGTGCAGTTTTGTAGGTAGACATGCAGCTGAGCCTTGTGCCTCTTCCGGGCAGGACAGCCCTGTGGTCACCGAGCTGTCGTTAGGGTTGGTGTGAGGCTGTCTCCCCGGGCGCCTGCTGTGATGGGTGGGTCTTCCCGGCGTCTGTATTGAAGGCCTGGGTGTGAACCTCAGCTTCAGAGTCAGCTGGCCAGCAAGTTCTGCACCCCTAGTGCAAGGGCCCCGGGGCAGGAGACACCAGCAGGTGCCCCGCCCTGGGGTCTTCAGCTCTTGTGCAGCTGCTGCTGCCGCCTGGTGTGGCTGGGGTGTGAGGAGGGAGTCAGCACCTGGGGGCCCTTGGTTCCCAGGTCAGGGCAGACAGTCTGGCCCTGGAGGTCACGTGTGGGCAGGGCAGGCTGTGCCTCCCCTGGACTGAATCCGTTTCTGTTTGTCCCCTGTTGGTGGCAGATGTGAGCGACATCGGCCGCTTCCTCAGCGTGTTTCAGGAGCCACATGTGGGCGTCCTCCAGGTGGCCCGGCAGCTGCTAGAGGACGAACAGGCCCCGCTTCGGCAGAAGTTGCTGGCAGACCTGCTGCAGAGCGCGAGCCAGAACATCGCAGCCGAGACGCGGGCCCAGGACCCACCCTGGTTCGAGGGTGCGTGGACGGGGCTGGGGGACATGGTAGGCAATTGGTCGACCACTGGGCTATAGCCTCAACCCTTTTTATTTTAAAATGGGGTTCTCGCTGAGGTGCTCAGCCTGGGCTTGAACTTGCAGTCTTCCTGCCTCAGCCTCATTAGTTGGAATTATTTTCCTTTTTAAGGCTGAGTAATACTCTACCACGTGGATGGAGGTGATGGACATGGGTTGTGCCTACCTTTGGTCTGGCCTTGGGAGCTGGTTGGAGGTGACCCTGGTACCTGCAGCCTCCTGAGAAAGGGCTGGTGTGGCCAGCCAGGGATAAGCCCCAGGCGGTGTTTGAGATGCCTCCGAAATGGAAACCGGATGCGTCACTGAGTCACTGTCAGCTGTTCCCCAGACGTGGCCCCTGCAGCCTGTGACTCGGGGGTCTTCCTCCTGGCAGGCGTGGAGTCCCGCTTTAGGAACAAGTCTGGCTACCTGAGATACAGCTGTGAGAGCCGCATCCGGGGCTACCTGAGAGAGGTGAGCCTGTGCCGAGGGCCCCCGCGCTGCTGCCGGGAAGCTGGCGGGAAACCACCGTGCTGGTGACGGGATGAGCCAGCGGAGCGTGTGCGCGTCTGGCAGCGGAGACCATCTCTGTCCCGCTCACCCGCTGTCCCTGCCGACCAGCCTCGTCCTCCTGCGGCCCAGATCTCCGCCCCTCCCTCTGTGGAGTCCTGTTGTGTGAGAACCCATCTTTGCCGCTTGTGTCTCTTAGGGATGAGTTTCTGTGCCCTCTACTTGCTGTGATGGACGCCCCCCAGGGCCGGCAGCCTGCTGTCCCTGCACCTGACCACAGGGTCGCTGCCCTTGGAGAAGAGCAGGGGGCTGCGTGGCTGTGCAGGGTGCTCTGGTGACCTTTGGGAGGGAGCTGACTCCGAGGTAGCGGTGTCCTCCCCCTGGGGCAGCGCCGCAAGCTGGTGCCAGCCAGAGAGCAGGCGGGTGGGCTGGCGCTGTGGCCCCCTGTGATCTGGGTCCTGCTGCTTAACAGTGCCAGGGACACACAGAGCGGGACTCCCCGCCATGTGGTGGCTGTGTAGCTCCCTTCAGATTCTCCGGACAGCACCAGCAGGAGGTGGCTCGGCGTGCGGTGCATGGGACTTTTCCCCCTGCGGTGCCCTGGCCACGTTGGCTGGTGGGTGCTTGGCCAGCTGCGGGGCAGGGACAGCGTCACAGACGGGCCCCCCCCGGCCCTGCCGTGCCGTGTTGCCTGGAGCTTGTGCGGGTGGAGGCCGACCGGATGGCTGTCGTGTCCTCCCCCTGCACCCTGAACTGGTGTGAGTCTTGGGTGGCATTTATTTTAGTTTGCATGGGGAAAAGTGGAAAATGTGTTCCTGGAGGTGCTGTTGTATGGATGGCCCTCAACGGCTGCCATCTGCGTTGTGCCCCTGCTGCCCCGGGACGCCGTGCTGCACAGGGCCCGGTCGGCCTCTCAGGCTGTGTCCCCACCCAGTGTTTCCTGGCATGGAGTCGTGGTCTGCTGCTGCTCACTGGCATGTGGTGCCTGCCTGTCACTCCTGCCGAGGAGGGATGGGATGGTGGCACTTCCTGGTCCACATGCCCTCCAGTCAGCAGTGGCACATGGCTCCCAGGTGGGCCCAAAACATGCCCAGCGCTTGCGTTCGTCATTTGCCTGATTGTGAGCAAAGTTGGCTGGCGCTAGCAGAGGCCTGGGGGTCCAGGCAGCCCGAGTGGCAGGCGCGGTCACCCCAGTCCCTAAACCGGCCCTTCTCCGGTGGCTGTACCTTCCCCACTTCCTCCTAGAGGCGGAGCCAGCCCCACCGCTCATGGCTAGGTCTCCTTGTGACATTAGGTGGAGGGCACTGGCCCGCATGGCAGGCTCCCCATGCCCTCGCTCTCCTTGGGTGGCATGATGGTGATGTTCTGCTGCCTCCTGTTTCTGCCCCTCCACGAGTGACTGGCCGTGTCCCTGCATCCCCGGCCTTGGCACACTGTAGCGCAGTCACTGCCCCTGGCACTTTTCCCCCCAAGCAGGACAGGCCTGGTCCTTCCTGTCACCTGCTGCCTGGGGGCCCTGGCTGGCTCCTACCCACCCGGTGCCTGGCATCAGTGTGGCTCATGGGCTCAGCCCCTCTGACCACAGGCCTGGGCTTGGAAGGCTCTGTGCCCGTGGCCAGCGGCCACGCCGGCCTCCACCTGTGCCCAGGCTCAGAGATGTTGCCCCTTTCTAGGTGAGCACCTACGCCTCCGGGGTGGCCGTGGGGGCTCGAGAGGAGTACCTGCGTGTCCTCGACTCCATGTGCCAGAAGCTCAAGGCCGCGCAGTACCACGGGAGCTACTTTGACCGAGAAGCCGAGGCCGGAGGCCGCCTGTGCACACCAGAGGGCTGGTTCTCCTGCCAGGTGAGCAGCACACCCTTTATCCCGGGCTGCCCAAGTGGCTTGCCAGCGTCAGGCCTCCGGATGAGGTGGGGAGGACGTTAGGGTACCCGCACCCAGAGTGAGGGGCATGGCCTCAGCGTGGGGGATGCCCTGGGGGCCTGGGAGTCTGCATTTGTGACAGGCTTCGCCTGGGAACCCCAGCCTTGTTCCCACTGGCCTGGGTAGGAAAGGGGCTCTCGTGGGGCCTGGTGGATTAGGTTAAGCAGGAGGCCCGGCGTTTCCACGCGTGGGAGCCTGAGAGGTGTTGGCCACCATAGACCTTTGGGGCAGGGCTCAGGCGGTCAGGGCAGGGCTGGGTGGCATTTCCAGGCGCTAGTTGAGCTTGGCTTTCTGGGAGAGCATCAGTCAGAAGCAGTGCTGGGTGTGCGGGTGGACAGCCCGGGTCCGCCTCCTTCCAGACACGTGGACACCTCACAGAGATGCCATTCTGACTGGAGGCAGAGCGGGGGCCCTCGCTGCCCGAGCTGCTTCCCTCCTGCCTCTGCCGCCCTTCTGTGAGGTGGGAGGCCTGCTCCAGCTGCGGGCAGTGATGGCCCCTGGGCCTGACCTGGCCCGGGCCCCTGTGATGGGGGGACCTCTGGCCACTTGCACACTGGAGGTGCATTTTTGGTGCACCCCACTGGGGCTTCCTGCTGGTTCAGGCAGCAGGGCGTGGTGGCAGGAGTGGCTTCTGGTGTCCTCTAGCCCTTGTTGGCACTGCTGGCCACTTCTTCTATGGGCAGAGGACCCTGCCCATGAGAAAACTCCGCCGTTCACATTTGCCTGCCTTCGGACTCCCAGGGAGCTCGCTCGGCCACTCACTGGAGACCTTCCCCGAACCAGGCAATGAGGGAACTGAGAGATCGCACATCCCTCTTGCCTGCCCCCAGGAGGCGCCAGTGGGAGGGGAAGGATGTGGAGACTAGAGAGGAAGAGTGGCTCTGTGCCGGGGGTGCTCAGGCGGCAGGCAGAGCCGTGGGGTTCAGCACGTGACCCACAGACATGCCAGTGAGGTGTATTGAGGGGCTGGGGAGGTTTGGCAAGGTGGCCCAGCCTGAGTGGGGGGTGACAGGGAAATACTCAGGAGCCACGTGGAGTGGACAGTCTGTGGCCCTGGTCGGCCATGCGCTGGCCGTGGCTTCCGCAAGTCAGTGCCTTCCCCACTGAGCTAGGATATGGGGCCGGGGTTGACCCTGTGCCATGGAGCACTGGTGATAACCGGGCTGCCCCAGGTGCCCACCAAAGGCTGCTGCAGGCGTCTGGTAAGGACGCTGTCGTGACAAACAGTGACAGTAACTAAGTGGCCCCCCGGGGACCCAGAACACAAGGCTGGGTAGTGATTCCACAAGCAGAACTCCTGAATTCCTGATCTGCCCCAGACAGCAAGGGGTTTCCAGGGACAAGGTGCCCGTGGGCCTGCTGCTCGGTGAGCTTATCTGCCAGGGAGGAGGCCAGTGGAGCCTCACGTCCCTGCTTTCCTGTCCCCTGTCGCATAGGGTCCTTTTGACCTGGAAAACTGCGCCTCAAAGCATTCCATCAACCCCTACAGCAACCGGGAGAGCCGGATCCTCTTCAGCACATGGAACCTGGACCACATGTGAGTGTAATTTGTGGGGACTCTGTGGGCGCCTGGCCCCAGACCCGGACTTACAAACCGAAACAGCAGCTGCAGGGTCTTGCTCTGCCAGGCTGCTTGGTGGCTCCTTGTGGCTGTCACCACCATGTTTCCCTGGCTGCGCCGGCCCAGGGAAGGGGCCTGCTGTGTGGGTGCCGCTCTGGTGCCTGCCGTCAGAACACGTGCTTGACACCCAGCTGTTGTCCCTCTGTCTTCTGGTTCCTCTGGATGGAGTGGGGCCATGAGCCTTGCCTGGAGTGAGGGGCCTGGTTCTTCAAGGGCCATTGCCAGGTTGGCAGAGGCTGAGTGCTGTGTGCTTGAGCAGGAGGAGCCGGGAAGGCAGGAGCTCTGGCTGTGTATTGTTTTCCTGTTGCTGGGACAAACCACCTGATACCTGCGGCTTAAGGCAGAGAAGTTTATTTGGCTCAGGGTTTTACAGAGTCCAGTCCATGGTCAGCTGGCTCCAAGGAGAAACAGCACAGTGGAAGGTCTGGTGGAGGACAGCAGCTCAGCCTGTGGTGGCCAGGAAGTAGAGGGAGGAGCAGGGGGACAAGCATACAGCCTTCCGGGTCACACTCCAGTGACCATCTCCTGTAACCAGGCCCCACCCCGTTGGCACATCCAGCTGTTATCTCATCGCTGAATGACTGCGCTGTTGAGCAAAGTGCCCCATGGCCCAGTCACCTTCCAAATGTGCAATCTCTGGACACAGACACCTGGAGACATTTTAGATCAGACATAGCATTTGGGGACTTCTGGGCCAGTGCGTGGCTCTCCCAGCTGGGGAGCTGTGGCAGCTCTGTGTGAACTGGGGCAGGTGGAAACATCAGTCTCTACCCACGCGACCTCCTTGAGTATCATTGGGTCTGGACCTTGCTCTGTGGAGACAGATCTCCTAGTGTCCTTGAAATGTGGTATTTGTAATAAATGGCACGTCACAGTTAAGGGCTGGTGCCCATCTTTTCTGTACTCAGCCTTTTTCCTCTACCCGCAGGGGAAACTGTCCTTTTCACCCATTGCTGTGCCTTTACCATGTGCGCATGAGTGTCAGACACACACGCGGTGTCACACTCACTGCAGTGTCCTGCTCCATCTTGCCTGGTGCTCAGGGGGCATGCAGCAGTTCACCCTAACAGTGTGGGGTACTCCCCAAGTGGGCGGGCTTCGGCTTAACCTCTGTTCCACGGTTGGGCCTTAGGTCACTGTGTGCTCACTGTCGCCCTGAGCCTCTGCTCTGTGGACCTTAGTATGTGTGGCCTGGGCCGGCCAGGGCTGCAGACTTGGCCCACCCTGCCCGCACAGGGCCCAGGGGTGTGGGAATTCCAGCATGGGAGCACAGCCCCCGCATCCACCCGTGTCCCTGCGAGCACAGTGCTGGGTCTTAGGGACACCCGAGTCCCTGCAGGGTACTGCCAGGTCGTCTGCACAGTGTCCAGGTCACGTGCTCAGGTGCTCCGCATCCTGGCACCACTTGGTGTCACTGTGCCTTTCTGGGACATTGCAGACTGCAGGTGACCAGCCAGCTCTCTGGCTTTAGTTCTTGTTTTCCTGATTGCTGGGAGCCAGGTGTCTCCTTGGCGCTTCCTCACCCTTGGAGTCCTGTCTGCTGCTTCCCCTGCTTGCCTTTCATTTAGTTTTGGTCTTTCTCATTTGTGGGGACTGATGCCCCAGCTTGGCCTCAGCCCTCTGATGTCTTTATCAGGAAAGTACCCCCCGTCCTGCTGAGGCGATCCTCCTCACCGTCCGTGGTGAACCCCCTCCTGGTCAGTCTTTCTCTGCTGGTTTGTGAGCCGTCTCCCTGCATGGGGGCCCCAGGCGGTCTGTCTGCTCTTGGACTCTGTGTGATCCATCGGGGCGGGGACATCACTCTGGGGGACCCACGAAGGAAGTGGGCCAGCCAGGGACAGATAGGACAGTGGCACGACGAGGTGCAGGCTGAGCAGAGTGACGGCGTCTCCTGAAACACCCACTTCCATTGTGCACTTGTTTGCTCTCTCTCCTAATCCATGCGTTCACAGTTACGTTTACTGGGTTTCCTTAGTTAAAGTGTAGGTTTCACCGCATTCATCAGAACATCGCAGGAACCCTGGTCTGTCTCCTCCCCAGTGTAGCCAGTCCTGCTCCTGACGGGTGGGGCCCAAAGCCACAGGCCAGCTAGGAGTGAACAAACAAACAAATTGTGCAGCAGAATGTGGAGCGCCTACCCGCGAGGGCCCGGGCACGCTGTGGCCTGGGAGGCTGGTGCAGGTTCAGGAATTCTCCGCATCCTTGCAGGTGGGGTCAGGCCCTGGTGACCACCACGCCAGTCGGTGGTCCCAGCCTCCCCTTCTGGACGGGGGAAATGTGCACAGGGGCACCCTGTCCCAGGAGGGTGGCCTGGAGAGCAGAGCGGGCAGGATGCAGCCCCGAGTCCGCGGCTGGGGTAGCGGGGAGCCGCCTGGAGAGGACGGCCCTGCGAGGCTGGAGGCGCAGGTCCCCCAGCGAGGCCTGACCACCCGCCCGGCGCCGCGTCCTGTGCCCTCCTCGGGGGCCTGGTGGTGTGGCAGCGCCTGCCATCTGCCCTGCTGCGAGTTCGTCTCCATTTTCCTTCTCATTGTCCCCATCTTAGCTCCTTTACTTCATGACTTTTGGTGTTTTTAAAAAAAATTCCTATTTTTTCTAGTTTGATCCCTGGTACAAAAAAAAAATTCCTGTTTTTTATTTTTTTGGTTTCTTCCTTATTCATATTTTCTGTCCTATTTGTTATTTCTTTTGTAGTCTAACACATACTTAAAGCCACATGTCTCCTCAATATTGATTTAGCCGTATCCCTGCTTTATTAGCTAGCACTAAAGACTTTACGGTGCCCCTTGTGAGTTTATTCCAAAGACATTTTATGCTTGTTTCTGATTGTTGCTCACCGTGGCCTTTTTACTTATAAATAGTGCAGACTCTCCATGCCCAGAATTCTCTCCACCTCCATTCCTTTTGCTGGATTTCAGGTTTCCACTGCCCCCTGGATAGCGAGTGTAGCATTTTCTTCCCCTTTCCTTGTGCATTAGTTTTGTGTCCTTTTTTCACACTTTTTCTTCAGTGCACGTGGTTGTGGAGATCAGTGTTCCTTTTGCACACTCACACGTGCATACAACACTCTTGGATCACTCACTGCCCTCGTCAGGTGCTCTTGCCTATCTGAGACTCTCCTGCCTCTGTCATGGTTGTGGCCCCCTGCACGGGAACTGAGCCCTGCGTGGCCTCTGGTTCCTAGAGTCCAGGACAGCATCTGGCCACAGTGGCTGTTCAGTAAATATTTGTGGAATATTTTGCTCATCAATAGATTTATTTTCACTGTATTCGGAGTTCTTAGTTACTGTACTATTTTGTGCTTTTTGGGTCTCCATTGTGTTTTCTGTTGATTTGCTGAAGTTTTCTTTTTTGCCTATCGCTCGGTGCCCCATTAGTGTCTGGAAAATAAATGTAGGTTCCTAAACATTGGCAGTGTTGAAAGTCGGCGTTGCTGCTCTCCTGACTCCGATGCCTGTTTTAGGATTATGGCCCCCAGTTTTAACCCTGCCTGAAACGCTGGCTAAGGTCAGCGTGCATTCGTATTCACCAGCAACTCCACACTTCTGCTTTTGGTGCTCCCTCCGTGTCACTGTCCCTTCCTATTGGCGATGAGGGCCTGTCAGGGTCAGCGATGGTCTGGTGAATGCCCACTGGCTTCCTCCTGAGAACTGCTGTCTGACACGAGTCCTGTAATTCCATCGTCTCCTGCCGTGTGCTTGTGAGACGTTTGCCATCAGCCTGATTTTCTGCCTTTTCCTCTTTGAAAACGCTATGTATGTAGGTGTCGATCTCTGCTTAGGGTTGTGATGGGGACTCATGTCCTCCTGTGCAGTGGGGGGGGGTTCCACTTCTCCTCAGCGGCATCCCTGGGCCTCGTGGCTGGGTGCTGGGCCTGCCCATCCTGCTGCCGGTGGTGTCTACTCTTCTGAGTTCCTGCACCCTAGTGCTGTGTCCCACGTGACTTCCCGTGTGGCCCGAATTGTGTTACCAGATTCACATTTTGCGTCTGGCCCCTGGTGTGCCTGCACCTGGACACCGGGTTTTGGGAGATAATCGGGGGGAAATAAGGCCATGAGGGGTCTCGTCCCGCAGGCCTGGTGTGAAGGTGCAGCGAGAAGCTGGGTGCACAGCCAGGAAGCGGCCCGGGCCCGAGCAGGCCGTGGCACAGCCTGACCTCCGACTTCCGGTCCCCATGGCCAGGAGCGGCCTCCCACACCCGCGGCAGTCTGTGGCATTTTGTTACAGTGGCCAAGCTAAGACACCTCCCGTGTCCTTCACTAAGTCTGGCTCCGGCTCGCGTGTACTCAGCCTACTGACAGCGTATGTTTCCTTCCCAGAAGTGCTTAAAACTAAGCTTGCTTTGTACCAGTCTGTTTTCGTTACTGCTTTTCCATCCCTGGAATGATACACTTCAAGCCTACTTTATGGTTGTGAGATAGACAAGAGGCGCCTGACCCTTTTCCCCGGCCAGCTGGGAGGGGCATGGTCTAGCAGACAGCTGTCTCGCCCCTCCCACTCGACCCCCTAGGATGGACGGGGCACCTCGGCTCGGTGTCCTCCTCCCATCACTCCGTTACCCTCTGGCCGCTGCAGTGTCAGCGGTGGTGCCGTCCCCGACTCCCTGCACTCCAGAGACTTACCCAGGGTCAGGGAGGGCTCCGGCCTGTCACTGACACCCCATCCTCCCGAGCCCCGATAAGCCGTGATGAGCACAGCCCAGCCTGCCCTTCTGGCGAGCCCATAGTCTCAGCGTGCCATTTTCCATGGAGACATGGCAGCTGGCAGTCACACAGTTTATATCTCCCTAAGCCCCCCAGCCTGCCGGCTTGACAGCTGTGCCGCCATGACACCCATCCTGGCAGCTGTCTGCTTTCACTGACCGCCGTGGACTTGAACTTGAACCAAGCAGTACAACTGAGTTTGGACCAATCAGCAGGCTCACATTCTGCTGTGTGAGCAGTACACTCTTGTTCTTGGGTTGGTCCAGGAGGGCTTCTTCCACACTGACACTCTCCCTGCCACGTCCTGTGGCACGGGTCCTGTCCCAGTGAAGCCCCCTCCAGGGCCCGGCTCATCTACTCATGATTTCTCCAGCAGTGTGGGCGCCGAAGGGCCTGTAAATCTGGAGAGTCTTATCCTGAGAGGTGTGGACAGAGTAGGGTACTTTAAAAAAGCGGTAAACAGGGCCGGGGATTAGCTCAGTGGTTCTGCCGCCTGCCTCACAAGTGCAGGGTCCCAAGTTCAATCCCTGGTACCAAAAAAAAAAAAAGCTATAAACACTGGGCGCTCCAGACAGCAGCAGCCAATAAAGATCAGTGATGGAGAGCAGCACCTGGCAGAGATGACCGGCAACAGTGGCTGGGGTTAGCCGGTGGCAGCCCGCAGTGGCAGTGGTGTTGTCAGCTGTCCATGTCCAGCATTAGCTGGCGTTGGCCGGTGGCTGGCAGTGTCAGAGGCCCTCAGCTCAGAGCTGTGACCCTGAGGGCCCAGGGCCACTGGCACTTGAAGCCCAGCCGTGATTTTGTCTGACTGAGCCGAAGAGCCAGCAGAGGAGCCTCAGCTGACTGGCGATGGCTGGGTGGTGAGGGTCTAACTTGGTCTGAGAGTCCTGGCTGTGGCCTAGACCTGGCAGGGGCCTGTGCGCCCCCGGAAGCCCCGCCAACAGTGTCTCTGCTCGCAGCATCGAGAAGAAACGCGCCATTGTGCCCACGCTGGTTGACGCCATCCAGCAGCGGGACGGCAGGGAGGTGGCCTGGGAGTACTTCTACAGCCTGCTCTTCACCCCCGAGAACCTGAAGCTGGTGCACATTGCCTGCCACAAGAAGACCACCCACAAGCTCGAGTGTGACCCCCGCAGGATCTACAGACCCAGGGTGGGGCCGAAGAGGAAGCGGCCCGCTCGAAAGCGCCAGTGACCCCGGGCTCTGCCCTCCGCCTTGCCCGGGCTGACTGCGAAATGGAAACAGGTGCTGCATTTTTTTGTCATTCCCGTAGTTCCTGGAAGCTTCTGCAGACCTAGTGTGGGTCTGAACCCATCCTCTGACTTCTGAGAACCAAGCCTCCAGAGCACGGCGGCGGGGCTCCCTGGACACGTGCAGGTCCCGGTCGAGCAAGGGAAAACTGCTCAGGGTCTCCCGCACTCTGACTTTGCCAGCGTGTGCGTCTCGGGAGGGTTTCCGCTGCTGCCGAGGCTGAACGTGGCTGCCCAGCCCGTGTGAGGGTCCCGTGAGTTCGTGCCTCAGCTCTGTGCTATTTTCATACAAAGGGCAGCTTAGTCTCTGGACTCTTTGGAAAGCCAGGGAGTGACCATCTGTAAAATGTTTGCATGCCACAACAAGCACCCAGGGTAGATACTGCTGAATTGTATACAATGCAGAGTGGGAAACCTTCCAACTGTCCCCGTAGGGAATTTGCTGCATTACGTTGAGCTGGATGAATTGCTGTTTTTGTAGGTGAAAAATGATCGGGTATCATTGATTTCACAATTCCACCTAGTGCATGTACACAAGGCCAGTGGCAGCGTTTGAAGCGTCCCAAGGTGCTTGTGCGCAGGACGGGAGGCCACTGACCGCACAGGCGGCCTGGCCGTGCAGTGCCCCGCTGGTTTGGTAAGCGGGGAGCGTGGGGAAACACCCCAGGCTGCTCAGGGCAGTGGTCCTGGGGACGTGGCGGGGCAGGCTTATTCCTACAGCAGGTGTTTGGAATACTTGAGTTCTTAAAGTGATCATTTTGTAGTAATATTTTACAACGTACTTTGCAAAGTCCTATATTTTGTAATATTTGGACTTTTTTACACTTACATAAAGAAAAATAAAGCTTTCCCAAAGGAGACATGTCCAAAAAGTGTGCTTGTTGAGAATGACGGAACAAGGTGGAAACGGAGGCTCGGCGCCGAGCGGCTGACCTGGGTGGGTCCGTCCTCAGTGCCACAGTGGCGCTTGAGGAGGAGGCAGCCGCATGGGCTTTCACAGCTCCAGCGTGGCAGCGGAGTCTGGTCCGTCAGGGAGGCAGGCGCCAGGCATGGGGTGCCCAGCCCCTGCGTGCAGAGCCCTTGCACGGAACTGTCTGGCAGTCGGCTCCCTCTGTGCCTGCCCTGAGACGTCCCTGATAACAGCCAGCAACGATGTACACAACACGGGTCCGCGGTGCTGTGCCCGTGTCCGAGTCTGAGTCTGGTGAGCCAGAACACATGAATCACACCAAGCTGTTTGGTACTCAGCTAAGCCTCAAGGGCCAGTGGGAGCCTGGGAGCCTTTGCAGGCTGCTCCCTAGGGCACAGGAAAGCAGCCCGGGCAGATGGAGAATTGACAGCCATGAGCCCGCACTGCTGGGGGCCCCAGGACTCACCTGGCAGCTGAGAGGACTGTCCCGCTGGGAGAGGAACGGAGCCCGCTGTTGCATTTCGCACACGGGCTAAGGTCACTTGAGGGTGGCAGGCAAGGCGGGTACAAGGCCCCCAGGACACCGTTCTGTGGGGGGTTATGGGCTGGCTGCCCTCCAGGAAGGAGAGCAGTCCTAGGAGCTGAGCGACGGGGGCCCTGACGTCTAAGGCTCGAGGGGCCCTACTGTTGTGGGGTCCTGGCACCAAGGCTGGGCTTCGAGGAGGGATGAGCGGTGAGCTTGCAGAGCCCCCCGCCCCAGGCTCCGCCTGGACAGAAGGCTGCGCTGAGCATGGCCTCCGGGTCTGGGCCTTCCTGCCTGCGAGGGAGCGCACCATAGCCAGCCAGCTGCCATGGGCTCCAGCTGCCATCAGCTCTGGCCATCCCGAGTGACAGGGCTCTCGGAGGAGCTGACACGGCAGTAGCCAGAGCTCAGGGGCCAGATGAGGCATGGCGGGTCTTGGGAAGGACCACCAGGACGGCAGGAGGTGGTGAGCAGAGGGCCAAGCCAGGCCATGCTGCAGAATGCGACAGGAAAGGTGGCCAAACCATAAGCCCTGCCAGTCCAGAGGGGCCCCTGCTCAGGACCGCCAAATCTGAATCTGTCTGCCTGAGGCCCTGGCCCTGCCACCGGCGCAGTTGGAGCTGGGACAGGGTGGAGCCTGAGCGGCCGAGGTCCTGGGGGAAGCACCATGTGGGCCCCGCTTCCCTGGTTGGCACCTCTCGTCACAGGATGAATGGGTGAGTCCCCATTGGAGGAGATACCTGGAAGGCCCAGTGCACCCACCTCCTTCCTGCCATGTCTGCCCCGCTGCTTTACACAGGTCCCCTGCCTGCTATGGTGACTCTACCCCAACTCGACAGTGGCCTTCAGGGACTTAGGCCTGCCATCCCTGCCACCTCAACACGAGGAGTCCACAGGGGCATCTCTGTTCTGCCACCTGAGATGGCGCCGTCAGCTCCCTTGGGCCGGCCTGGGTAGCAAGGGAGGGAGAAGGGACTCACATCGGGACCTGCCCAGGACCGAGGTTTGCAGGGCAGGTGACCAGGATGGTGCTCCCACCTGGGCACAATCAGTGAGGGCTGAGGCCTGCACATGGACGGGCAGCCCGGAAGGGACACATGTTCCATTCGACAGGGACCATGAGGATGCAGCTCTTCTGCAGCCACTGTGATTCAGGACAGTGGCGCCTACTGAAGGCTGCTTAAGGGAACGACAAAATGCTCCAATCTGAGCCACTGTGCCGCCTCTCAACAGGTGCTGTTTTTGATCTTCATTCCTCTAGCAATTGAAGGTTGTACTTTATTTTCCCTGGCTATCAGAAAATGACTTTACAAGCAACACTTTTAAATTCTAGTTCATCAATCAATAAATCACAAAATTATTCTGGGTAGGTGAAGGTCACGGCTAATGGAAAAATGATCACCATGGAAACTGGAATGACTGCATGAAAATTACTTGTGTGGGGAGTGGGGCATGTTTTGAACTGAAAAATTTCTTACAGGGCACTCCAGGTGCGTTTTGCTCCTGGTTTGTGTTACGTGAAACACTTCCTGTGCCTCGAGGGCAGACAGCTTAGGTCACAGTCGGCTGTGGTCACCAAGCTAGAGGCTCCTGCCCTCTCAGGACAAGTCCCTCACTGCTCACCTGGGGACCCAGGATTCCCCTCCCCTGGGCATGGCTGGGGCCAGGAGCCTGGCGCTCCCCTGCCAGGAGGGGTGAGCTGGGGTGCAGAGCGAAGACAGCGCTCCCTTCCTTGGCTGGCTGAGCGAGCGAGCAAGCAAGCGAGGAAGAAGTACCCAGGAGGAAGGAAGGGCCAAGACTGTCCCAAGGCCTCGCCTTTCCTGCTGGTTCACGGGCCCGAAAGGTAGTCCCAGCCAAGGACAGGACTCGTTTCCTCCCCAGGCTCTAAAGCATTTGAGGAAGGAATAGTGTTAGGTACACTTCTTTAAATATTTTTAAAATACATATTTTATTCCCCTCTCACATGTATTTGGCAGTTTCCAAGGTAAGCAGTTTCACATTCAGACATACAGGACAGGCCTTCAGAGACTGCCGCTGAATTAATCTCAAGATTCATCAGCTTTTGATAATGCACAGCAAGCTTGCATTTTATCTAATGCGCTCCAGCCAGGAGCTTTCCTTACCAGCATGGCCCTCGACACCCAGCCAGAGCCTGGCCCACTGGCGAGGGCGGCGGCAGCTTGTGGTCCTGCAAGGAAAGCTCCCAGGTGTCTGGCATCTTGTGCTGTTCATTTCCACGGATCACTTTTAAAGTTCCATTAAGGACACATTCTCTTGGAGATGCATTTTATGTAAATCTCAAATTGTTAACTGTGTAAATATGCAAAAGAATCCCTCTGTGTTATTTTCTACATTTCTGCATCTTCGTCGTCCTCATCGTCTTTGGCTCTGAAATGCATCTTCCTGAATTCCCGTCTGTTCATTGAAGGACATGATGAAGAGGCCGGTGGCAGGTCCTTAGAGGGGAAGAAAACAGGGACTTGAGTCTCGAGGGACGCCACATGCGTGCCTGCATCATCCATAATGCACCCCGCTCAGCGCTGGGTCTCTGGGTCTCGCAGAGCAGAAACGACCAGGTCTGAGCACCCCTCCCTTGGTGCGGAAGGCGCTGGCTCAAAACGAGGCAGCAAGATGAGCGTGGTGTGTGTCCAAAAGCTCCTTGTCCGAGTCCCTACACCTGCAGCACGGGCCGGCACACTCCCTTTCACAGTAGTATCACCTGGCATCGATTCTCAGGTTGGGAGCTGGAGGGAGTGACCTCAAAGGGCACAGGTCCTAGCTTTTCTCGTGTTAAAGTTGCTAATTCTTTTGGCTGCCCTCCAGGAAGGAGAGCAGTCTTAGGAGCTGAGCGACGGGGGCTCTGACGTCTAAGGCTCGAGGGGCCCTACTGTTGCGGGGTCCTGGCACCAAGGCTGGGCTTCGAGGAGGGATGAGCGGTGAGCTTGCAGAGCCCCCCGCCCCAGGCTCCGCCTGGACAGAAGGCTGCACTGAGCATGCCCTCCGGGTCTGGGCCTTCCTGCCCACGAGGGAGCGCACCATAGCCAGCCAGCTGCCATGGGCTCCAGCTGCCATCAGCTCTGGCCATCCCGAGTGACAGGGATACTCACACGCAGCGGCGGGGCCTCGAGGTGCGGCCTTACCTGCATGAGCTCCACGTTCCCGAAGAACCGGCTCACCGGCAGGGGCTGATTGCTGTCATCGTCCAGAAAGACGCTGTTGTCCATCTGAGGCAGGGGCATCTGCATCTCCCCTGTGGCTAATGCTGCTTCGTGTAGCCCCCTGGGGCTCCTGTCTGCCTCCTCTGCCGCTGCACTGGTGCAGGGCTCTGGCGGGGACTGGCTGTCTTCAGTCTTAGCAGGGACAGTATCGTTCGCACATCGGCAGCCACTGTGGGGAAGAGCTGCAGCCTCCTGGCGTGCAGGGGCAGTGGAGTCACTGCCCGGGAGCAACGCGCTGCCTTCTGCAGAGCTGTCTTTACACGGGGCCCTGGGCACCACTTCTGGCAAAGCAGCACTGTTGCCTTTGGAGACTAGTTTCTGTAATTCTGCCTTCACAAGGTGACCTTTGTCAGACTTGAACTTCTTTGAGGTTCGCCTGTCTGGGGCCTTGTGTGACGAAGTCTGCCAAGAAAGAAAAACGTAAGGAAACCCACACAGATCTAGGAAATACAAAGCCTCCACCCCAGAGGTGCCCGTGTCTTCTCCCACCTGAGGCAATGTGAATGCTGAAACCACAACTCTAACACCGTCACCTGCTGTTCTGCCACCCATGGGGCGAAATGATGGCTGGGAACGAGTCTGGACACAAGCCCCAGCCCGACTCTGATGCGTTTCCTGTCCCTAGGGAGGCGCATGTTGTCCTATGATAAATTATAATAAAAGACTCCATTTTTACTCCCTCCAACAGGAACCAAGCTCTATGAAGGCAAGAATCTTTGCTTTATTCACCCGGCAGTGCCTGGCACATCCCATGTGCTCAGCAAATATTTGTTAAAGTGGCTTTGACAGAACTTTACAAGTCACTCCCAGAGTGAGGCACCTCGCCAGTCTCTGGGGCACAGCTGTGCCTGAGGCCTGGCTGTGGCATCAGGGGAGCAAAGCCACCTTGGGTGTGAATTCGGGGACAGACTCCTCGGAAATGACAGCTGCTCTAAACTCAACAGCAGGCAATGTGAGGTCCGTTCCTAGCCCCCTGACCCTTCCCTCACTCAAGGCCTTTAGAAAGGGTGAAGTAGTGAGGCGATGTGCCCATGTCACTGGGCAGGCCACCCTCCAAGTGGAACCGTCTCAGAGCGGGTCTCTGGCTGACACCCATGCTCTGGGGGCAAACGCTGGAGAGCAGCCCTGCCCTGCGGGGCACACCGCCTCTGAGGGCCGAGTGCACTGTTGCGCATCCCTGAGATGGGCCTCCCTGGTGTTTAAGTAACACTCATGTCTGTAACAGTGCATCTCACAGGACAGCTCTGCCATTTCGCGGCGTTCTCGGGTACGAGGCTCACCAGGCATGCTGTCTTGGGGGATGTGGAGCCAGCGACGTCCTGGACAGGGGCCACAATGTCTGCGGAGCAACTTCGGGCTCTCAGGCGTGCTGAAGATCGCACTCCACCTGCGAGCTAGACCAGCGAGGCTCAGTCAGAGCAGCGCCCAAGGAAGCACAGATGCCTCCTGCACTGACACCTGCAGGGAAGGACAGCCATGGCCTGAAAGTGCGCATCCAACACAGGCTGCCTGGTCCAGCAACAGGGTCTGCATGCCGCCATTCCAGAGGCTGCCACAGTGTCCCTTTACCTTGGACGGCTGTTGGACACGAGGTCACCTCACAGTGCCTAGAGTAAGCAGCACAGACTCTTCCTGAAGCCCATAACGCTTTTCTGTAGGGGCACAGCCCCCCACGGCGGGCAGCACGACAGCAGAAGCCAGCACCCTCACACCTGCTCCCCGCATCCCAGTCCTGATCACACAGTGCAAAGCAAGCAGTGTCTGTCCCTCAGTCCCACTGTCAGAGCAAGGCACCCTGTCCACATCTGTATTGTCCTGGATAAGTCAGGACATTTAAAGTAACCAACCTGCTTTAGGAGTGATTTTAATTTAATTCTATCTAATAATAGGAATAATAATTTTGGAAAAGTAGCAAAAAGTACAGGGCAACACTGGGAAATCAGCATCAGTATAATACCATTAACTGAACTACAGATTTTATTTGCATCTCATCAGGTTTTCCATGAAATCCTGTTTTCTGTTCCACAATCCAGGCTAGGATGTCATACTGCACTTAGATCATAATACATTTTAAAGCTCACCTGAAAACAGGAAAATGAAAATGAGTAATAAAGAGAAGCAATGAATAAAACCAAGGAGTGAAGGTAGAAACTAAGCTCAGAAGCTGTTACATCACCAGGCCCCAGACCGGGGGCTCCAGGAGGGGGCAGGTGGAGGCGCTCCATCCAGCAGCAGAGGAACCAAACCCAAAAGGAAAACAAGGCAGTTTAGAAACTGTTAGGGTGCCTCACCTCCCGCCATGCAGCCTGGAGCCCCGGGACCTCCAGAGTCCCGAGGCACAGCTCCAGGCTCCATGACCCACAACTGGAGAGCACAGTTTTTTTTTTTTTGGTACCAGGGATCGAACTTGGGACCTTGCACTTGTGAGGCAGGTGGCGGAACCACTGAGCTAAATCGCTGGCCCCTAGAGCACAGTTTTTTTTTTTTTGGTACCAGGGATCGAACTTGGGACCTTGCACTTGTGAGGCAGGTGGCGGAACCACTGAGCTAAATCCCTGGCCCTGGAGAGCACATTTTAAAAAGAGCAGAGAAAGCAAACCATAGCCAGGGAAATAAGGACGGGGCAGCCTGGTCCACAGCCCCCGCTAAGGGCACGAGGGTCAAGTGGGTGAAGCAGCTAAACACCAGAAGAGCCCTGAACCAGCAGCGTGGTCACAGTGACATAATGACAGTTGCACTGAAACAACTGCGTCAAAGATTCTGATAGAGACTTTGGGATATTTGCATAGACTGTGCCCATTGAGCAGCCCTAATCTGAGAATCCAAAATGCTCCAGAATTGGAAACTTTCTGAGCATGATGTTTTGGGCTGAAAAAGCATCCTATAAAGTGTCCAGTGTCTCACAAAAATTATGAAGCATGTAAAGAAATAGCAAAGTAGAATAAAATCGCAAAGTGGAATAAGAACAAGTAACAAAGGCTGCCTTTGTAAGAGTGACCGGATGTTAGATTTACCAAAGACTTCAAAATAGCTGTTACAGCCATGTTGGAGGGCTAAAGGGACAAGGAATAAAGAAGTAAAGAAAGATACAACCATGTCGCATCACATGGAGAGTATAAAGTGTGAGTGTATGTACATATATACACACGTACAATACAAACCTACAAATACACAAGTACACACAAGAAATAACCAAATGGAAATCTTGGAATTGAAAAAGTACAACAAAGGCTCAACAGCTGATGTCACCTGGCAGAAAAGTAAACAAACTTGAAGGTAGATCAGCAGAACACTAAACCAAAGAACAGATGAAATGAAGGAAAGCAGAGAGCCGCTCAGAAGCGCTGACAGTGTGACATGTACCCACACATGTGTGATGGGCCAAGCAGGAGGAAGGAGGGAGGAGAGAAAAAGGGTGTAAAGAAACAAGGGTGAAACTTCCCACGTTTATTAAAAACAACAACAACCCAGACATCTAGGAACTTCAATGAAATGAACTTCCCAGGGGAACAATGGAAACAGGTTAAGCAGGATAAACCTCACTAAAAATTCTGAAAGTCAGAGTTCAGGGGAGAACCCTAAAAGCAGCACTCCCCACCCTAACGGAATGGAGCCTCAGTGGAGTCCAGGAGACAGCAGTATCTGCAAAGGACTGAAAGAAGAAGTGCCCGCCAAGAACCCTCTATTCGGCAGAGCCATCCTTCAGAAGTGAAGGCAAAATAAGATGTTTCCAGATTAACAAACAGTAAAGTTCTTGACCCTTGACAGCACCTCAGAGCCACACAAAAATAGCACCAGGTGAGGCAACTGCCTCCGGGCAGATGCTGTGACTTTTCTGCGGTACTGGGGATTGAACCTGGGGAGCACCACGCCACATCCCTAGCCATTTTCTTCCTTTCTTAGGTGCCGTAGCAACTGCGCACCGTAATTCCCGGAAAACGTGGAAATGTACTGTGTTTACTGCAGTAAATCGCAGGACGTGGGTGAGCCGGGCTGCGCTCAGGAGCTGGCTGCAGGATTCCAACCCACGCCGCTGGCACGCAGTCACCAAAGGCCCAGAAGGCGGCCACCGAAGCGCCGTCTCCTTGGCGCTAATTCGTACAACTCTGAGGCTCATTAAGTCAAGATGTGTAAGGTAAAACCGCCAAAAGCACAAAACACGGTGCAAAAAGTCATTACGTTAAAAGTTCACTGTTAAGTGTTCACTTATGCAAAGGGAAAAGAGGGAACGAGACACCAAACAGTGTACCCAGGCACAGGTCTATCTGTAACACGACCAGTGGATGGGTTTCAACATTCAACCGCACAGCCGGGGTGGTGGCTCGCGCTTGAGATCCCAGCACTTGGGAGGCTGAGGCAGGAGGATCGCTGGACTGCATAGTGAGACCCGGGCAGTGACTGCCCGGCTGGATACTAAAAAGTCCAACTGCCCGCTGCCTGTGGAGCCCCGGGGAGATGGAATGGACCGCCCCTCCGTGCCAGGTCAAAGGGCCCCTCGGCGCAGGGCTTCGGCCCCAGTCCCACCACCCTCGGGTCGGACCTGGCTGACCTCAAGCGCTGAGCCTCCTCCCTTGGGGGCACCAGTGGAGGAACCGCTACGAGCCCGCCCCAGACCAGCCCAAGGCACCAGTTGGAGCCCCCTTTCAGGGTGCGGCCTGGGAACCAGCGCGCCCAGGCCAGGCGGGGAGCCCCCTGCGGCCGGGGCGAGTCTGGGCCGAGGCCGCCCATCTTCGGCTCCTCAGACAGCGGCGCACCCCTGTGGGCTGCACCCCCTTCTCACCTTCCTGCTCCTCATGAGTGTGAGCGGCGTCGCCGCCCCGCGCCCCGCGCCCCGACCTTTGCGGAGCAACAATCCCGAGGCCGCACCCCGGGGCACCGCAGCGTCGGACGTCGTCATGGGCCTAGCCAATCACAGTCCGGCATCAGCAGGCACGTGACCCAACAAAGTTGCTCTTTACGTAAGCAGGCGGGGCGCAGCTCCCCCAGTTTAACCTGGGGGCGGGGCGCCGGAAGCGGAAGTTCGGGGGTCTGCGGGCTGTGCCGGTGAGGAGTGCTCCCTTGGGCTCCAGTGGCCGCCAAGTTTGAGAGGGGCGTCTCCCTCGTTGTCCCCGGGGGCGCTGTGCCGGAGAGGGGAGTCTCCTCACTCGGCCCGTACCTGCAGGGCGCGGGAAGGGGTCTACACCTGGGGTCTCGCGCCCTCGCTCTGCGGGGCTCCTCGTCGCGATCCGCCTTGGTTTCTGGACCCCGTCGCAGCGGCCCTAGGTGGTGACCCTGCCTGCGTGTCTCTATATCTCCGTGCCTCCCCTCTCCTTCCCAGGAGCGCTGCGGCTTTCCTAGGTCAGGGCCGGACTGGGGCACTGGGGCTGCTGGAGGATGCAGGGCACTGAGGGCACTGAGGGCGCTGGAGGGCTCTGGGGCCTGGAGGATCCTTGGGTCGCTGGAGGGCACTGGGACATTGGAGGGTACTGGGGGGCGCTGGAGGGCATTGGCTCTGGAGGGTACTGGAGGCCGCTGGATGGCACTGGGGGCACTGGAGGGCACCGGGGCTGGAGGATCCTGGGAGCACTGGAAGGCACTGGGGCACTGAGGGGCTGGAGGGCACTGGGGCCTGCTGGAGGGCACAGGAGCTGGAGGGCACCGCCTCTGCCTTCTGGCTGCAGTGTGAGCGCTGGCGGCCTCCTGTGAACCGCACACCGCAGCCTCTGCTGCGCGTCAGAAATAAGGGAGGCTGGGATTTGCTTCTTTTAAAGTTTTATGGGACAGAACATTTAAATCCGGCAGCTTTGTCAGAAGCATTAGGGTTTGCAGTCACAAGTGAGGGCTGAGAAGTGGTATGATTCTGAGCAGAGGTGTGATTTGCATTCCTGTTGCACAGCGTGAACCTGCTGTGCCGGGTGGAACGGCCCCCTCAAGCCAGACCTGTAGTGGAGGTGATGCATCAAGTGCCGTGGTGAGGATCCTGCCGGCTCCTCCCTCCTGTAGAGACACATCAGCAGGTGATGAGGGGCCCTGACAGGAGGCTGCTTGAAGGATCTGGCTTTTGGCGGTGACCACAGCCACCTGCAGCCTCAGTCTCAGAGTGCCCACACACGGGCACTTGTGTACACACGTACACTTGCACACTCACCTGCATGGCACGAGTGGCCTCCTGCCCCCAGCCCACCACGTTACTTCTCATGATGTACGCAGAAGGGAAACAACATGTGTGACTGGCGGGAAAGGAAATTAGTGTCATCGCTGCCAGCTGTTAAAAACCGGTGTGGCGCTTTATCCCATACCCAGCCCGTTCCATTTTCACTGAGGTCAGCATCTTGACAAGTGTGGCTTAGGGGTCTGATTTCCCTCAAGCTGGGGTTTGCTCTCTATGACCAGTTTCCCATCAAGGGAACACAGGCCATCGAGGTTAATACCCCGGAGGACTCTGGGCCTTTTTTTGCAGTCATGCTCTATGGCTTCCCCACTCCAGCTGGGTCTGAATAGGGTTTGCAGTCCTCAGCTGCTCAGGCCCCATCAGCGCCTCCTTGACCCTGCCTCTGTCTCTCTCATTGCACCCTTCTCATTAGGGGTGTCTCCTATTATTCCACGCTGCTCCCCCTTCTCTGGCTCGTCCTGCCCACGGCTGCCAGTGATGGCAGGGGCCCTGCTATAGCCCTCTACTGCAGCCTGCGTGTGACCTTTGTGGTCCAGCCCAGTGTGTGCACACGGTGGGCCCTTGATGAACGCGTGTTGCTGGGGTGTGGAAGACCCTGGAGTTTGCCCACCACTGCCCCACTTTCCTCCAGTCCCAGCTGGCCCAGTGCTCCCCACTGCTGTGCACACTGCTCTCTGCTTGGGCCTCACATGTCTGCCAAGCTCCTTCCACATCTGTCCCTCTGCTTGAAGACCTCTTCCTGTTTCCTCACTCCCCATTTTGCCTGGCTCATCTGTTTTCAAACTTCAGTCCTTGTCTTAGTTACTTTTTGTTGCTGAGATACAATAGGAAACACAGTTGTGAGGAGAGGTTTAGTTTGGTTCAGTTTGTAGAGGTTTCAGTCCATAGGCTGCTGGCTCCAAGGTACGGTGGCTGGCAGAGAGGCCTGGCAGAGGAGAAACAGTCCATGGCAGGGTTGAAGGAAGCAGCGATCAAGGGAGAAGGAGGGAGGTAGACACTTCCAGGCCATGCCCCCTAGTGGCCCGCCTCCTCCAACCAGGCTCCCCTTGCCAACATCGCATTTAGCTATGAACTCATCAGAGGACCAGTCCACTCCGTGAGTATCATGCTTCCATGATCCAGTCACCTCTCAAAGCCCCATCTACGAGTGCATGAGGCTTTGGGGGACATCCAGATATGAACCGTAACAGACCTCAGCTCAGCTTAAGTCATGCTGAGGGTGGGAATTTTCCCAGAGGCCCTCTCTTCTCATCACTTAGTTTTTTAAAAACATTCTTCACTTTCTCGTCAGGACGTGGCAAGAGGCTAGGTCCTTTCTCTCCTTTCTAGCTCAGAGCGTGGCTCATTCATGCATTACCACAAGTCCTTGGAGCTCCCATTTCGGGCCGTGGACGGGGACGGAGGTGGTTCCCAGGAGATGGTTCCCAGCTCAGCTGTGCTCAGTGGGGCAGGGGTGGTTGAAATGCTCAAGGGAGCTGCTGTACCCAAGCCATGGAGAGAAGGCCATTGGGAGCAGCAGGGAGGACGGGAGGTAGCAGGTCTCCTCCAGGGGTTGGAGAAGGCACCTCGTGGCCAGGGTCACCTCTGCCCTCCCACCTTTTCAGGCCCACCCAGGGGAAGTGGGCAGGGCTCTCTGAGGGAAACGGGTCAGGGGGAGCCTGGCGGCTCAGGCCACCCCCGAGGCGGTGACAGGTACCAATGGACTCGTCTTGGGTGTCCTCACCCTTCTACCCCTGCCCAAGCTGCTGTGTCCCAGAGGGTGTGCAGTGCCGACAGAGCTGAACCTCACGCTCGTAATGCACACAGAAGGCTTGGGAAGACTGAGGTTGGGGCCCTTGTGTGCTCATCCGCACTGCAGACCCGCTGCTTCAGCACTGCTGTGCCGCGGCTCAGTGTTTGCCTGCGACAAACACTGAGCGGCTGATGAGATGTTGAAGAGAATTTTCGACTGATGAATGGTCAGTAGTCTCATTCACCTCTGCTGCGCTGGCCGGAGCAGGGTGCATCTCTGCCGAGGGCTGGTGCGCTTGTCTCTCGCAGCCTGCTGTTAAAATGCTCTCTCCCTTGTTCTATGAGGGTTGTCTTGTTGGCAGTCCTGCCCTTCCTCTGGCCTTGCCAGTCAGTAACGACCTGCAGTTGGGCAGCTGAGGGTCAGGTTGGTGAAGAGCAGCTTTCTGGAGTCAGCAGCATTGGCTCCAGGCTTCATGCACATGGGAGATGTCAGTGCGGAGGCCAGCGTGGGCCGCGCGGTGGGCAGCCCTGGCGGAGCTCTCACTGGGGCTCAAGATTGGTGGGATTTTGGCAGCCTGCTTTGCAGACGAGTCGATGATCTGTGACATTAAAATGTTTGAGAAGAGCAGACTGTTTCTGCTTCAAATACCCCACAGTGTGCTGGGGCTGGGATGCAGCTGTAGCCGGTGACACCTGCTCTAGTCACCATCCCCTTGGGGTTGGTGGAAGGTTGCTCTCTGTGGCCTGAGGGCTCGGGCCTGCTGACCACGCTGTCCCCAAGCCTGGGCCCCTTCCCATCTCCTCTGCCCTGCTGGTGGGAAACCCCGAGGACCCTTGTTCAGGGGTCTTGGTTCCTCTTATATAAGAAAACCCAAATAAAATACAGAGAAAAGTAAGGAGGTCGATAGTAAGAAGTAGCAAGCTAGACCTTTTGCACATAGAAAGGGGAATAAGAGGTGGAGAGGGGAGGATTAAAAAGAACCAAGACGTGTTATGCCCTTGTACCAGTTCCCCTCGAGCAATGGGACCATTATGTACCATACATACCCACTAATAAAATAAGTTAAAAATATTCTCAATACCATTTTCTTTCTTCCTTACTTGTCTTCATTTTCAGCTTCTGTGTTTTCTCTACCATGAATTATGTGCTTTCAAAACATTTAATTGTGCCTCTGGTTTTTTTTTTTTGGTACCTGGGATCGAACTCGGGTCCTTGCACTTGCGAGGCAGGCAGCGGAACCACTGAGCTAAATCCCCGGTTCCTTGCCTCTGTTTTTATCGACAGCAACTCGGAATCCTTTTGGTAAGCCACTGACATAAACGTTAGAGGAGGGCTGGGGATTTAGCTCAGTGGTTCCGCCTCCTGCCTCCGAAGCGGATGGACCCGAGTTCGATCCCCAGTACCAAAAAAAAAAAAAAAGTTAGAGGAAAATCCTTATACGCCTCCACGTTCGCCAACACAGGCCCCGTGCAAATACACCAGGAAAAGCCGGGCCCTGTCTCCCTATGTCTTCCTGTGCGTCACTGCTTCTGGGGACCCCTTGTTTCATCCACCGGCGTTTACTGAGCTCTTGGCAGTGCTCAGCGCCTTGAGAAACACCGCAGGGTGCTGCGGAGGGCCGAGAGCGCCAGCCCTGATTGCCGCCAGCTGCTATGGCTCCTGCTGGAGGGACCTTCGTGGAGAGCTTGTGGGGCCAGCAGAGATGTGCAACAGGGTCCTGAGCCCTGGGAGCGACCACCAACCAACCACTGTTGCAGTTCGCCCGACAACGCCGAGAACCACCTGCACCCAAGTACCGGTGAAGCCAAACGCAGCCTGCATGCCACAAGCTCCCAGACCACCTGGGAGCAGGAGCTGGGTCTCCCTGCCTCCTCCTGTGGTGGAATCACAGTCACGGTGTCCTCTGAACAAAGGGCCTGGGTTTGCAGAGCCTGAAAACGGCTAAATTTCCAGCTTGATGAAAAAAAAGTTCCATTTTTTGTGAACCTCTGGGCAGGCAGGAAGAATAACACAAAGATGAGCAGCCCTGT